TGGGGGGTGCCGTTGATGTGGAGCAAGACGCAGCAGCAGAAGAGGACTCAGCCGAGGAGGTTATGGAAGAGGATGGAGTAGGAGGAGTAGAGGAGGTGGCAGCAGGCCTGCCTGCAAGTCGTGGCGGTGTCACCAACTCCTCTGCAGAGCCACGCATTCCATGCTTGGCAGCCGTCAGCAGGTTTACCCAATGCGCAGTGTAGGTGATATACCTGCCCTGACCATGCTTTGCAGACCAGGTATCAGTGGTCAGATGGACCCTTGCCCCAACACTGTGTGCCAGACATGCCATTACTTCCTTTTGCACAATCGAGTACAGGTTGGGGATTGCCTTTTGTGGAAAGAAATATCGGCTGGGTACCTTCCACTGCGGTGTCCCAATAGCTACAAATTTTTTGAACGCCTCAGACTCCACCAGCTTTTATGGTAAAAGCTGGTGGGCTAAGAGTTCAGTCAAGCCAGCTGTCAGACGCTGGGCAAAGGGGTGACTTTGTGACATTGGCTTCTTACGCTCAAACATGTCCTTGACAGACACCTGACTGTGGGCAGATGAGCAGGAACTGCTCAAGGCGAGAGACGGAGGGGCGGATGGTTGAGAGGGGGCAAGGAGGACAGCAGTGGTTAACGTGGCTGAAGATGCTGGACCAGGAGGAGGATGGCGGCTTTGAGTTTGTGTGCTGCTTGTACTCATGTGTTGATCCCATAGGCGTTGAGATGTGCGATCATGTGCCTTCGCAAAGCAGTTGTACCTAGGTGGGTGTTGGACTTCCCACATTATTTTTGGCACAGGTTGCAAATGGCATCGCTGTTGTCAGAGGCAGACACACAAAAAAATGCCACACTGCTGAACTCTGCAATGACGGCATTCTGGTGGTGGCAACAGCATGCGTTGATTGGCGTGCTGTCTGGCTGACCCTGGGTGCCGATGCATGCTGTCTGACTGTGCCACTAGCTCCTTGCGACGACCTCCCCCTGCTTCCAACTCATCTCCTCCTCCTCCTCTCTGTCTCCCCATCTGAACTTTCCCCCTGTTCTTCTTCTCTTCTAGCGGGCACCCACGTGACATCCACGGACGCATCATCATCATCAACCACTTCACTTGTATCTGACAACTCAGCAAAGGAAGCAGCAGCGGGTACAACATCATCATCTCACCATACGTCCATGTGTGTAATGCTGCCTGACTGAGACATATCCCTGTTATCTACATCCTCTTGCAATATGTTGCGCATCACTCATTTCTTCCAACTGATGTGTAAATAACTCCTCTGACATACCAAGTGAAGCTTCTGTGGTGCTAGTGTTGGTGGTGGTGGCAGGCGGGCGAGTGGTAACTTGAGAGGTGCCCGAAGCTAAGCTGGAGGAGGATGGTGCGTCAAGGTTCTGAGCAGAAGCTGTAGAAGATTGGGTGTCCTGTGTTAGCCAGTCAACTATGTCCTCAGAACTTTTCGAGTTCAGGGTACGTGGCCTCTGAACACTGGGCATTATTCTAGGGCCAAAGGGAATCACAGCACCACGACCACGACGGCCCCTGCGGGGTGGCCTGCCTCTGCCTGTCATTTTTTTTTTCGATTAGTGGTACTATGCGTGTAAGCTACTGTGACAACAGATATGAGTGGCACTGTGCAGTGGCAGAAGTTGGAAGAGTAGACACTGTAGGCCTGACTCACACACTATTACAGTCAAAATTTTATTTATTTTTTTAAAATGTACACTACTGTTACACCAGATATGAGTTGCACTGGTGTGACACTGTGCCCTGGTAGGCCCTGAAACGCACACGTGTGAAGGAAACTGACTGCTATTATATTACAGTCCAAAAAGTTTCTTTTTTGTTAAATGCAAGCTATTGTGACACCGGATATGAGTGGTGGCACTGGGCAAGTGGGCACAGTATACGTAGTGAGCCTGACACACATGCTGGCAGACAACTAACTGCTATTCATTCTATTACAGTCAAAATTTTATTTTTATTTTTTTAAATGTACACTACTTTAACACCAGATATGAGTTGTACTGGTGTGACACTGTGCCCTGGCAGGCCCTGAAACGCACACGCGTGAAGGAAACTGACTGCTATTATATTACAGTCCAAAAAGTTTAGTTTTTTTAAATGCAAGCTATTGTGACACCAGTGAGTGGTGGCGGCACTGGGCAAGTGGGCACAGTATATGCTGTGAGCCTGACACACAGGCAGGCAACTGCAATTACATTACACAGAAAAAAAAAAAGCAGACTGATGTTCTAACCCTAAAAAGGGCTTTTTGGGGTGCTGTCCTTACAGCAGAGATCAGATGAGTCCTTCAGGACTGTAGTGGACAATGAATACACTAGCCTAGCTATCAATTTCCCTATCAAATCAGCAGCAGCTACACTGTCCCTCCTCTCACTAAGAATGCAGCTTCACAATGAATGTAAAATGGATGCTGTCCAGGAGGTGGGAGGGTCTGGGAGGGAGGGTCTGCTGCTGATTGGCTGGAATGTGTCTGCTGACTGTGAGGTACAGGGTCAAAGTTTACTCAATGATGACGAATAGGGGGCGGACCGAACAGCGCATATGTTCGCCATCTGTGGCGAAAGCGAACAAGCGATGTTCGGCAGGAACTATTCGCTGGCGAACCGTTCGGGACATCACTAATCACAATCTGTTAGAAAAAAACAAAAAAAAAACATTTCAAATGGTTTATCTTCAGAAGTCACTATTAAAGTCTATAAGAATAGACTCTTCAAAAAATCAGGTTTTCAAAAAATTACTTTTGAGAGTTTCCTGGGTCCTCTGTTTTGGAATTTTCGTCTATTAAATCTGAAGTTCCCGTTCCACAACAGATATACCAAATGATTTCCTATTTGGACATAATTCATTGGTTGACAGCTTAAACAAGTGTAAAATTCATATATGAATGTGGATGTAGTAATTACATTAGCAATGCCAGAAAAGGAGGCCAGACTGGAGATGCCTGACCCAGGTACGCTTCAAACTTTTTGAACAGTTTGACTCTTAACCAGGGCAGGGTCAGTATTAGGGGACCCCTGGCACCATAAGAGCTACTTGTCTGGATTTCAAAGTGAAATTCAGATTTTATGTCAGAATAGTGGAAGCTTAGTACATTCATTGCCAGTGAACTGTGTGGAGTTTACTCTGTCTGTGCAGTGTTTCAAGATGCACCTACACATTCATACCATCATGACAATCACTTAAGTAGTCATGGTAGCTGGAATAACCCTTTAAAACTTGATATTGATGTAGCATTCCCAAAATTTCATACATTAATGAATAACGCTATAAATCAGACCTGCACAACATATGGCCCACCAAAGGATTTTGTGCAGCCTGCACACTAAGGGGCCTGTCAGGTGTCCCCTGAACTTACGCCACTCAATGGGTCTTTGCCTTGCTTATCAGGAGCATGGGAGGAATTGAGAAGGGGAGGCAGTCAGGAGGGGGTCTGGGCAGGGGAAGACAGAAGGACAGAGGAGATGGCTGGAGAGGAGGGGGTGCAGGTTGCTAGAGTCAGCCCCTAACTCCCAACAGTCTCAGCCAGCACACTGGAAACCAGTGAAGCCACCCTGCTGCACCCAAAAGGTAGGAAACTGGAGGGTGACTATAAAAGTGTATATTTTGACCAGTATGCCTGTCAGTGTGGGTCTGTGTATCTGCATGTCTGTGTATCTGTATGTCTGTTAATATGTGTGTCTCTGTATGCCTGTCAGTGTGTGTGTGTGTCTGTTTGTGTATATGTATGTCTGTCAGTGTGCGTGTATCTGTATGCCTTTCAGTGTGTGTCTGTTTGTGTATCTGTATGTGTCAGTGTGTGCATCTGTAGGTCTGTCAGCATGTGTCTGTATGCCTGCCAGTGTGTCTTTCAGTGTGTGTATCTGTATGCCTGTCAGTGTGTGTGTGTGGGTACGTATGTCTTTATTTTTATAGGTAATTTTATATCTTTACTTGTAAAGTGAGGCCTAAATACACCAGAAAAAAGTTTAGTCCATTTATTTTGTCTCCTACTTGCTGCCAAGTTGTGCAAGTCTGTTCTAAATGAATGAGCAAGTCAGGTTATCTTCCCTTCATCCCTCCATAACCAATACCCACTGATAACATTCATAACCAATACCCACTGATAATAACACTCATAACCAATACCCACTGATAACATTCATAACCAATACCCACTGATAATAACACTCATAACCAATACCCACTGATAATAACACTCATAACTAATACCCACTGATAATAACACTCATAACCAATACCCACTGATAATAACACTCATAACCAATACCCACTGATAACATTCATAACCAATACCCACTGATAATAACACTCATAACTAATACCCACTGATAATAACATTCATAGCCAATACCCACTGATAATAACACTCATAACCAATACCCACTGATAATAACACTCATAGCCAATACCCACTGATAATAACACTCATAACCAATACCCACTGATAATAACACTCATAACTAATACCCACTGATAATAACACTCATAACCAATACCCACTGATAACATTCATAACCAATACCCACTGATAATAACACTCATAACTAATACCCACTGATAATAACATTCATAGCCAATACCCACTGATAATAACATTCATAGCCAATACCCACTGATAATAACACTCATAACCAATACCCACTGATAACATTCATAACCAATACCCACTGATAATAACACTCATAACTAATACCCACTGATAATAACATTCATAACCAATACCCACTGATAATAACACTCATAACTAATAAAAAAAAATTGCTAATTGATCATTAATACCATTGATGATAATTGACACTGATAATAAATATGATTGGTAACTAATACCCATTGCTATTAACTGGTATTGATAATTAGTACAAGTGATGAAGTACATTTCCCTGGTTATTGGTGGTCCTGCCCCCACACTAGTCCAGCTATCCCTGATGGGTTATCTCAGCATTATCCCCGCTGGCCCTGGCCGCCTGTATTCAGCTGACACAGACCCATGCAGTTTCCGCCCCCCCCTCCCATATGACGTGGTACGTTCTTCCTTCCTGAATCTCTTCTTCCCGGTGCGCGTCACTTCCGGTGCCCATCACTGGCTAATCGCCGGCTGTGCTGAGCTGCAGAGGGGGCTGTGTGTCGGTGATCTCGCTGCTCGTTCTCCTCTCCCCGGGTCTACCCGCACCCAGCACCCCGCTCCCGCCAGCTCGGTACCTCCCTCCCTCCCTCTCTCTCTGCCGGTCTCAGCATGGCGGATTTCGACATGTTTGACTCAGTCGGTAATGGGGTGTCCGCCGAGGAGGACCCGGCCGCCGCCTTCCTGGCCCAGCAAGAGAGCGAGATCGCCGGCATCGAGAACGACGAGGGATTCAGCATCCTGGACAGCGGGGAGCTGCCCGTATCGGTGGACGGTGCTGTGGGTGAGTGTCCTGTAACAGGCCGGTGTCTGTCTGTCTGTGTGTCTGTGTGTGTGTGTGTGTGTCTGTCTCTGTGTGTGTCTAGTAGGACATTAACCCCTTCCATGGATCCGGCACGGCTTATAACACAGTCTGACATGAAGGGATTAGTAACCACGATCCCCAGCTCTTGGGTCTATTATATGTATCTTGCCATTCCTATACTGTGACAGCAGTAACCAGCTTGGCTGCCTGGGCTCAGGTTACATGTCTTTAGGTGAAAGGTCACTGCAAGGTTCCAGGTGTATCCTCAGACTGTGGGTACCACAGCAGGTAGCTCAGAGCTGTGCTGGGGAGGGGTTTGCTGCAGTTCATGTAGAGAGCACTCCTGACTATGAGTTGATGTCTTTAGAGTGGAATAACTATTGTAGTAAGCAGTGTGTGAACATTTCAAGTCAAGGGGTGATAAACTCAAAAACTGAATGTTATTTTCATTATGGTTTTTGCCCAGTGCTAATAAAAATACAGCCCTCCCCCAGATGTCCCATTGTTGTGCTGTTAATCACCAGGGTTTGCTAGCATATTGCCTTGTTTTCTCAACCAGTCCTAGGGGATATGTAGCTAAGCTATCCGCATACTGGACAGTGGATATTTGAGTGGTTTATTTAAAGCCCACCCTAGTAATATTTGTGTAAGAGCTGATTGTGGTATCCATTCAGCTCTAGCTAATATTGATATCTCTTGGAAGTAAGGTTTCTTGGAAATGACTTAAAGGAACATTAAAGAATATAAACCTATATTTCTAGCACGGTAGTTCCTATTTAGTTTAGAGCCCTTACCATATGCACCACCATTTCCAGCTCTGCCTCCCGTAAAGTCATCCTGGAGGCATCGCTATCTCGGTGATGGTCCAACCCAGTGCTCCTCATAGAGGTGCTTTATTTTTTTTAACCCTGCAAAACACAGCAGTGTTTACATTGAATGGCTATAACTACAGGGTCACTGCACTTAAATTACAACTTTACTTAAATTATGTGGTCTGGGTGCGTTTAGTGGTCCTTTTTAATCCCTGTAAGTGTGAACTAGTAATATACTGCATTTTTGGGGGGTAAATCCTAAAATGTCTTTTGAAATCTTATTTATGCTGCTCTCAGAACAGATTGGGCTGGTTAATTTGTGAGAAATATTAAACAGAAATGTTTTCGCCTAAATCTTACTTGTAGTTACTGAGTAATCAGTCTGCATGACCCAAGAATATGCAATAAGTAACCATGTGTTATTTAAAATGTAACAGATTCATGAAATAGCCATGCTAAAAGTGTTCTTCTAATGGTTTTGATTATATATTTCAAATTAAATTGCCGTAATTTTGTAATGCTAGTTTGTGGGGAGAGGAAAGCCTAATTTTGTTTTTAGTCACTTTTTTAAATCTTGACTACACATGTTGCTCAGAATCTGATTGGGCCAATAGACATAGTTAATTTTGTTAAACTGGGAAATATTTATTATTGAAAGTGAAGTAATTATTGCCTTTTGCAGAGCAACAATATAGTCCTCAGCACTTTACTTTTCTTGAACAGGAATATTTAGACCTGAGGAAGGCTCTGCTCAAATGAGCTTACAATCTATGATGATTTTGAGGTAGGTGTAGCTATACAGTTAGGTGTCTTGCCCCAGGACACTTACTTGTGAGTTGGGTAACCTTTTTGTTATCACTGATCTAACCAGCTGTTTTACCGTGGCTCAAGATTATTTTCACATTATATATGTGTGTTGTTTTTGTTTTTAAAGCATTTTATGTTGAAAGAACAAACTGATATTCTTTCACACTTGGAACCTTTTGGTGCATGGCATTGTTTTGCAATTTCATCACTATGCGACACATTAAAACTCACAGTAGGAAGTGATTAACAGATTTTACTTGAAGAAACCAGTGGGAATGTCTGTCTCCCTCTTGCCGCTCCCAAGCTTAAAAGTGAATCAAGCCTGTGTATATGCTTTTGTATGAAACCAGCCAGACTTGACACTTGAAAATAAATAAATAAATCCGTGTTAAATAACCAAAGATCTAAGGCTTTAGCATTTTACTTCTTATTAACTTTTTCTATGCTCCAATGCAAAGTTCTAAAAGACATAAACAGTCATTTAATACTAATATTTATAAATCATTTCACTGTTGTAGTTGAAAATGTTGTTTCCAATATGTACTTGAGAAGTGGAGATGCCCTATGTGCATTTTTCTTGTTCAAGCACATATTTAGTTTTTAGATAACTTTTTTTTTTTTTGAGACAAAAAATGGTTCAAGATGATTATGCTGCAAACATATGCCACAAGCTGAGAAATGGTATTTATCTTTTAGAGCCAAACACACTAGAATGGTCTCCACCTCATTGTGTGGAGAGGGAAAAAAGGAGGGGGGGGGCGGGGGAAACTCTTTAATTTTTGTTGGCACATAATCTTTATAAATGTATATGTCGTGCATTCGTTGTCCATAATTAGTTAGAAATACAACAGAAATAGTCTTGTTTTTAAGTGGCAATCCAAGCACCATAACCACTAAAGTCCTGATGCTATCCGACCATAACATGTCAAACCCTTTATAGGCATCCAGCCTTCACAAACCGTAGAGGCTGGATTTTGCACCAAACTGACAACACTCCACTGTTTGAGAAGACTGGAAGTAGTTTGGTCCCCATGTAAGTGGCAAACTGTGATAAAACATATGAGGATGCCGCAGTAACTCTTATGGTACCATAAGTTCAACGGTGGGCTTAGTTATGAGGATTGGATTGTTTAATGTTTCTGTAATTGCAAATATATTTACTGCTGACAATTACACTGGCTAGTGGGTTTTCCAATTGCTTCAACGGTACATAGCAGAGTCCAGTGTTAATATTTATTTAGTGGATCTTTTCCAGTGACATACTACTTAACTATAAAACTATACCAACATATAAAGATCTAGCAAACTTAGAAGGAACAAAACTTACATTGTATAGCACAGTAACAGTAAAGAAACGGCTCTGTCATCGTGTGTGGTCTTTGCATAATTTACAATCACCCCCGATAGTGACTTTGCTGTGTTTCTTGTTACTGCGGGGAAGGTGAGTTATACTTACCTGAACATGTTCCTTGCAACACCTGCCATGCTTTTCTTACCAGTCCTATTGACCCCATGACGCTTCAGTTGCCAGGAGTCCACTTCAGCGTTGTACTCTAGCACATGCATAGAAGAAAAACACTGTCTATAGAGTATCCCACAACACAGCAGGATCCTCTATAGACAGAACATTTTTCTTTCAGATGTCACTAGTGCCAGCTCCACCTTTTTTCACCAAGTGAAATTCCAACACCGTCAATGTAACTATTTCATAATTTATATATTGCTCATTTTGTTGATTAAAGCTCCAATGGAAGCAATTGTTTGTACTCAGACAAAAGTGAAGTGCAACGGTTGAATATAAATGCTTGGCAGTCTGTATAAAGATGTCTTAGTGGATGGACATCAACAATCATGATTTCCTATATTGCTACACATTAAATTATTGGGCAGAACAATCATTAATCTATAAAACACACCCGTTTATTGTTCGTAAATTAATATACAACATGCACAGCATCTACAAAAACATCACCGTGTGTTCCAAATCAGCCTCACTCCACATGTTTTGCCAAGACTTCCTCACGGGCTCACTCTGTGCAAACGTACAATTAAAATCCTGTTAAAACTACACACAATAAATAACCAAAGTGTGTTTGGTTTTTTGTGTGTGTGTGTATACACACTTGAAACAAAAAAAACAAAAACCCATTACTCATGTATATGGTTTTGACTCCTTTTTATAGAGATTTGGAGTGTTTTGATTTTGGAATACCCACTCTTTCTTTTTACTATAACATTAATGAAGTCTTTAAGCATTATTAATGTACTAAACAGGTTTCTTACTCCATCTAGAAGGTAAACTTGTTTGACCCGGGTCTTCGACACCTTCTGTTCCCGTACATCCAACTTGCGTTGTTGCAACTACTTGTTTTTTTTTTTTAGTCCAGCTATTGTACAGCGCTGGGGAATTTGTTGGCACTTTATTAATAACAAAACCTGCTTGTGACTACTTTCTATTTGGTGAGGAAAAAGCACCCTCATTGCATTCAGCTTATCTTTACAGTACAAGGCTTGTGAGACCATGCAGAACTGTATCTTGTCCATTATGTGAGGGGCTGGGCTGGAGAACCCCAGTTTTGTTAAATGGCTCGAATGTTTGACTTGAAACCAAGGCACGGCAACAAATCAATAGGGTGTTATGGTACATTAAGCGTATTTTTTAACAAACATTGGAATCAACATTGCCTTGGAGTTAAAATGTTATTTGAGTTAGCACATTTTTAAAATACCAGTTGTTTTAGAAACCCTCCACATGGCAAGTTCTTGGCATAATATGGTTTATATAGCCTAATCTTATGTGAACACTTCATATTTGAGGATGTCAGACGTAGAACAGTTTTCTGATTTATTTCCCAAATGAAGCTTTCTGACAAAATGTGCTGAATCGGCTTTCCGGTGGTGCCCTTTGAACTTTTTTTTTTTTTTCTCACAGGAATTTCCTCCTCAAAACTCCCCAGTTTCATTGTTAATCCTTTCTTGTGCCATTTTTGCTGAAATGTGTCGACTTTCAAAGCTGCCTTTTGGGAAATACTTTATCTTTGTTTTTAATTCAGTTTATTTAGAAAAGTTGAACAAAGTAACATCATCAATCTATCAACATGGCATTAAAATGTATGGAAGTGATGTGAAGAATCTGCAACAAGCTTTATGATGTCTTCTACAAATATATACCTTATCTCCAGCAGAGAATATTCAAAAGTAATCAGAATAAATGAAAACATTCAACAGAAACTCAAAAAGAAAAGGGTACAGAAACTCTTCTAGACAAGCACTGAGCGCACATTTAAACTTTCCCATTAAATTATTTGCCATGGTGCTTCCGTGCCACGGGACAGAGTTTTACTTGGTCAGTGCAGTGGAAGTACCTATGATATATGATATACCTTCAACTGCTCTTGATATTCCAATTTGCTTTTTCACAGTTTAGCCATGATCTGTCTTCAACTCCTCTTTATAAAAATCTGTCTTCTCCCTCAGTATAAAAATCTCTTCTTACACGCACTTCACTCATCCCCCCCCCATCCACATTTACATATGCCCCTCTTTATTACACTCCCAGAAACCCCACAAACCTCATCACAATACCCTCCCCTTTATCCTCACTTACCAACATTCAGTGTGCACTTTGGAACGCCCGCTCCATCTGCAGTAATTTAAAATCAACAGCCATACACAACTTTTTCATCTCAAACTCACTCACACTACTTGCACTTACAGAGACCTGGCTGTCCCCCTCTGATAGCGCTACTCCCCCGGTCATCCTAGGCTATTCATTGAGCACTTTTCTTCCTGGCTTCCCCACTTACTCTCATCTAGCACTCCCTTATACTTGGGGAATTCAATAACCCAATCAACAACCCCAATTGCACTGATGCCTCTTGTCTGCTCTCTGTAACCTCCTCCTTTGGCTTTACGCAATGGTCCAACTTGGCAACCCATATAGCGGAAAAGAACTCTTGATCTCGCCTTCACTAATCTCTCGACCGCCTCTAATCTCTCCAATATCCTTTTCCTCTATCGGACCACCATCTGCTGACTTTTTACATCAGCATGCCCAAGACCCAATTGACACCACTGTCTGAACATCAATCTCACAGAAACCTCCAATGTCTTGACCTAGAGCATTACTCCACTAATCTCCAAACTCTCCTTTTACCTATCTCAAACCTCACCTATCCGAGCTCTGCAACTTCCTTCTATAATTCCACCCTCTCCTCTCAACTAGACATCATGGCACCTCCTACATTTAAACATAGCAAGCACCCCCAACAACAACCTTGGCACACCATGCTGACTCGATACCTCCAAAAATGCTCCAGAACTGCTGAATGCTGTTGGAGAAATTCTCACTGTGCATCTGACTTTCTCCACTATAAATTTATGCTGTGCTCATTCAGCGGGGCTCTTTCCTCTGCAAAAGTAAATTACTTCAATACCTTCATAACCACACTCTCCCACGAACCCAAACTACTATTTCAAACACTTAACTCTCATCTTCGCCCTATTGTTTCTCCTCCACCTACTAACTTGACCGCCTCAGACTTTGCAACTCACTTCACTGACAAGATCTCTACAATTAGGAATCTTCTTCCCCTTACAATACTTCCTCTAACTTCACTCCCTCTGCTGTTCTATGTTCATTTGCACCCGCTACAGCGGAAGAGGTTTCTGCTCTGCTCCCTAGATCCAATTCCCTTGCATCTTATCCGTACTGTCTTCTTCTTTCTCTACCTCTCACTAAAATCTCTCTCTCCTCTGGCATATTTCCATCACCCTTCAAGCATGCATCTATTACCCCAACTGTAAAGAAACTCAACCTTGACCCTAACTCCCCGTCCTACTACGGTCCTATCTTGCTACTGCCTTTTGCATCCAAGATCCTTGAAAGAGTTGTGTATGCGAGATTGACATACTTCCTCGAGTCTAACTCTGCTAGACCCGCTTCTGTCTGGTTTCCACGTTAAGCATTCTGTGGAAACGGCACTGACCAAAGTATTCAGTGATCTACTCGGTGCAAAAATCTCGTGGTCACTACTCTATATCCTAATTTTTCTTGACTTTTCTGCGGCTTTTGACACTGATCATCCTCCACAACATCGGTCTACAAGATATTGCTCTCTTTCAGTGTTTTTCTCTGGCTCTGCTTCTTCTCCCCAACTCCTCTCTGTTGGTTCTCCCTCCCCCTCCCCCCCCAAGGTTTAGTCCTTGGTTTGCTACTGTTCTGTCTATACTGCCTCCCTTGGTAAACTCATTGGCTCCTTTGGCTTCTAATATCATTTCTATGCAAATGACACGCAAAATCTATATGTCCTTTCCTGATCTCTCCCAGTGTCTTTGACTGCCTCTCTGCTATTTCTAACTGGATGGCTGCCCACTTCCTTAAACTCAACTTGACTAAAAACTGAAATTCTGGTCTTTCCTTCCGCAAGTGTTGCTACTTCTGTGTCTGTCTCCCTCCAAGTCAACAGTGCTAACATCAGCTCCACCATGCAGGCTCACTGCTTAGGTGCTCTCTTCGACTCCGACCTCTCCTTCACGCCTCATGTCCAGTGTATTGCCAAATCCTGCCTCTTAAATCTCAAAAACATTGCGCGCATCTGACCCTACTTAACGCCAGATGCGACTAAGGTGCTGGTCCATTCCACTGTCCTTTCTCACCTTTACTGTAATCAGCTTCTCGGTGGCCTTACGTGCTACCAACTTGCACCTTTTACAGTCCATAAGGAATGCAGTGGCGAGGCTCCTCTCCCTGTCCGCCCGCTCCGCCCACGCCTCACCCTTCTTTCAGTCCCTACATTGGCTTCCTGTAATATATATGGCTCAATTTAAAATTCTGGTTCTTGCTTTCAAATCTCTACATAATGCTGCTCCCAAGTATCTATCCTCCCTAATACACAAGTATTTCCTGTCTTATGCCCTTACACTTTGCTGAAGACTTACATCTATCTTCTGTCCGTACTCCCACCTCTGATGCTCATCCTTCAAGACTTCACGAGGGCTGCACCGTTCCTGTGGAACTCACTTCCCTCCTCCCTTAGATGTTACCTCAGTCTCCACTCCTTCAAAAAAATCATTAAAAACCCACTTCTTCATAAAAGCGTATTAAACTGTAAATAGCTCCCGACTGATTCCTCTCTTGCAACTGTCATTAGTCTCATACTAGCCTTACCTTTTGTGTCACTTTACCCCACTCCCTCTAGCATGTAAGCTCATTGAGCAGGACCCTCAACCCCTCTGTTTCTGTGCATCCAACTTGTCTGGTTACAACTACATGTTTATTCGTCCACCAACTGTAAAGTGCTGTGGAATTTGTTGGCCCTATATAAATAAGATAATAATAATAATAATATTGCAGGGTTAAGAGAACACTGCACCCAGATCACTTCATTGAGATGAAGTGGTCTGGGTGACTATTGTGTTCCTTTAAATTAAGTCTATTTGAAATCACTAGTTGGTAAGATTTAAATCATTATTTTTAAAGTTACTCATTCTTGCTAGTTGTTATAATCTATGGAACAGTCTGTCTCCCCCAATCAGATTTTTAAAGTCCACCTCTCTAGAATAGCTGATAGACTCCAAGCATAACTACTATTACTCTAACATTACCCATTTCACTCTCCCCTTCCAATTTTGCTACTTTCTCATCGTGTCCGTTCCATCCCTTCACTCTACCCTTCTTATTTTGTCTTTATAAACCAATTCCTGTAGGATGACTCATTGTTCCTATCAAAACCTGTAAAAGTTTCTCACTTCTTAAAGGACCACTCTAGGCACCCAGACCACTTCAGCTTAATGAAGTGGTCTGGGTGCCAGGTCCTTCTAGGGTTAACCCATTTTTTCATAATTATAGCAGTTTCAGAGAAACTGCTATAATTATGAATGGGTTAAGCCTTCCCCCTAATCCTCTAGTGGCTGTCTCATTGACAGCCACTAGAGGCGCTTGCGTGCTTCTCACTGTGAAAATTACAGTGAGAGCACGCCAGCGTCCATAGGAAAGCATTGTAAATGCTTTCCTATGAGACCGGCTGAATGCGCGCGCAGCTCTTGCCGCGCGTGCGCATTCAGCCGGCGGGGCGTAACGGAGGCGGAGAGAAGGAGGAGAGCTCTCCGCCCAGCGCTGGAAAAAGGTAAGTTTTTACCCCTTTCCCCCTTCCAGAGCCGGGCGGGAGGGGGTCCCTGAGGGTGGGGGTACCCTCAGGGCACTATAGTGCCAGGAAAACAAGTGTGTTTTCCTGGCACTATAGTGGTCCTTTAACGTGCCTTTAATAGTATAAGAAAGCGCTACAGACTTTAGCGCTTTATAAATGCCAATAATAATTCCATGCTATCACAGACTAATGCCTAAAGGCAGTGTATTTGCATGCAATATTCTTTCTGATAATGTACATTAAGAGTTGTGCAGAGTGGGATTATAACTTATCTTGAAACCACTAAATTAAATACAGTAACATTGCAGAATACTGCAGAACAGATTGGCCCTATAACATTAAAACCTACCTCTGTGGTTAGGGGGCCAACATCTGCTGTGTCTAAGCATGGATGTGTTGGTTTGAACCATGCTTGCCAAAAACTGTTAGACATTTCAATGCCAGGCTTCTAAGATTCCATTGTGTTGTCTAAGTGCATTTTTTTTTTTTTTTAAACTGATCTATTGAAAGCAGTAATGCTGCATTTTTATCCGATATTTCAGTGGGGAGCCTAATTTGACCTCACTCTCTCAAATCTCTTCTCATACTGGTGCTTACACCAGCAAGTTTTCCAGCATATTTCCTTCCAAGGTCAATTGCTTATTCATTGCAGGTCAGGAAATTCTGGCTACACGATTAAGAGACACGCGCACCCTCAAAAAAAAAAAAAAGTATTTTCCTTTTAATAGCTTTTAGATTAAAGGGACAGCTTAATGTAGTTGTTCTGGTGAGTATAGTCAGTCCCTGCAGGCATTCAGTAGTAAACACTGAGGAAAAAAGGCAGTGTTTACATTACAGCCTAGGGACACCTCCAGTGGCCACTACTCAGATGGATTCTAGAGGTACTTTCTGGGGCAGTGTCTCCACTCTCTGCATGATTTATTCAATCTATCTCTGAGGAGTTGCGGATTGGACAGTGTGGGTTTGGCTCTGCCCCTGCACCCACCTCCTTGGCAATCCTTTACTATAGGAAAGCATTGTGATTGGCTCACATCATGACTTCTGATCAAGGGCAGAGCCAGTACCAGTAGACTGGAATAAAGGTAAGATTGTACTATGTTTAGAGGAGCCAGATGGTAGATAATGGTTTTTAACGAGATATAGTCCACGATCCTGCACTGACATTTGTAGTTAAGTGCCACGGTGCTCTTTCAGCCAAATCCACATAAATCTCCACGTAGAAAGGCACATCATCCCGATGAAAGTCCTATGATGGACTGAAACATTGATTTTGCTGTAACCAATGAGTTATAAATAAAGACAAATAATTTTCTTCAAAAAGCCCAGCGTGTGCCTTTCTTCGTGGATATATATATATATCTATCTCTCTATCTATATCTATCTATCTCAGAAATACGTATTCCTTTAAGAATTATTCTAAACACCATGACCACGTCAGTGTTTTGATGTGGTTATGGTGCTTGGAGTCTGTATGCACAAACAGTTTTAACACAGTTTTCCTGTGGTTTAACTACACCTCCAGCATAGTTATTAGGGCATCATTAGCCAGCCAAGAATAAGAGTTCCAGGCTTGCTAATGTCCAATTCTGTGCATAGATCAATGCACAAACAAGCTTTCATTGGCTGAGAGCGATCAGCTGACACTCTCAGCCATTGAATGAGTGGCAGGATTAGCATCCAGCTTCTGAAGCACTAAAAAATCTAGATGTTGTAAGCCTGTGGCAGAGGAGACTGGATGGAGTCTCAGGTAACAAACTGTTGTAAAAGATGGTGGTCTCACTGCAGCCTGTACCTCCTTTATTGAAGTAATCGGTCAAGATGACTTTTGATGAATCAGATGCTTTAAGGACTTATGATTGTGCTCCGCAGTCTCCACAATCTACCTACCCAGTGCTAGTCTATAAGAAGCATTGGATGGACACCGTATCCCACAACAGCAAGATTGTAAGGGCAGCATCCATGCCTCCAAATAATTTCTTTTAGGTCATTATTTTGAAGATTAGACTATCCCTTTAACGTTGAAGCCTTTTAAACGCAGGTTGCATTAAAGGGACAGCTCATTGAAGTGGTCTGGTTGTAGTGTTCCAGCACTCTTAAGAGGTAATTATTGCAGTTTTTTTTATACTCTGCAATAATTACCTGCTAAGGTTAACTCCTTCTCTAGTGGCTGTTTACCAGACAGCCACAAGAGGGACTTCTGGATCCTAAGATGACTTTTGGCCGCCTAACTGACGCTGGACGTCCTCACGCTATGCAATGCCGGAATCCCCATAGGAAAGCATTGAATGATAGTTTCCTATGGGGAAATCCTAATGTGAATGTGGAGCGGAGGTGGATCAGAGCCAGCGCCAAGGAACATCGACGCTGGACCTAGGTAAGTGACAGAAGAGGTTTTAAAGGGGTGGGGGAGGGGGGGCTGGGCACTATAGGGAGCTATAGTGCCAGGAAAACAGAGGTTTGTTTTCCTGACAGTATAGATTCCCTTTAAATTATTAATCAATTGTAGGGCTACTTAAAGATTTCAGCATCTGCTTGTCTACAAATAACAGACCTAGGTATTAAAATATATTGCAGTTTGTGCATGTATTTCCTTCACCTCCAGTTTATAATCTTCTGCTGCTGTACTTGATTAAAAATAAAATATATATTCAAACTGGTAGTTTCCCTGGAGTGCAGATTAAACTATTACAACTTTTACCTTTTATATAATCAAGTAACTTTACCTCCTGTACTGTTGGGCATATCATATGCTGGCTGTGCGCCTGTACATTGATCCTAGTAATCCTATGCTCCGATACTACCCCTGCTGTCAAAAGTGTGTTTGCAGTTTCTCATTTACACTTGAATTATTGTCATGCTTTTTCATGTAATATTTAATAAAGACGTAATTTGAAGAATTGGATTGGTTTTGTATTCTTTTATTGCCAGGTTTTTACCACTTTTGTGTACATTAAAATAGTTTTCCTTTGTCTTACAGATGCTGTAATGAATGGGGACTATTATCAGGTAATGAAAGGTGTTTTTGTTTTGCTTTATTTCGGTGTCTGTTTTTACTGAAATACTTTAAAAGCAAATGCCTCCTTGAGATAAGCCTCATTTCCAGTCTAGGCTTTGGTCCACAGCAACATGGATCTATCTACTAAGCTCTTGTCTTTAGATAGTTTGTGGATTCTGACCAACATTATAGAGAGAGATTGTTTGAGACACATATTGGTGTCTTTGTGTCCTTAAACCTCATATCCTGTGTACTTGTTTTGCCATTCAGTTCAAGATAAAAGTTCAACCATCTTTTTTGAATCTGTGCTTTTGAAAAGAAGTTAACTCTATAAACCTGTTTGCCACCAGTGGCATTAGTCCTACAATTAAAAATCCTCTGTGTGACCTGAAGATATATAGTTGTTCTGTATACTAAGCAGACTAGTCTATGAAACGCTTAAAGGGAAACGCATCAAGGATTATATAGATGCATTGTTTAGTGAGACTGCGTGCAGCTACAGGATGGCCCATTTGTACCAGCAAGGGACACTCCAATTAGGAGCATCTCATTTTGGTATGTGGGGGCTATTTTATTCTTTAAACCTCTTTTGTAACAGGAGTCTAAGACACACGGTTTGTCCTAAGAATTACTCTCAAGCTTTATGATGAGTAGAACTTTCCTGTAAACTGATGGCTGGTACCAGTATATAGTCAGTCAGTTCACTGTTTAGTTACCTATTCTGTACCTGTATTTTGCAAAGTTTCTATCATTGCCCGAGCTGTGTGTGAGGGGTTCAACTTTGATATTGTTAACTGTATGCTAGATTAAAAAGCACACTGTACAATAATATTAGGGGTAATAGGAATGCTTGTTGTACAGTATGTATGCAGAGTGCATGCATAGTTTGTGTAATTTATAAGAGTGTTCATTACTCAATGTACTGTAGGGTTTAGAGTAATACAATGGAAAGAGATCCTCAGTAGCTACTTCAAGCATCTAATAAATGTGGCTCCATGCCATAGCTATTTCTGTATTGCAACATTTTGACCATGTTGAATTCATAGTACATTCCAATTACTACGCTTGCTGGCTTTGGTTGGATGCCTCAAGCAAATGGTGTTCCCCTTTTAAGTATTTAGATTAATAAAATACTACTAGGTAGAGCCAAATTATTTGAAATGAATCTGCAGTTTCAGAAAAGAACACACCATGTATATATAGTAAAGGGACTGCTAGGATGGAGTTCACCTTTTCTTACATAGCAATGGTTCCCAAACCAGTGGTTAAGGCACTCCTACCAGTCCAGGAATTAGGGATGGGGAAAAAAAAAATACCTTACCACAAATGGGTAATCCCTAAATCCTGGACTGGTATGGGTGTCTTGAGAACTGGTTTGGGAACCACTGTTGTATAAAATGGAAAAAATAGCAGAAACTGTACATTTATATTTAAAATAAGATATTTGAAGTTCCAGCATTTGCTACGTATTCCCCGGCTTTGTAAATTCTGCAGTGAGCAATCTCCAAACCAAGGAGTGATTCAGATAGCAGCAGGTCTTTAGGCTATCATACTAAGTTCATCCCCCAGATGTTTTTCTGGGAAGAAGAAGAATCGCATAATTTACTATAACAAAAAGGTAACACTGCAGTTTTAGCAGGGTAAGCAGAAAGGGAATGAACTTAAGGGCTAAAATAACTTGCTGTAACCTAATCTGCACATTGCACCTAGTGTGTGTCTAGAGTGATCCTTTAACTGCTGCCTTTTTTCTTGTTTAGGAATCTAATGGACCAACTGATAGCTATGCAGCAATATCCCAAGTTGATAGGTTACAGGCTGAGCCTGAAAGCATTCGAAAATGGAGGGAAGAACAAAGAAGCCGTTTGGAAGTACTTGGTTAGTGCTCATTTTCGTTGAGAATAAAATATACTGTATATTAAATCTTATTTTATGGTGTTGAGTTTTGGGATGTTATGAATCTATAAATATATAACTTAAATTTCTAAAATTGCTAACTTATCGCTAACACATCATAAATATTCAGATTTTTTTTTTTTTTTTTTTATGTTGTGATTTCACATTTGTGATATATTAAAATAATATATCTAAAGAACTTTCAAAACAGTCTAGTATAAAATAAGTTACAAACACTTCCATCCATGATAGTGATGCACCGAAATGAAAAATTCAGGATGCCCTTGGCTGAAAACCAAAACCGAAAATGACTTTTTTTTTTTTTCAAATGCATTTTAAAATAGTTTTTTCTATAATTTTATTAATATTAGACCTTTTGTCAGCAACTTACAGTGAATTTTATAATTTAGGCTATAATAACTAAACTAGGAGAAAAAAACAACAAAAAACAATTGTTTTCAGTTTGGCTAATTTGGCCTATAATAAGAAAATCAGTTTAATTTCACTTTCATTTCCTCACAATTGACAGCTAATTAATAGCCCTGAATTTATTACTAGGTCAAAGAGGTAGCTGTTGTAAAACTGCAACTCTGACTATGCTCTGTGAGCCTAAAGGGTGAGAAAGCATGATAGGAGTTGTAGTTCTGCAGCACCAGTCGCTGCAGGTTCTACATGTGCTGTCCAGATTTGGCCCTCTCACCCCCCGCTGTTAAATAACCTTGCCGGGAAGCTGAGCTGGTGGTCCTCCCCTCGGCCCTCCGATGCTGCATGCTCTACGGGACTGCTTCACAGGCAGCGTCTGTCTTCAAGGCTGCGACACCTGCCAGAAAGCAAACTGCAACATAGGGGTTACAAACACTAGAGAACGCAGCTCATAGCTTGTCCTGTACCGGTTTTTCTTCCGTGTGCTACTTTCTCTGGTGTTTACAACTCCTGTGCACCACGTTTGATGGTCAGATAAGTAGTGTGTGTATGTATGTGTGTGTATATATGTATGTATGTGTGTGTGTATATATGTGTGTGTGTGTGTGTGTGTGTGTGTATGTATATATGTATGTATATATATATATATATATATATATATATATGTGTGTGTATATATATATATATATATATATATATATATATATATATATATATATATATATATATATATATATAAACACACACACGGCAGCTCACTGTGCTCCGTTTCTTATTGTGGGACAACTGATGTTGGGTACTGCGCTGCTAAAAGAAAAAATAACCTGCCCTGGAGGTGGAGGGGTGTAATTTTCGGCACATTTGGCCCATTTTCGACTGGAAATTTCTGCAGCCGAAAATTCGGTGCATCCCTAATCCATAAGAATTTCCTCTCAATAAAAGTGTAAAACACTCCAAACACTCTGTTCCTGCTAATTCCATTAATTTTAGCACTTTGTCTAAAATTACCGTATTTTTCGCTCCATAAGACGCACCTCACCATAAGACGCACCTAGTTTTTAGAGGAGGAAACCCAGAAAAAAAAATATTCTGAACAAACTGTTCCATAGTGTTTCTTACCATGGGACAGTTTGTTCAGAATATTTTTTTTTCTCCCCTGTCCCATAATGATCTTTAACCCCCCCTTTCCTCTGTCCCATAGTGATTGTTAACCCCTCCTACCCTGTCCCATAGTGATTGTTAACCCCTCCTACCCTGTCCCATAGTGTTCTTTAACCCCTCCTCCCCTTGTCCATTAGTGTTCTGATCCCATAGTGTCCCCCCCTCCGATTGTCCCATAGTGCACTTTCCCTCCCATAGTGTCCCCCCCTGCCCTTGTCCCATAGTGTCTCCCCCTCCCCTTGTCCCATAGTGTCTCCCCCTCCCCTTGTCCCATAGTGTCCCCCCTCCCCTTGTCCCATAGTGTACCCCCTCCCCTTGTCCCATAGTGTCTCCCCTCCCTTTCTCCCATAGTGTCCCCCCTCCCCTCCCTCCCCTTGTCCCATAGTGTCTCCCCTCCCTTTCTCCCATAGTGTCCCCCTCCCCTTGTCCCATAGTGTCTCCTCCCCTCCCCTTGTCCCATAGTGTCTCCCCCTCCCCTTGTCCCATAATTACTTACCTGTCTTGGAGCGTGGGCCGGCTTCACAGCGCGCTCCGCCGTCCAGGAACTAATATTTCAGGTTCCGGTTTCCGGCGGGACTGAAAGGAAGTGTGCACACTTCCTTTCAGTCCCGCCGGAAACGGAACCTGAAATAGAAGTTCCTGGACGGCGGAGCGCGCTGTGAAGCCGGCCCACGCTCCAAGACAGGTAAGTAAATCTTCACATTCGCTCCATAAGACGCACAGACATTTCCCCTCACTTTTGAGGGGAAAAAAAGTGCGTCTTATGGAGCGAAAAATACGGTATTTATTTATTGTATACTATTTAAAACAAAGCTGTCCTTACTATTTTCATAATAGAATCTCTGGAGAAACCTAACAAAAGTTATATGTAAGATATAGTGGTGTCTCCTTTGTCCTGTTTGAGTTTTTTTTTTTTTTTTTTTTTTTTTAAATGTGGCCAAAGAGAGGGCTTCTTACTACTTCAACTGCCGTATTTTGTCTTTCCCATGAGCTGTCAACAGTTTATGAAAACAGACTTCATCTCCCCAGTAGACATTATGGAACCAGACACGTCGTCTTAAGGGAGTTTTTTTTTTTCCCCTTCCTTCCCATAACTGTCTAGATCCCACAAGTGACAGTGATCCCTTTTTATAAATCTCCCCTGCAGTGTTTAATTGCACATTGATATTGTAAGCCGAACTTATGGTCCTTTCATTTTGATGGTACTGAAATGAATTGTCGTAGCATCCTTTTCAGTAATTTTGAACATCTGAAATGTTTGTGATCTCTCCAGATGCTAACTCTGTAAAACAAGAATCTGAGTGGAAAGAGAAGGCTTCCAAGGAGCTGGATGAGTGGTACGCCAGGCAGGACGAATTGTTACAGAAGACCAAAGCAAATAATCGGTAACAATCCTAAAAGAGACATAGTGTTCGCTGCACAGGCACTGCACATTGCACTCCTGCCAAGTTCTGTTTTTTCTGGATGAAAGTAACACATTTTACTAGTTTTCCTTTATTTAACAGGGTGTTGTAAGAAATGCCTAATGTGCGCACAGCATTGGTGTTTAAAGGGTCAATTTTAACCTTTAAGTGCCACGCGGGCAGTGTGACAGTATGGTGCTACGTAAAAGACAGTGGTTCCTGCATGGACTTAATTTTCTGTTTTGTTTTTTTTATTATTATTTTATACATCTTCTGCTCTTTTTCATGTTTCTAGATTTTAGTGCCTCATAAAACCAAATATTTATCCCCTCAAGGACCAATGACCAATATTTGATATCACAGGTAGTCCATAAATATGGAATGTGCGGTTTATTTAGCATTTACAGCTATATACTGCCCTGTCACTGTTAAATGAGCATCACTACAGTCTTGGTCGAGCTCAAATCTTTGCTTTGAACACTGCTATTCTGTCTGTTCTTAAGGGGTTACAGCGAACATTTTGTTCTCCAGTAAGTATTGTAAAGTGAAATCTCTTTTTGATGATCAGGTCACGTAAGCCATTATGCCTACTGCTTCTCTGAATGTCTATTTTAGGAGTACCAAGTATATGTGGCCTCTAGTATAGTTAAAAAAAACAAAACGCTATTGGAAAGAGTCGATTTTGGCTTTTTTTTTTTTTTTTTAATATAATCCTTTATTCCCTTCCAGATACTAAAGTGTGAAAACAGATCTAAACTTTCTAAGATGCTAACTTTAAAGGGGGAATCCTGCATATACAAAATTCTGATTGTGTTTTATTCTGATCCAGGGTTGGGCTATGCAAGTAATAATATTTAGGTCCGTATGTGGCAGAGCTTTGCAAGTTCCGGGAAAGCCTTTTTATTTTATTTATTTTTTTGTCACAATACAGAAATACAGTGTATTATGAATCAAAATATAAGCTGAAATCCACTATTTTATGTGGTTTGAATTTTTTTTTTTTTTTTAAATGTTGTGATTTCCCCTTTATTTAGCCAGTGTTGTAGAAGCTTATGTTCTAATCCTTGTTGTGCATGTTATCTAATCTTCTTTGTCAGACTTAAATCTTTCATGCTTCTTTTCAATGCTCTCTCCTTTTTCCTTGCCTGCTTGCCTTCTCTTTGGACTTCTTGCTGTCTATAGGGTGACAGATGAAGCCTTCTACAAACAACCCTTCGCTGACGTGATTGGTTATGTGTATGTTGCAAACTTACTAATTCTTCTAGCTCATTGTACTTGCTTTGTATTCTGTTTTCTTTCTTTCTTTTTTAAGTTTTATTTACAAAAACAAAGTAGCAGTATACGAGTAATAAGAGTATAATAGTATTGGTATTAGGAATTTTAACCGCATTAAGTAAACCTTAGGACTGTTCTAATACTTTTTGACAAATACCTGTCCTTGAAGTATTTAATTTTGACTTCCAATGCCATGGGGGGAAAAAACATAATCGCCTTATTTAATAGGTAAGATAAACAATGTGATGGGGATTCCAGTCACTTTAAATGACATATGCCTCTTTTATAGGGGATATGGGTTTTGTTTAAAGGGACACTATAGTCCCCAAAACAAATTTAGTTTTAATGAAGCAGTGTATATAGATCATGCCTCTGCAGTCTCACTGCTTAATTATCTGTAATTTAGGAGTTCATTAACCCACAGTTGTTTTGGTGACTATAGTGTCCCTTTAACTATTTGGTTGCATTGAGCGCCCTTGTGTTGTGGTGATTTTACCTTTTGTTTATTGTGTTTTATATTTGCTGTAAATTAATTGCAGGAACCCTTTATAGATCGATAAAGACTTTCTCTAGCAGAGCTTCTCCACAGGTTCATGCAGACATATATGTTAATATAGAGATGTTTTGAACCGATTTTAGCTTTCTATTCCTCATAAACAATCAAAAAAACAAAGCAGGTTTGTAGCCAGCAGTCTTTAAGAAATTGACCATTATGTTAATCTCTAAAATTATTTACAAATGTTATTTTTATATATAGATATAGATAGCTCTATCTATCATTATAGTCCATATTCATAAATTTTTGTTTGGGGTTGAAATGCCATTCTTATTTACTTGCTTTTTATCTGCGAATGTTAAATATGTAGGACAATTACATCTCACAGCTGGTTTTGAAAAATCAGATTTTGACATAAATTGCTAGGCTCTGTCACTGCAATATCGCTTTTGAGAATTTCATAAACATAAAATATTTATGGAACAGTCACTTTGGCTGTGTTGGAATTTTATTGAAATTTCAATTCATTCAAAAGATAAAAGGCAAATTGTGGACTACTTGACAAAAGGCTGTCAAAATGTCAATTCCTACACTTGTTGCTAGTGATGGCAGTTTTATGAAACTGTCTTCTTCTCATGCATCAAGAGTGCTGGGCTCTTACAGATCCCGCAGTCTTGTTGGATCTTCCATATATCTCATCATTGTACTCTTGTGCATGTGCAAGAGTAGCAGTGACACTGGCACCTTGCACATGACACTCCATGAATTGAACAAAGAATATGGCAGTTCCAGTTATCTTCCACGAGCTTCACCCTTGGCTGCACACAGACAATGATTGTCACCTTTGCGGGTCTTTACAAAATATGTAAAGGTCTCAAAGGTGACAAAGCTGTGTTGATTGAGCTACTGCTTTTTATTATTTGATGGAGATGTTCCTGTCTGCTCATTTTGCCTGCTTTGGTTGTGACATTGTTAGTAAATGTTACTTATATTCTCTAAACGTAATCAAAATTAAGTGTGTAATCTATTTGTGAAAGTTTGGTAAGTGCAACTTCTCTTGCATTGCATTATCTACTAATGTTTGGATATAAATGCCTGCAGTTAGATCTTGTAGTGACCCTATTTAGGTGTCTCATTACTAAATTTTCTTGTAAGGGGGATCATGCTCCTACTTTCGAAAACACCCTGACACCTCACATCTTAGCTCAGGAGAGCCAACAATGGTTCCTGCTTTGGAGCTTACGACTCTCTGGCGTTGGGAGAGCTGCACCTGGCAGACCCCAAGCAAAAAGTCAAACCATTAGAAAACTGACTATTTACAATGGTGGTCACCAGGGCACTCCTGACACCATAAAAACTACAGAGAGCTGCAGTGATTAAGGTGGTTGAAGTGTTCCTTTTATGCTATAGCAGTTTATGTTGGCTCTGCGTACATGAATAATGTATCAGCACAAAAGACGGTGCTTTCATATTTGTATTTTAATCTACTGTACTATTTTGTGCACAACTGGCACAGTACATGTAGACTTTTCCTCTGTAGCAGGTGAGATGCAAATAGTGGCAAAAATGTTGCAATTTTAAGCAAATCTTATTTTGCTTACAAAACAAAATTTAAGTAAAAATCAAGTGTTATGGACACTCACAAACTAATTTTACTGTAAGCTATTCCATTTTATTGATCCAAACTAGAGCACCGGCCTTTAAGGGTTCCTTGACACCTTGTCAGATCAGCTTCTATTAGTGTTTATTGGAACTGAACTGCTTTTGTTAAATCCTTCAAAAGCACCTTAAAGAAACAAAATAAAGTATTAGGAAGACAAACTGATATTTCTGCCACTACAGTCTCGTTATCCCTATGTATTTTCAGGTCCCTCCCTCATGTGCAGTAAGAAATGAGGCGAATTAAAGGGACACTATAGTCACCAGAACAACTACAGCTTATTGAATTTGTTCTGGTGAGTAGAATCATTACCTTCAGGCTTTTTGCTGTAAACATTTCTTTTCAGAGAAAATGCAGTGTTTACATTACAGCCTATTGATAACTTCACTGGCCACTCCTCAGATGGCTGTCAGAGATCCTTCCTGGGTCATGGCTGCCTAAAATGCATCCAAACATTCAGTATCTCCTCCTTCTGTATGCAGACACTGAACTTTCCTCATAGAGATACATTGATTCAGTTAATCTCTATGAGGAGATGCTGAGTGGCCAGGGCCGTGTTTAAATCATGCTGGCTCTGCCCCTGATCTGCCTCCTTGTCAGTCTCAGCCAATCCTATGGGGAAGCATTGTGATTGGATCAGGTCACCCCTTCTGATGATGTCAGAGGAAGTTCACAGGCAGAGGCAGCATCTTCAGACTTTAAAGGGACACTCCAGGTACCCAGACCACTTCTGCCCATTTGAGTGGTCTGGGTGCCAGCTCCCACTACACTTAACCCTGCAAGTGTAATTATTGCAGTTTTTTATAAACTGCAATAATTACCTTGCAGGGTTAACTCCACCTCTAGTGGCTGTCTGTTAGTGTTTTCACCCCTTCAGCAACCGGGGATTGGTGGGTGGAAGGGAGAGGGAACCTGCAGTGCCAGAAAAACGGATTGTTTTCCTGGCACTGGAGTTTCCCTTTAATACAAGTAAACTTTTACTATATTTTTAGGGACGCAAAGGGGGCTAGATAGTAGTTAACACTATAGGGTCAGGAATACATGTTTGTGTTCCTGACCCTATAGTGCTCCTTTAAAGTTTTTACTTTATGCTTTCTGGGCATTGCTTCCCAATATCTAATCCACTGCTCCTTGTAGAGGAGCTTTGGGGATCCAAAGTGCATACGATGCACGTGCATCCAAGCTTCACCATAGGAAAGCATTGAATCAGTGCTTTTCTGTAGGAGCTTCCGCTTCACGTTACATTTTTTTACTCTGTCAGTGCCGCAGAAGGGAAATTGTATATGTTGCAGTGTTTTTTTTTTTTGTTTTTTTTTTTTAAATATTGCAAGGTTAAAATGTCAGAACTACTACACCCAGGCCACTTCATTGCGATAAAGTGACCTGGATGACTTTAGCGGTCCTTTAACAGACACAATATCCTCTAGTCAAGTAAGTGATTCCATGTGATAATGGAAACAGTGGTTTATCATTCGTTCACAAGGTGGAGACATCTTGCATAAACCTGTGCTTCTATCTTATTGAACATGAAACAATACACTGTAGTATTATTATTGAGTACTATTGAAAATCTTTTTATATTTCTTGACTGCAAAGGTGGAATTCTAGATGTACGGTAACTGTAGTGATTTCTTCAATTGGTACTCTGATCATTAGTGGATTGCAATTTAGGAATTGCCACATTTTATTCCAATGGATTGTGTTAATTTGGTACAGTATTAGATGTTGTTGCCTTGTCTTTGATCAACATTGTATTCGGTAGAATTTCACTCACATTGTTTCCACCTAAACGTTTGTGCAGCCACTGTGCCATTGTCATAGGAAATCAGTGCAAGCTAAATGTCGAACTGCATGTCCTGCTTACCATCAACATTGCGTTCATTTTTCATTTTCTATATCTGACTTAAAATGTTCGTGTTTTTTGTTTTGTTTTTTCCTCCTCTTCTCTTCACCTATAAGCACAAACATAAACCATCCTTGCTACAGCCTAGAACAGTTAAGTAAAATCTTCTCACTGCTGCATTCCCCTCCTAAACCTGTCTGTCCAATGATTAGTGCTAGTGTGTAGTGATCTGTCCAAGGTGATGGTGCTTACTTAACCCTTTGTGTGCCGAAGGGTTGAGCAACACACATAGCTACACACCTCCTGTGCACTTAAATGTGCAAGAAATCCCATCCTACATAATGTAGTTCTTCCTTACCCATATTCATATTTCTTTTATATTTCCTTTTCTTAAATTTCATGTTGCTTTTGCTGTTCATCTTGTTATAAGCACCCAAACTGCTAATGGCTTAACAAATTTGCAGTGTTTTGCAAATTGTGAGCTACTATTGGATATATAAAAATTGGCATATTTCCAGAATGGGACTTCTGCACAATCTAGATCTAGTGTAGTAAAAATCTGTGTTACTAGATTATAGTGCACCAAATTAGACTAACTGCTTGATATTAGCTATTGTGTTGGTAGCAATGGTTTTCAAGCTTGCCTTATGGCTTTGCCTGTCTTTTCAAAAGTAGTAGTTTTCATTTGTGAATGATTTAGAGAAACTCTTCTAGAAAACGGTTTGAATCCTTTTAAATGCATCCTACCTCTTCCCTCTCTGTAACCTAAAGACTTGTTAATGATGAAATCGAATATCAAAAATGGGAGGTTTTGATGGGTCTGTGTTTAGAAATGGTAACATGTATCAAGATGTGGAACTTGCTGTGGTTATGCTTGGTAAATATTGCTTGATGGTTATTCTCAAAGGATTTGCTAGTATGAAAAACCTAAGCAAGTCATAATATGGGCTATTTTTTTAAATGTATCAAAAAAAGGAATATAGGCACACAAAAAAGAATAATAAAAAATTAAACATAGCGGTCCCACTTTTACTAAGCGTTGTTGTTGTTGGTTTATTTTGTGAAGTATACTTTAATTAATAAATATATATATATATATATATATTTATTAGTGCATACACTGTCCTAGTATCTGACACCTGTACGTAGCATTTAAATTTCACAATTTTTGTTGGCAAAGTTCATATTTTGTAGGAACTAGCCTAATCTTTGAAATATTTCTCTAGTTATTTGACCCAGATATTTCTTATACAACTTAGTGGTCCTAACATACTGTTTCATAAGGCAGTATACTTTCCAAAAATTGTGACTGCTAGAATTGTTCACAAACATAGGCAAGTTGTAAGTACCAGTATCTTGTTTAAAATCTGGATCCAGGTACTATACTACATAGTTCCCATCACATATACTACACATGTGTGACACACAGCCTCTGCATCTCACACAATACTTATGGTACTCGTGGTGTCTTTGCCAAAGACTTGTCTGCTTGTGTGCAGTGTTAGCTTTGTCGACTAAAACAATTCAGATTACTAAAATACGACTAAAATGGCATTTTAGTCAAAAGACTGGGACTAAAACTAAATAAAAAATTTCTGCCAAAATTAAAGGAACACTATAGGCATCCAGACCACTTCAGCTTAATGAAGTGGTCTGGGTGCCAGGTCCCTCTAGGGTTAACCCTGCCTGCTGTAAACATAACAATTTCAGAGAAACTGCTATGTTTACAAATGGGTTAATCCAGCCTCTAGTGGCTGTCTCATTGACAGCTGCTAGAGGTGCTTCCGCGCTTCTCACTGCGATTTTCACAGTGACAAGACGCCAGCGTCCATAGGAAAGCATTGAGAATGCTTACCGAAGGACTGACTGCGCGCGCGCGCGGCTCTTGCATCGCATGTGCATTCAGCCGGTGACGTCAGAAGAGGGAGGAGAGTCCCCAGTGCCGAGGGAGCCCGGTGCTGGTGTTTAGCACCCCGCCCCCCCCTTCAGCCCGGCGGATGGGGGCACCTGCAGGGCACTATAGTGGCAGAAAAAAGCGTTTTCCTGGCACTATAGTGTTCCTTTAATACTGCACAGAGGGACTGTGGAAGGGACAAAAGAGTCAGACCAGGGCTTTGGAGAGAGACACCTAGAGGTGCTGGAAGGACACAAAGAGAAACAGAGGGACTGGGGAAGGGGCAAATGAGACAGAGGCTTTAACTAAACCCATTAGGTTTTAGTCATGTAGACTAAAATATACTGGAGATTTTGTTGACTAAAACAATTCAGATGACTAAAATACGACTAAAACTAAAATTACTTTTTGTCAAAAGACTGACTAAAACTAAATTGAAATTTGCTGCCAAAATGAACACTGCTTGTGTGGTGGTGCTGGTAGAAGGAAGAAGCTGACTGAAGCATATTTAATAGTTTGGTGGTTGGCAAGTCAATCACTTAATGTGTGCTACACATGAGTCATGCAATGCTGTCATCTGACCACATCTATGATTAGCAGGCCACAATAAGCAGAACATTGCAGTGAAAAACACTTGCAGGATTGCCAGGTGCAAATTTTTTGACATTATGGTCATTTTGGAGTTAACTCTGTAACCATCTACCTCCTACATAGAACAATTTACATTTATTGAGGAGGATGGAACTCTAACATTGTTAAAATAAATATCTAGTTAGTATTCCACTTGGTTACTGGAGATCTTAATTGCTGCAGCACTTAGATTTGTACAAGTATTACTACATTAGGTTTTTACTGCATTTTTTTTTTAAACTGTAATTCTGATTATCTACTTGCTACTTTTTGTAGGGCTGCTGAGGAAGCTTTTGTGAGCGACGTTGAAGAAACAACTCCCGGCACAGAGTGGGAGCGTGTAGCTCGCCTTTGTGACTTTAACCCCAAGTCTAGCAAGCAGGCTAAAGATGTTTCCCGCATGCGTTCCGTGCTGATTACTCTAAAGCAGGCTCCACTGGTTCGCTGAAATGAGAACACAAGAAGAACGTGACACTTCCGATATTTTAATCTGTACTCAGAGGAGCTATGTTTGAAATTTGGTTATTTTACCAATTTTTTTTTTTTTTCTTTCTTTTTCCCCTTTCCCTAACCCCAATCTTCTGGACCAAACACCTATTGTATTTGATATTGATCATTGTGTGTGATTGGAAATCTGTCTAATTTCTCCCTTGTACTTAGTTAGACATGAGATTTGGGACTCAACCTGTCTCAGTCATAGTCTCACAGTGTTCTTCTGCATCATACTAATTCTCATCAGTTTTGGATTTGTGGATAAACGCTTGTAATAGTGATATGAACAATCTACAAACAGTAGCATCATTACAAATGTATTCTGTATTCCAGGTTACATTTTGTCAATGTCCAACTTCTATGGAAGTCCTTCATATCATAAATGATATATTCCTATAATTAAATAAAAATATAAAAAAAGTTTGCTTGGCATTCACCATGCATTTTGTTTACAAATTATGCTATCCTCACTAAAAACTGAGACACTCCACATCTTGACTTAAAAATAAACTGAGCAAAATATGTAGGAAAAAAAAATTAAGAATGTTTACTTTGCTAAACAGAAGGAAAATTTTCGTATGAAAATAATTTTGTGCTTTCTAATAATAAAGTGGGAATATGTAACAAGGATTAATAAACAAAGTAATGTTATCCCACCCATCTTGGGTGCAGGCGAGCAGAATAAATGTTAGAAAATGTAACCACTTTTTATTTATTTTTTTAATACATTTGCTTCCCTCCATCCTCCCCACTATCTACCATCAAAACCCCTATCAACCCACTATCTACCCTGCATCCACTACAGCCACCATCCCCCAGTGAAGCCCATCTTCCTCCTCTGCGCCTATCCCTCCTCTTCACCCATTAGAACCCCTGTTCCCCTCTGCATACATTTCCTACCATTTCCCCCACCTACACCAACTACAGTCCCTCTTCCTCTGCTGTCAATGCACTTACATTTGCCAAAATTGGTGTTTCAAAATGGTTTCTAAGGGGGGGGGGAAAAAGTGGCCCCACCTTTTAGCTTGCACCAGGCTCCACAAACATGTAAACAAAAAGCTAAATTATCTTTCATTATCCCACACATCTAGTAGGTTGCACAAGTTTTAAAGAATATATAATGCAAAATGATTACAAAAGATATCAAAGTAGTAAAACCACAATGTCACACAATACAAACAAATACTTGGGAAGAAAGACATGATGCTTAAAGGTGAGCAACAAAATGGGGATGAGAGGCTTTCAACCAACTCCTAAACTAGGAAGGGTATTATCATCATTGGAAGTCTGCTTATTAAAGCACTGCAGTGGGGCCAAGGGAGAGCACACTAGCCACAGGCTTGTAACAGAGCTGACACCTTTCTTCACGGACCTAACAGCTCATAGAGACCAAGTCCTTCCCTTTCAGTGACTGTGCAAGGATCCAAATTATAGAATGAACCACTGCAAATGTGTGTGGTAAATTGGTGGAGAAACCCAAGGGGCTTTTGGCCTTGGTAGGCACTGCCATAGGATGCTGGTAACAGTAGATTTGCCCAGTATGGACATCCATATCTTCCCTCTGTTCTGGAGCTTGTGACAGCAGATTTTGTGTTGATCAGTCTCTTAAACAGATGGTGGCATATGCTTAAAATCCAAAGCTGGCTTACCAACTCTGACCTCAACTCTATCTGCTACTTTGTCGTGCTGGAGGCTCAGAGAACAAGATTTACCCCAAAATTGCATGTACAGATCTTACATAGTTCTATGGCAGAAGTGACTTGGGAGTGATCGGCTGTGTACTCCACCTTGTGCTCCTGAGCCGGCCTCCAATTTAGGTCAAAAACCACAATGCTCTATCCCAAGCAAGGGTTCATTATTCCCCAAATCTTTACTAAATCTTGACAGTCACTAGCTGAGCCTATCTGGTGCCTGATCCGGAACTCCGTGAACATGTGACCTGCTCGATCAGTGTTCAGATCCCCCCCAGGTTTCTTGTTACTTTTTGTGCTCACCACAACTAAGGACTTCAAGATTTTAATATCCAGTATCGTATTCAAAGAGTGAAAGGGGGCGTAAGATTTGTCATACACATATTTGCTGTATCAGCCTCTCAATGCAATGTTACATAGTTTATAGAGTTACATAGACTGAAAAGAGGTGTGCGTCCATTAAGTTCAGCATTTCTCACGTGTTTTTGTTGTTGTTCCAAAAGAAGGCAAAGAAAAACCCAGTTTGAAGTGCTTTCCAATTTTTCAGTAAACTGGGACAAAATGCTTATTGGAGCCTAGAACGGCAGTCAGATCTCTTCTTGAATCAAGAAACTGTCGCCCCACAATTTACATGACAAAAGGAAAAATAACCTAAATGTAACCTCTCAAACGCAAGCCCTGAATAGCCATCCCTATATCAGTCTATAACTCAGTCTCGAGGAACATCACATTAAAATTCACAAAGGATAGGGCATGATCCTGGTTATACATCAAGCAGTAACCAATGGTTTAAAAGCCGGTCATACAGTAAATGCAAACCACAAGTCAACATAAATAAAGCTTGCTAATGCAAGAATAAAAGTCAACTTAACTAGTGAATAGCACGCAAATGTAAGAACATAAAAATTATATGTGGAAATGAAAATAAATATATGCAACATCTCAAACATAAATGGGCAATGAGAAAACAAGGATGGGACAAGCAAAGCAAAAGATCTCAAAGTGTGGGACAATGCACACATAAAATCATAGCTTTTCATCATTATATGGCAAAATCATGTAATTTTATTTCAAGACACATAGGCTCATATTGTGCAAGTTCAAAGCTGCGTAACCACTGAAGAACAAATATGACCGATATGTCTAAAGTAAAATTTGTGGGAGGTGGACTCCTGTGACCAGTTAGCGGCCGCCCAGAGACACTACCTTTGAGGCAGATGCTCTGCGAACAGAGTGGGCTCCAAATCGAGTGAAATCCACTCCCACAGAGAACCCAGTGAGCAAAGGTAGGACTAGAAACTGGTCGGAAATGGGGGCGCAGAGCAAGAAACAATAGAAAAGCATGAGGACGCTATGAAGCAGTCTTGTATTCCTACACCTGAAGACAAGAGACCGGGCACAAAGGGAATGCCAGGTAACACATGGACTGCCAGGAGGTCTAAGTAGGTTTCAAAATATTAAATTGCATGCCTTTCAGATTAAAACCAAGGGTGTCCGACTCCAGAGCTGAACGTCTGATACATACTTGCACCATGCAAAGCAAATTCACCAGTTTAGCTGACAACTGGCAAAGGAACAGGTCAGCTTTCGGAGGCCAAAGCTCGTAAAGCGTCAGGATAGAATCAAGAGACAGATGATCCACAGCCCATTGGAGATGTAGCCGGATGCTGTGAAAAGATGAAGATGTTGTTTAGTTACTCTATCAGCCTGAACCCTCTTCCCCACAAACAATGCCATAACTGGTCGCAACAACTTGGTGATGAGTCTAAAGGGCAGGCAGGTAAACCTCCATCTCTCTCCATTCCTACAAAACTGCAGGAAGTTCCTAGACTCTGTGGAAGTCTGGACTGTGATGTACGCATTCTTGAGATCCAACTTCACTATCCAATCCTTTGTAAGGTGCAAATCACGCAGAAGCAAAAGCAATAGGATGAGGAAGACACACCTGCCTTGGGGACCATTCAAACTCGATGTGGAACCCCCGAAACCGTTTGGAGCACCCAGGCGTCTGAAATGACAGTAGACACGTCTAGCGAAAGATGGATGGGCTTTCCCCATATGTGTAACTACAGAGAAAGGCATTTTAGATGGTGACACCAAATATGGGCATCTGAAATGAGCTGTTCCTCTGGAAGCCCTGGAACAGTCATCACTTTTGCAGGAAGAAGGGGGTGGGGTACTTATGTCCTGAAAGCTACCTCTGTGAGAAGAGGTGAGGCCTCAACTCTGTCTGATTGAGCCTGTTGTGGCATGCCTGGCGCAGTGACCCCTGAAACAGCCAGCCTTGACTTTGCACATGGAGTGTTGAGCTTTTTCGTAGGCCGTGAAAGCCCCTACATATCTGCCCAGGTCCTTGATAAAGCACTTCCCAAAAAACAAGCTCTCATCATCCTTACCCATTTCCGTAAGAGCCAAATTAGCGAGCTTGAACTCGATTTTTTTTGTACAAGATTTTCTCTATGGCCAGGGAAATGTTAATTTTTCCTGCCTGGCAAATGACATGTTGCACCCATCCCCGCATTAAGTGCAGATCATTTGGACGGCCATCACAAATGGCAGCACCGGCAAGTTTAAAGAGCACGGTCAGGGGACCGAAGATGTTTAATTACTTGTCCTTCATGTAGAAAAGATAATGGATACTGCACTCTCCAGGCTTCCAGGGTAATCTGGACCTGAGGACAGTTAGGTCTCACTTCCAGATATAGAAAATAAATATTGATCCAGCACTCAAGGATAAAAACCAAAATAGCAGCTTTATTTAGAGAAAAACAACAGCATCGTTTCAACCCAGCAGGGTCTTTGTCAATCTAATTACTCGTCCTGACAGACCTTTAAGGCCGATTCAAGCCCTTTATGGGGATTTAACCCCAGTTTTGATTCCACTTCAGGTGTCTCGTATACTTTATGTGGGCCAGCTCTGTGTGACTTTAGTTATGGGATGCCTAACTGTAAATACAGAGCAATATGGTCGACTCTGCTGTCCTAGCGTGGTGCAGTTCATCTGGGCCAAAAATTGGATCCCCTAAAGGATCAAAAAAGACCTCCACATGGGTTCCAGGTTTAGAATCGCCATGTTCAACCTGTGTTGGGGTGGGGCTGGGCTTAGGGCATTTTCCCACATACGTAGCAGCTGTCGTCAGACTCTAAGACTGATTCCATCAAAGCCTCCTCATGAGACCCAATATCAGATTCAGAGTCAGGTAGTGCTCTAGCACTTTTACATTTCTACCTCTATTCTGCCTGAAGTGGCAAGGCTCGTTTGCATTTAATATGGACTCATATCATATGGATATCATGGATGGTTTTGTGACCATCAATCAAAGTGGAGGCAGGTGCCAGTTTGTCTTAGCAATCGCCTTCTTGCCTGTAACTTTTGGTTATGGGTAAAAAGGGCCATCCAGGACATAAAAGGGAGGGGATGGGGAGGTTCACAGAGGGAGATGGATGAACCTGCAGCAATGGCAGGGCAGTGGATTGTGAAATGGTTGAAGACATTGTCCCAATGGCAGACCTAATTGCTTCAGACAAGGAGTGCTGAATTGCCACAGCAGCATCCCCAGGGGCAACAGGGGGGCATGATCCCAGGGTTCAAGGGAGGAGAAAGGGTCAGAGGCCTCAAGTTCAGGGTAGTGACAGTGCCTATAATCCACAGGGGTGACAGACTGCGTAGTCTTTAACATGCTAAAAGCCAGAAGAAAGTCTGCAGCAAACTAACAACACAGGCATGGCAAGAAAACCACCAAGGCAGGGGTAAAGATAAGACAGCCCAGACCTGGGAGCAGCACAGTATGTGGAGCACACTGCAAAGAGAACCAGGCCAGAAGCAGCAGAATGAAGGACCAGTGGCGTACACACAATCCATGGGGCCCCGGTGCGAAAGTGATCCGTGGGCCCCCCCCATCTCATCACAGGAGGCCCGGTCGCGCTCTTAAAGCGCCTAGCGCAGACCGGGCCCCCTCACAATCCATATCCATCAGGTGGCCCTGACAGCACGGGCCACCCTATGGACCCCTCCATATGCGGCCCCGGCAGTTTGCCACACAATGTGGGTTAATCCGTTCACTCTTTGTATCTTAGCCATATCTATCCCACCTGTGGCCAAGTGTAACAACCAGGCCTACTCCTCCGGTCAGGGGTTTCCATAAACATTGCGGGAAATTATTCCACATTGGTGCCATATAGTAATGGAACCGCAAGGGTATTTTTCACTGTTCGAACCCATACCATGTCTCCATGTCTCTCCGACTTCTCCTCTGAGTCATGTCCCTGGTATAGTGGGTCAAAGCTCGGGGAATATCAATTTGGATATGTAGATATAGTATTGGTGAATTTTGGATAGCAGTTAGTGTTTGAAAGGTCATAGCGTTTGCTTCCACTGGTTCGCGATTAGGTTTCTCGCTGCCAATGCAAAGTTTTGTGGACATCGTGTTGTTCAAGGGTATCTAAGGAATAACCCAGTGTGTATGTCAATAAGTGGTTCAGTAATGTTAATGGCCTGTTAGGTGTTCTGCACCTCGCCCCACAAAGGTCCGATGTTTGGGCAGGTTCACCAGATATGAGTCATTGTACCTTTGTCGACCCAGCATCTCTAGCAATATGGCGAGACCGACAGGTACATTTTGTGGAGTTTATTGGGTGTCAGGTACCACCTGTAAATTAACTTTTTCTGTGCCTCAACGTGGGAGTAAAATTGCGTAATTCCTTTGAGGGCGGTAAGAGATAACACTTCGGTGTCGGACGTGAGCAGGTCACACTCAGCGAGCCATTGGGCTACGAATGCCGGGGGATTTGGTGGTACTGTCTGAAGAATAGTTTGATAACACAAAGATAGGGATTTCGGTTTGGTTGGGGCCTGCCAACAGCTACCATACAATACATTAAAATCAATATTGCTTGAGTCATCAAGGACAATATGTGAGCAGATATGGGTGGGTATAACGCTTTTGAGTTGCATATATGGGAATACAGAGGAGTTAGGTTAAATTCTCTCTGCAGTTCTGGGAATGGCTTTATATGATTGTGGTGCATTACCTGGTCAATCGTGGATATATCCAGTTTGACTCATGAGTTGTGAAAGCCAGGGTGATACTGCTCGTAGGGTCGTTAGTGGGGAACGAGGGTGAAATTTGTGCATCGTGCCTTGCCTGGGGCGTAGAGTGTCCCAATGGCGAAGAGCCAGGATTGTGGTAGGGAAGAGGGTTGTGCCCCTGGGGCGTAATGTTTTAGGGGTCCATAAAATATTTACCAGGGATGTGTTAGTGGATTTTGCATTCTCCATGTCTTCCCACTGGAGCACGCCTCTGGGGGTGTGTTATTTCACCGCTGTCTCCAGGTTGGCAGCTTTGTAGTAGGTATAAAGGTCTGGTAGTGCTCAGGACGTGTTTCATATAGTCCCAGTTTAGTCTGTCAAAGGCCTTCTCCCCATCAAGCGCTAGGAGAAGACCCTTGCCCCATGTGGTATGTAAGTGTGTTTGTTTATTTGGATTTTTTTGGTGTTATCGAAGCCTTATCTTGTGCGTGTGAAGCCTGATTGGTCATTATGTGTTCATTTTGGGAGGATGTTGGACACTCGGTTTGCATGAAGTTTGGCGTATAGTTTAACATCCCCATTTAAAAGGGATATGGGTCTGAAGTTTTGTCATTGTGTCAGGGATTTGCCTGGTTTTGGTAGGGTGGAAGTATGAGCCCATAGCATGTCCAGGGGCAAAGCTCCCTTGGAATAGCAGTCATTAAAAAGCATAGTTAGTTGTAGGGATAATATATGTGCGTAATAAATAAAGGTTTGTGTAGCAATCCGGGCCGTGTGCTTTATGTTTGGGTAAATATTTGATTGCTTTCTCAATTTCCGTGGTGGTGCATGGCATGGAGATAGAGTCAAGGTCTGCAGGTGATAACTTGGGGAGGTCCATCTGTGACAGGAAATCTTGTATGGCTCCGGTGGGGGGTGGTATAGTTCCTGGATCATCTGTGAGGTTATATAGCGTGTTGTAATATGAGGCAATTTCATTTACTATGTCTTGCGAGTTCATAAGTTTCTGTTTGGTGGTATTGTGAATATATGCTATCTTTGTGTGCTATGTGCGTGCTTTGAGCAAATATTTTTTGGGCAGGTTGGTTTTGCTCTCTCTGACAATCACTCTCATATTGATGAAAACAAAAATAGTTTAAGACATTTCCAGATTAAGCATGATGACTGCATGAACTTATGGGCAGCTCCTCTCCGTCAGCAGAAAAAACAGAACTCTGAAATTAGTATTAATTGGACTACCCACTCCCTGTCAGACAGTCTGAGTATCTATATCCACAACCTTCATGGAAGAAGAGTGAGAACATAATTATGCTGTGGTGATTATTCAGAAAAAAAACATTACAGCAAAGGAGCAATTTTCTGTTTTGATGATAAAATCATAACCATCCTATACTTAAACTGGAAGCTTAGAAATTCCACATTTTGCCTGGTACCATTTTCAAGCACTTCTTGACAGAACCGTGAATTTCTAAGAATCCTGAGAATAAAGGGCAAAGCAGCACCCCCTGGCGGGCACTGATCTTGATATTTACTTCATGGTTAGATTACATAAACAATTAAAAACTTTAAACATGGTTTTATCTTTGTTTTTATAAAAATGAAAATCCAGCACACTCCCTTATCTACTAAACAGTAATTTAGGTGCTGACAGATTTTTTTTTAAAACACCTAATCTAAGCAAAAAAAGGGGGTTTAGTTACATTATATGATCATACATTATATAAACCTGCCACGGCGTCAATGTACCGTATCTTTGGCAGGTCCTACTTTATCTTTGTTTTTGTTATACCAGTTCGAGCTCACTATCGCCAGTTGGAGGTCACTATCACCATTGAAGCTTATTGTAAGGTTATGATGTCTCCCTATGCCATGAGATATCTGTGTCATGAATGCCATGCAGAGACCTACAATAAGTACCAAAACAACTTTAACTTAATGGAGTACTTTTGGTGTATAGTTCATACTCATACATTCTAATTGCTCAATTCTCTGCCTTTTGGGTTGCTTGTTTATGCAGCCTTAAGTACACCTTACATGCATGAGACCAGCATAATCTCATGCTCAGTTAATAGCTGTTTAGAGCCTGCAGGAGCCTCTTGTGTGTTTTTTAATGGAACACTCTTGACCCCTAAATTACTTCTGCTTGCTGTAGTTCTTTATGTGTGAAGAATGTGTATACTTTTATTTTACAAAAAGTGCAGATTTCAATAGAAATTGGCAGTTTTATAAATTAACCTTGTGTGTCGAACTGAACCTCGTCACAGGTGCTTGGAGGGTGCTTGCTGGCCAGCCTCTCGCCAAAAGACTACGGGCCAAGTCAAAGACTGTAAAGACCCATATTTTATTCCCTCACATTCCATAGAACTGAACGCTAGCTCCCTGGCGGCCGTTCACATGGACCAAAACCGCAAATAGACTTCAGGGGGATTTAGCCGCGAATGCCATGGAACTATTTTCGGCATGAAGACTTTGCGGTTCCCGGTCGGTCCCCCAGCGGCACTTAGCAGCGATTCTATGGGACCGTTTTGGGCATGGGACCATGCGTGCGGTCGGTAAAAATTCCTGAACGCCTGAACTGATCAGGGTGATTTTTGGATATGTGTTCAATAAAAACATGGCAACATTTCATTCTTTGTGTGTTATTAGTTTAAGCAGATGATGATCAGATCACATTTTATGACCAACTTGTGCAGAAATCCATATCATTCCAAAGGGTTCACATACTTTTTCTTGCAACTGTATTTTCAGCTGTCTGCAGGGCCATCTTTAGCGCGGGGCAAATGGGGCAGCTGCCCCAGGCCCAGTTGCTCCTGGGGTGCCCCAGAGCAGCTGCCCCATGGGCCCCGCGATTTGAGCAGCCCCCATGTACCCGGCAGTGCGACTGCACAGAGCCGCACCGGCCTTCCAACTAAGGATGTCCCCCGGGTGGCCCATGCACTAAGGGCCACCCGGTAAGCATGTGTGAGCAGGGGCCCAGTCGGGCGCTGTGACGCTTAAACAGCGCGACTGGACTGCTGCCTGTACTGGCTGGGAGGAAGTGAGTGCCGCACGTCACTTCCTCCCACCGGAGATAATAGCCGCGTGGGAGGAGAAAGGCAGGAGGAGGGGAGTTCCAGAGGAGAACTCCCATCTTCCTGAGCCTGCCACTGGACACCAGGGAAACCACCCTCCAGAAAAAGGTAAGAACCTGGAAGGTGGCTAAATGTATGCCTGTGTGTGTCAGTATGTTAGTGTGTGTATGTCAGTATGTCTGAGTGTATGTCAGTATGTGTGTGTGTGTGTGTGTGTATGTATGTGTCAGTATGTTTGTGTGTGTATGTCAGTATGTTTGTGTATGTCAGTATGTCTGTGTGTGTGTGTGTCAGTATGTTTGTGTGTGTCAGTATGTTTGTGTGTGTGTCAGTCTGTCTGTGTGTATGTCAGTATGTCTGTGTGTGTCAGTATGTTTGTGTGTATGTATGTCAGTATGTCTATGTGTGTATGTCAGTGTGTGTGTGTGTGTGTCAGTATGTCTGTGTTTTTATGTGTGTGTCAGTATGTCTCTGTGTGTGTGTATGTCAGTGTGTGTTTGTCAGTATGTCTGTGTGTGTATGTCAGTATGTCTGTGTGTGTGTGTATGTCAGTATGTCAGTGTGTGTGGATGTATGTCAGTATGTCTGTATGTGTTATGCTACAAGGGTTTTTGGAATTGTAACTCAACTGCAGCTTGTAGAACTCCTTAATTACAATAGCTATGAGACGGAGAATCTTTCTAAAATTATTAAGGATACTGTAGCTTTAAAGTAAAGTGGTGATTGCAGGCAATTAGAGAAATAGGCGAAGTCTTAATGATTGCAATAATTTTTAGTAACTGGATTATAACATATAAGTAACAATTCAATAGCAAGATACTGCAAGTTATAGCAAGCAAGACACAGTTCATTAATAAGTAAAACCTCAGAGATAAATTGAATAGTGTACTTAAGCTTGATGGGAGTTATCTTCCATAGGAATAGAATGCAAGCAGTAGAGAAGATTTTAGCAAGCAAGAAACAGTTCAGTTGTAAATGAGACTCCTTAGATTAGAGTGAATATTATACTTAAGATTAAGGTGAGTTGTCCTCTATGAGATCGGTTAGCTAGAGTCCAAGTAATAAATGGTAAACACAGTCCGGTTTCCAGGATCCAATAGGGGATGGAAAGCGCAATCCTTTTAACAGTCTAAAGGTTTCGGGAAGCTTGAGAGTGAAACTCGTATAGCCGGCGTCTAAACACGGAAGTAGGTCCGAGAATCACCAAGCAGTTAGTATCTGGCGCGGTCTCTCTAAATAGCGTAAGAGAGCCGCGTCAGAAAGGGGGCGGGGCCGGCTCCGCATACCGGAAACGCCGGACCCGGAACAGATACGGCATGACAGTATGTCTGTGTGTGTGTGTGTGTGTATGTCAGTGTTTGTCAGTATGTCTCTGTGTGTGTGTGTGTGTCAGTATGCCTGTCTGTGTGTATGTTAGTATGCCTGTGTGTTTCAGTATGTCTGTGTGTGTCAGTATGCCTGTGTGTGTGTCAATACGTCTGTCAGTGTATGTGTTTCAGTATATCTGTCAGTGTATGTGTCTGTGTGTGCATGTATGTGTGTGTGTCAGTATGTCTGAATGTGTGACAATATGTCTGCCGGTATATATTGGTGTGTCAGTGTATGTGTGTATCAGTGTGTATCTGCGAATGTTTTAATATATCTGTCTGTGTGTGTCAGTAGGTCTGTCAGTGTGATTGGGGGTTGGGCGTAATTGGGAGGAGTGGGGTGGGAAGGGGCAAGGCCCAGGGGGCCCAAGAAAATGCTTTGCCCAGGGTCCTATTCATATTATAGACGGCCCTGGCTGTCTGTGATACCTACAACCAAGGTCTACCTTACACTAATTTGTATGTATATATTTTGCTTTATGTGTGATTAGAGAGGTAATCACATAGGTGTTTTAGAGTGTGGTGGTATTCATTTGTCATCACATATTGGGACTTTGTATTGTGTGTTTAACTTTTAGGTGCAACTTTTATGAGAGATACAGAACTAAATTTAAACGCACTAAGTGTGACAACTTAAGCATCTTTAGGTGGGTAAGATGGTAAATCCAAGAACACTTGCATGAAAATAAGTGTTTTTTAACATCTATGGCCTCAATTTAATATTTTTGCACAGGCTTTTCAAATGTTTTAATATTTTTGGATAAACTTAAAAAAAATAATTCAAGATATTAAAATATCAAAAAATATATGTAAAAAATATAAACATAAAAATATCAAATAATGGCTAAAGTTTTACTAATGCTTTTTATTTAGAAACAATGAATGTATAATAAGTATGTAGATGAACAATAAAACAGTGATTTCATGTACAGAAGGGCTTTTTTTTTTACCCCATCTTCCACAATACACAGCATATTCACTTTTCCCGTCTTTCTTCTGAATCTATACATATCTTTTATTGATTACATTTTTAAATAATTTTAATTAGTTAATAATTAGTAGTTCATAATTAATCAATGCCAGTTCCAATATTGCATTATGTAATTAGGATTTTTTATTTATTTTTATTGTTTTATTTTATTATTTTGCTCTGCTTTATGTTTTTACCAAATATATAATTAATGTAACACAGGAACTGCACTCAGTCTTCCAACCTTAGATCCAGGGTGCAACCAGATCCGGGTTCAGCACTAAATCCCAAATGTAATACTTCTAAATAAAGGAAAAGGGCACTGGTCGAAACGTTGTTTTGCACATTCTGGTGACAATAAATTGCCTAAAATTGAACCTTTGGAGTGCCCTTATCCTTTCTTTTGAAGATTTACCAAATAAATAGACACTAAACAATAAAAAAAGAATGATTCCCTTTTATTCCAGAAGTTTGGTCCTTAAGGAGTTAAAGGGACACTATAGGTATCAAAACAACTTTAGCTTAGTGAAGCAGTTTTGGTGTACAGATCTTGCCCCTGCAGTCTCACTACTTAACTCTCTGTCATTTAAAAGTTAAATCACTTTGGTCATACAACCCTAGTCACACCTCCCTGTATGTGACTTGCACAGGCTTTCTAAACATTTCCTGGAAAGGAACCTAGATATTCTAGATTCCTTTACAGCACAGTCTGTTTAATCTGGATTATTTTATCCCCTGCTCTGCCTCCCATGTGTGATTAAAGTTCAATTTACAGAGCAGGAGATAAAAATGTCTAAAGAAAGTTAACATCTGATTAAAAAGGAAAACGTTTTTGGGGGCGAGATATTACCAGTTGGTATACACTGCTGCCAGCTACTGTACATAAATGCGCGCGCGCACATGCACACACACTAACTCACTGCATAAAATAAAACTTTGTGCTATATAAAATCGTGTTTTGTGTGCAACTCACCATTTTCAGTGTATGTTTGTTTTTCTGGCATTTTTGGATTAAAGGGACACTTTAGACACACAAACCACTTCATTTCATTGATGTGGTCTGGGTGCAGTGTCCCTGTCTACCTTAGTTCTTCAATGTAAAACATTGCAGTCTTGGAAAAACTACAATAATTCTGCATTGCAGGGCTAAGACTGCCTCTAATGGCTATCTGGGATTTACTGGACTCCGGGTCCCTTAAATGACACTGGACTGTGAGGGAGGGGGAGGCCAGAGGGCTCTATAGTGTTAGGAATACAACTTTATATTCCTAATATTGTAGATACCTTTTAAGGGCATGCCAGGAAAAGTGTAATGGAATTGGTGAGTTACTCAAAAAAATTATTTCCCTCAATCCATTGGAACCCAACATTAACTCTGAGAGATGGGCATCCAGTTAGTAAACCTTCTCCATTCCACTTACGATGACAGACAGACAGAGACAGGCCAACACAGTAGCTTGCAACTGCCCTAAATTGTGTCAATATTGTATTCATTTTACTACTGCATGTAGCATCACAAAAACATCTCTAGAACGGACAAAACACCACCAGATCTAGTAATACAAAATAAAATAATAATGAATAAAAGCAATTTCTACCTAATGTTGATTTGTTGCTTATGTCTGATAAACCCATTACTTGAATACAGTAAAAAATCTAATAATTTCTATATGAACTACTAAATGCGAGGTATTCTATTTTCTAGACGGGTTAGTTTAAAATCATTGGCTTTGTTTTCCTGCAAAATCACAATACTTCCTGAGTGGAGCCCTTCATTTTAGATGAATGCTATAGGAAGAGAGATATGGGACAAACCCACCTATTCAAAACCCATGCTGTGTTCTGCTCATTGTAGTGCATATCCAGTAGATGGCAGCAATGTTGGACACATAGCAGATTTTCCAAATATAAATTAAAATTGCGGTGACAGGAGAGAGGCAAAATGCATCTATACATAGGTTCTTTTTTATTGTTTAGTGTCTATATATTTGGTAAATCTTCAAAAGAAAGGATAAGGGCACTCCAAAGGTTCAATTTTAGGCAGTTTATTGTCAGCAGAATGTGCAAAACAACGTTTCGACCAGATTGGCATTTATTTTATATTGTTCTCGCTATGCACTACAATGAGCAGAACACAGCATGGGTTTTGAATAGGTGGGTTTGTCCCATATCTCTCTTCCTACAGCATTCCTCTAAAATGAAGGGCTCCACTCAGGAAGTATTGTGATTTTGCAGGAAAACAAAGCCAATGATTTTAAACTAACCCGTCTAGAAAATAGAATGCCTCGCATTTAGTAGTTCATATAGAAATTATTAGATTTTTTACTGTATTTAAGTAATGGGTTTATCAGACATAAGCAACAAATCAACATGAGGTATAAATTGCTTTTATTCATTATTATTTTATTTTGTATTACTAGATCTGGTGGTGTTTTGTCCGTTCTAGAGATGTTTTTGTGAAGCTATATGCAGTAGTAAAATGAATACAATATTGACACAATTTAGGGCAGTTGCAAGCTACTGTGTTGGCCTGTCTCTGTCTGTCTGTCATCGTAAGTGGAATGGAGAAGGTTTACTAACTGGATGCCCATCTCTCAGAGTTAATGTTGGGTTCCAATGGATTGAGGGAAATAATTTTTTTGAGTAACTCACCAATTCCATTACACTTTTCCTGGCATGCCCTTAAAAGGTATCTACAATATTAGGAATATAAAGTTGTATTCCTAACACTATAGAGCCCTCTGGCCTCCCCCTCCCTCACAGTCCAGTGTCATTTAAGGGACCCGGAGTCCAGTAAATCCCAGACAGCCACTAGAGGCAATCTTAGTTCTGCAATGCAGAATTATTGTAGTTTTTCCAAGACTGCAATGTTTTACATTGAAGGACTAAGATAGACAGGGACACTGCACCCAGACCACATCAATGAAATGAAGTGGTTTGTGTGTCTAAAGTGTCCCTTTAATCCAAAAATGCCAGAAAAAAAACCATACACTGGAAATGGTGAGTTGCACACAAAACATGATTTTATATAGCACAAAGTTTTATTTTATGCAGTGAGAGTTAGTGTGTGTGTGTGTGTGTGTGTGTGTGTGTGCATGTGCGCACGCGCATTTATGTACAGTAGCTGGCAGCAGTGTATACCAACTGGTAATATCTCGCCCCCAAAAAAGTTTTCCTTTTTAGTCAGATGTTAACTTCCTTTAGACATTGTTATCTCCTGCTCTGTAAATTGAACTTTAATCACACATGGGAGGCAGAGCAGGGGATAAAATAATCCAGATTAAACAGACTGTGCTGTAAAGGAATCTAGAATACCTAGGTTCCTTTCCAGGAAATGTTTAGAAAGGCTGTGCAAGTCACATACAGGGAGGTGTTACTAGGGTTGTATGACCAAAGTGATTTAACTTCTAAATGACAGAGAGTTAAGCAGTGAGACTGCAGGGGCAAGATATGTACACCAAAACTGCTTCACTAAGCCAAAGTTGTTTTGATACCTATAATGTCCCTTTAACCCCTTAAGGACCAAACTTCTGGAATAAAAGGGAATCATGACATGTCACACATGTAATTTGTCCTTATGGGGTTAAAGTTTCAGTAAGAGAGAGTAAATCTATATTTTGAGATATTTTTAAACAGAAACAATATACTACACCACCACTTGTTAACAATAAATGAGTATGATATCTGTATTGCTTACCTTATTTACGAGGATGTCCCAGAGACTATCCCCTATAGCCTGTCATACAGAAATATATAGACAAAATACAAAAGGGATACCGGCTAAATTTCGTAAAAAAATAAAAACACAATTGCATAAACAGATAATAACCACTGAAAAATCTAATTGCAATTTCTAGACAGGAGCAGTATAGAGGGCTTCAGGGTGCATCCCCTGATAGAGTTGGGGGCTAAAATTATATTCTCTCATTGGACACTAAAAGCCTGCATGCTCTGTAAAAAGACTTCAACCAAAACTCCAGGATGGATGGCAAAATGTATTTCCAGGAATTCAAAGTGCAAAAAAATAGCAATAAGTTGCAACTTACAGAAAAAAAAAAAACAGGTCCTACGCATTTCGTCCACCGATGTGGACTTCTTCAGGGACCATCAATATGCATAATAGCGTAAAAATAGTAGTATCTAAAGACTACTGCATCAATAATACATTTATTTTGACAGACAAACCTCAATCCTTGGCACACAAAGTCAACCCAATACTGTCAAATATGCTCCAGAAATGTAGGTGGATAACACCTTGTATTTTACCTGACTCCTTGCATTATAAGTTCTTGCGGTGCTTACTCTCTCCATAAACTTAGCTTTTTCAATTCCCTAATCACCACCTTCTTATAATCTCAGATTCCTCTCCCACACATTTAACACATTACTTAATTCCATTGCTGCTCCCCCTCCCACCAACCCCACAGCTACTGGCTTTGCAGGTTTTTTTTTCAGTGAAAAGCTTGGCAAATTAAACTGTCTCTCCTGTTCTAAGCCCACAATCACCAGATGTGAGGAAATGATTACCAGGCTTCTTCCTATTACCTAACCACATGTCCCATTCATCATAATCTCTTGCATCTTTCTCAGTCTTTGTCTACTGTTCTTTTCCCATCTTTTATATTTGTGTAGTGGTTCCGTGCGTCTACACAGTAGTCTGTGTGACAGATCAGTGTGTGTGTGTGTGTGTGGGTATGTGAATGTAGGGTTATATGAGCATGAATACAGGTGTGTGTGTGTGTGTGAATTAAGTGCTATATGTGCATGAATACAGGAGTACATCTGTACCCATGCCCCTCCTTCATGCCACCTGCACTCTCTTCCCTGTGTTACTGCTTATAACGTCTTAAATTCCACTCTCCGGTAGCAAGAGGACAAGTAAGAATTTGGTAACCCATGCTCAGCGTCCTTGACTGAATTCATCAAACTTGATGTTCTCAGCCAATCCAATGCTTTCCCATAGGAAAGCATTAGGGGGCTATTGTGCATGCTTGGCAAAATGTAGTGCTGCTCCAATCAGAATTTCCTCATAGAGAAACATTGAATTAATCTCTATGAGGAACGTTCAGCGTCTCCATTCAGAGCACTGTGCAGCACTGACCCAGTAAGCAACTCTAGTGGCCGTCTGAGTGACTGCAACAAGAGGTGTTTCTAAGGAGTAATGTAAAATCTGCCTTTTCTGTAAAGGCAGTGTTTACATTAAAAATCTGCATGGACAGGCAGTAGACACCAGAACAACTACATTAAGCTGTAGTTGTTCTGGTGACTATTGTACCCCTTTAATGTATTAGTAAATTAAATCACAATCCCATTCAGTCAATGCAAAACCAAGGCAAACATTCAAAAGGAGCAGGAGAAATGGAAACACTCATTACTTTATCCTCTTTTCTGTATGTTTTCTCTATGCTGTCTGCCAGGTGCAATGTAAACGATCGTCGGAAGTTAAGATGTAGACACCCAGGTTAAAGAAGTATGGAATTTTACATAACTTAATGGTTTTTTTACACCTCACAAAGACTTACCTGTTAAACATATGAATAAATTCACCTTCTTAAAAACTCTTTGACGTGACAATTGTGGGCGTCTTTCATTACATAAAACTGTTGAAGAAAAATGGCTGCACTGACTGTTAAAATGTAGATGCAGATATGTTGGGAGCAGAGTCAAAAAAGGACAAAGAAAAATAGAAGAAATATGATGAAATACATCGAAAGAACTTGGCAAGAGAAAACTGCATGGTATGTGACTTAACACTGTTGCTACAAAAGGGAGATTATCACAAAACAAGTTTAGCAACATATTACAAACTTCTGTAACTACAGGACCCCTATTGCTGCAATAAATCAACCAGAATACTGAGCTTTTACAATGGATATACCCTGATTCTCTCTAAATTCTGAAGAATTGTTGACGTCTACAGGGACAGGCTGTATATATATAATTTTTGGGGGTTAATAATTTCTTTCTTTATTTGAAACAACATTACATTCATTACTTGACAAGACATAACTATATTCCAATAAAAAACTAGTAGTTGCCGTAATACAACTGTATTACTGACAAATTATACATGCAAAAATTACACATATAGATCCCTGAGTGATAAAGGTTGAAGCAATTCTTATCGCTAGAAAGTCATATTTATAAAAATATATGAGCATTAATGGGGTTCTAACTTTTTTAATCCAAAATAACCACATTCTAACCGTATTTGAATTCCAATTCTCTGTTCTTGCACAGCCTAACTCCATTTTATATTGCCAAATAATCTGTTCATATAATCCGTCACATCGAAGCAAACTGACAGTTTTCCATTTCCTAGCAACTATTAATTTGGCTGCTGTAATAATGTCAAGGATTATAGGGAGAGAATTTTTATGCACATTATTGAGATTAAAGTGTAACAACGCTACCTCTGGAGATCTATCCATCTCTATATCACAAAGCGTTTTTATAAACAAATACAAAAAGAAAAGTCCTGCGCTCACTCCCATCACTCCTGGGTGGCAGCAACTACCACAGTACACATCAGCTCCAATACATATAGTAAAAAACAAAGAAAAAAGTTACCTGCGCTCTCTCCTTAATCCCTATGTATCTTTAAACAAATGGAGGTCAATTAGTTAGTTTTTATAAACAAGAAGACCTCTTCCCAAAAAAGAATTATCAGATGACAAGTCCACCATATGTGAAAAAATTTACCTAAGTACACACCACATCTCCAGTACTTTGTATCTGGATTTATGCAGTTCTTTAATTTGGCTAATGTACTTGGTACCCAATACCATCTATTGTGAATCTTGTATTGTATCTCTCTCAGGTTCAAAGCATGAATATGTTAAGTTAATACTAGAGAGGACGTCCACTCATGAGAACATCTAGACCTAGATCTTGTCCCCATTTTCTTTTTGCAGTGTCATTATTGCCTTCGCTCATCTTTGATAGTATTTGTACACATTTTGAGATGTATCTTTTAAAATTAGATTGATTACCGGTATATAGTGATTCTAAATATTCCACTGACTCTAAATTACTACTTGGGATATACTTAGACATTTCACCATTTATTCTTAAATAATTAAATAATTCTCTCCCTGGTAGATTGTTTTCACTAACCAATGTAGAGAATGGTTTGACCTTATTTACAGTAATGAAATCTTTTATGTTATATATTCCACAACTATACCAGTTATTTAGATTTATATTATCAATATGTCCTTCAAGAATTTTTAAGGTAAGGAATCCAGCAGTTTTTTTTGTTAAATTTAGTTTTTTCTTTATATGATTCCATTCGTCCAATATATCCAATAGAGATTTTAGCCCTGAAGAACTGTTTTGACTTTCTCTCTGCAATACTAATGACCAGAATAGAGATGGTAAGTTCTTATTTGAGGATAGATCTTGTTCTATTAGAAACCACTTCTCTTTTTGGGAACAACTTTTCTCTGTAATCATGGCATGCATAAGTCTACTAGCTTTATAATATTTAAAAAATATCTGGCATACTCAGACCACCTTGTTTAGTGGGTTTCTACCCGGACCATTTAAAAATAGAGAATGAATTATTTTAAGCCAATATTCTGAGCATTTTAGAGGAATTAACCTGAAGAAATAGAACTAGGTAAAATGTAAGCATGTACTAAATTTATCCTTCCCGACCAAGAGAAATTCAGCTTTTTCCAACCAATCAATTTTTTATTCGATTGTTGTATAAACTTACGCCACTTTTGTTTGCAAATTTCTAGTTAAAAATACTGATTTATCTAGATTAATTTTGTAGCCGGAATACTTAGCATATAAATCTATTTCTGAAATTAATGCTTTCAATGAATGTTCAGGGTCTTCTAAAGATAATAATAGATTATCTGCATATAAGTTCAGCTTACTTTCAGTTTACCTTAATGTGCTGGTTTATTTGAATATTAACTGCTAATGGTTCTAATGCAAGGATATACAGCAAGGGTGAAAGTGGACACCCTTGAAGTGTCCCATTTTTAATTTGGAAGCTTTCTGAGAAACAATTAGGTCCTTTAACCCTAGCTGATGGATTCGCATATAGGGCCCGTATTGCATTCAACATTCCCATCCCAAAACCATAGTTCTCTAGTGTTTTAAACAAACTCCCATCCAATCCTATCAAATGTCTTTTCGGCATGTATCGATAGGATTATCATGGAAGTTTTTCTTTTTTTCTGCTCCATCAATAATGTCTATTCTTCTCATATGATTTATTACAGACCTGCCTGGTATAAAGCCCACTCGATCTTTGTCTATGACATCATGTATTATAATTTTTATTCTTTCTTCCAGAATTGCTGAATATATTTTAATGTCGGTATTAAGTAATGAGATTGGTCTGAAATTAGATAAAAGTTGTTGGTCTTTATTCTGTTTGGGAATAGGGATGATGCACGCCCTCAATAATTCATCTGGTGCCTTAGCATTCTGTTTGATCTCATTAAAAGTTTTTGTTAGCTCACTACTAATGTTATGTTTAAGCAGTTTTTAGAATAAGTTACAGAATTCATCTGGTCCTGGGGATTTCTTTTGCTTCAGTGTATCTATTGCCTTTATCACCTCCTCCACTACAATCAGAGAATCCAATTTCTCCTTTTGGATCTCACTGATTTTAGGTAATTGACACTTATTAAAATAATCTTTAGCTACTGGGTTATAGGTATTCTCCGTTAAATTATAAAGATTTCAGTAGTAATTAGCAAATGCCTCCCCGATTTTATCTGGGCATTGTATTACTTCCCCCTTTTCTAATATTTTAGTTATTACCCTATCAGCCTTTTTTTTCCAGCCTTTTTGTAGTTAGTTTGTTTACCCTGTTACCTTTGTATTACCATTTACATTTCAATTTGCTTTTAGTGTAAGATGATTATTGATCTCCTTTTCAATTACACTTATCTTTTCCATAATTACTAATGATGGGCTGTTTATTTTGTATTCTTAACTCATATATAGGTTAGATAACTCGTTACCCTTATTCATTTGTTTCTCTTGAGCAGATAAATTAATAAACTGGCCTCTGATTGTGCATTTGTAAGCACACCAGATCGTCATGGGGTCCGTTGATTGATTATTATCCTGAAAATCCCACTCTGTCTCTTTCTTTATATGTTCAAGGGAGTCCTGATTACTTAATAAGTAATCATTTCACCTCCACTCTGTTCTTTTCTTCTTAAAAGAAGATTATTGGGCAGTGATTGGACCAGGTAACCTCTTTGATCATTATTTTGTTGGTATTTCGTGTTAATGGTAAATCTCCCATAATTAGATAAATTCTTGAATAGGATAGATGTGTTTTTGAAAAGCACATAAAATCTTTCATTGTGGGGTTCAGGATTCTCCAGATAGCATATATGGTGTGTTGTTTCATTAATGATTGTAATCTAGTTGATGAATTTACATTTTTGAATATATTATTATTTCTGCCCTCTACTGTACATCTATCCTCTTCAATATCTGGGACAAAATTACAGTCTCCATTACTAACAGAATCCCTTGTTTTAGAGACTCAACTCTTTTTAACAGTCTAGCTATATATTTATTTGGAGCGTATAAATTTACGATAGTATATGTAGTTTTGCTTATCTCACATATTAATATTATAGAACGTCCCTCTTTATCAAGTTCTTGATATTTTATATTCAATGGTAAATTATTTGAAAATAGCAATGCTACACCTCTTTTCTTCTCATCTCCTCTCCTAAAGAAGCACTTATTATGGTTGGGAAATCTTTTGATTTTAACAAGGTTTTATCGTTCAATCTCCAATGGGTTTCTTGAATTGAACATATGTTTATGTTTTCCTTCTTCAGGAGATTTAACATTATTGATCTTTTTGTTGGAGAATTAATCCCCAGCGCATTAAACGAAACTATCCGTATCCTATAGGACCCTGTTTACCTATTGCTACAGTCCTATTATCTCTCAGGGATGCTAAACATACAACATAAAAACTATCTCAGCTAAATTAGAGACATATACTACATGAGTTCTTACATTAACATCCATAATGGAAGTAACCCTACTCTACTTCCATTTCGTCAAACCTTGATCATATTGAACTTATTCGATTGAGTGTGCTATCATGACACTCAGTGGCTGGAGCGGAAGCCAATCATTTGGTATATAAACATCCAGATGTAGCAAGAAAAGAAGATGCGGGAAGAGAAAGAGCAGGGGAGGGATAGATCCACGTCGAGTATCTTCTCCCTCTCTCACCATCTCCCACCCACCCCGCAAAAAAAAAAAAAAAATGACATTCAAAATTAGTTTAACAACATTTATATACAAATCTCCTACTGTGTCTATGCTTAGAGTGTATCTCCTGTGGAGTGTAACTCCTGTGCTAAACTTATACATTAAATCTCACTTCACATCAGATCAATATCTATTTGGTTCTGTGATAAACCAAAAATCTCCCATATGTGAAATAACTATATGTGGACCTCTGTTTCAAATTTATGACATTCCACTCATGTCTATCGGTTTCATTCCTCAAAAACACCATATTTGTATCTTTAAAATGTATTAACACCTTACATTCTATATTGCAGGTGAATCTCCTCTTTATCCATTGCTGTTTTTTTTTATTTTATTTTTTTAATGTTTTTATTTATTCTTTATTTTTACGTGCATATTGTTTACAAACATTTTGTCAATGCCCCAACAACAGTGACAGAGAAGCAATTAAACAGTGGTTAACATTTGTGTGGCATTTGAGTGTGCGGCACATTTTTGTTAATAATATATTTTAGAGTCTTTCTCAAAAGTAGCAGATGATGTGATTATAAGACAGGTAGCGAGTAAGACATTGTGTGATATGCGTAGAAACGAGATTAAAACCAGTATTAAAGAGCAAGCTTGTTCAGATCTATACAGAGCTAGGGCACTAGACTCATGGAGAAACTACAGCCTCTCTGTTCCTGTCCGCTTCATAGCGGATACGATAACTCTGGGTAGACCTGCATGGTAGTTGCGAGGAGAGGCAGGCTAGGTGCAGTTACAGGTGAATAGGCTTACTAAGTGTGATGTGTTAGGGTTTTCCGCTTATTTACCCAAGGCCTGTCTCCGGGTGTGTGAGTAAAAACTAAATGCTGGATCACCAGATGTCGCTTTGCTATTGTACATCAAACACTTGCTAGGTCTGCTCTGCTTCCTATAGAAGGAATAAAACGTGTGTCGTGCTAGCTAGACATATCTGGCTATAACTGAACAATTTTACCCCGGTGAGGCTCGCTTATGCTGGATATGTCTATGGGTAGGTGAATATTTCTATTGTTAATGTTAGGCACATAACCTGAGAATATTATTACGAGAGACATATTTATCTGACAGATTCATTAATGGTTGAAAGCCTGTGGAGTCAAATCAGAGAGGTGGGGAGAAAAAGAGAAAAAGGGAATGAAAGGGAAAAATTTACCAAAATACAGGAGTCCACCATGTGAGAGATGAGTCCGTAGGGATAGGAGTCTTTGGGGCAGCTACTGAGAGCTTGCTCACCCAATCCCCAGTTTGATTTGAAGTTGCTGGGTGCTCCGACACCTCGAGAGTAGGCTGATGTTGCTCGGGATCATCTCCAGAGATTTTGTAGCCGATGGCCCCCTGTGCGCTACAGTAGTGGAGCCGCCATTTTCTGAGGTTGGGAGGTCGAGTGTCCCTGCTCTTTGGGTTTGTTGATCACATAGCTGGGCAAGCTGGGTCCGGTGTGTTGAAGTGTGGTGTTTCCTCGCTTTCTTCCCTGCAGGCTGTGGATGTGGCAGCGGCTGGGAGAGTGCATATTTCCAAATCTTGTGCCCGATGACTTTGTGTGCAGCCGGGGGGCACTATCTTCGGTGGCGCCATCTTGTGGCTTTTTGTGCTTGCGGGACTGCGGGTCTATGACCTTGGTGTCCGAGCGGTACGTTATGTACCAGCAGGAGTCTGGGTGGGCGTCTGTCTGCTTGCTAGTTTTGCCCAGAATGCTGTAAATATGGCGTCTAGTTGACCCAGGACATCGAGCCTTTCTGTACCGCTCCGGGGAGTGCGTGTGGCGTTTGCCATGCTGCCGGCCTCCGCCACTGCCATCTGCTTGCCTGGTTTCTCCTTCTGTGGTCTGTGGACCGGGATCACCCCGCCGGTCCTGGGGGGGGGGGAGGGGAGAGGACTGATTATCTGCGTCTGTATGCTTTCGATGTGAGGACGAGGAGAGCAGCCGCCTCTCCCCGGTCCCTTCATCTGTAGGCCGCGGCTTCCCATCTCGTGCCCAAGTCTGTGGGGTGCTTTCGAGTTGGGTGTCAGGAGGTTCACCAGGGCGCCCCCAGTTTGGGTAGCGCACTCCAGTTTGTCCTGAGGCATTTAGTTTGGCGAGTATCCCCGTTATTTTCGCCATTGGAGCAAATTCTCTTTTCTGCTGTCTGGTTTGAAAGGAGATATCTGAAAAGACTTTATTTGACTCATATGCTGTGCCTTTTGTTCAATTTTTCATTAAAGCTGAGGTGATTTGTTGTTTTGTTTTGTAAGAATGACAGCAGACTATAACATATCTGGGTAGGTGTGTTGGTGTATTTGAAGGCTTCTGTAGTCTGTGCATTCTCTCAAACAGCTCAGATGGATTATTGCTAGGAATATTCAATGCTTTAAGAAATTCTTCCATATATTGATTCAGTTGATTGTTTAATATCGATTCTGGGATGCCTCTTATTCTGAGATTAGATCTTCTGGATCTGTTCTCCAAGTCTGTACTTTTTGTTAAATATATTTTACATTTTTCTTTCTAATGATGAATTTACATATTTTTTGGCCCTCTGTCTGATTTTCCAACCTTTCTACATTTTCTTCTGTTTGCTTTAATTTCTTGCCCAAATTCAAAATCTCAGATGTTAGATTTTCCGTACTTGACTCAAATTTCTTTTTTCATTTTAATAAAATGCCTGTCAAAGCATTGTTGAAGGTGTTCTGGAGTGATATTTTTTTGATCCTCATTATCTTTTACGTTATAGGTATTTTAATCAAGGTCTTCTCTTCATTACTGACGTATATCTATCCAACTTTGGGTCCACCGCTGTGAATGAATTAGAAAGTCTTTTTTCTGATTTTTATTCTTGTTTCCGATCTTGTTCCTTGAATTTAGGTTGTTTAGTTTCTTGTGCACTTTTCTTGTTAGACATTTTTACAGTATGGTTACCACTAGGTAATATAAAAAGCAAATTTAAAAATATCTACTTAGTTGATTAACTTACTGAATGGAAGGTAAAATAATTGATTATATAAAGGGGTTTGGACATGCCATCATCCCAACCCAAATAATGGAATTTCCCCCATTACCCTACTACTGAGTGGCTAGTGGCACCCAAACCTTTAACCTTCCCCCCCCTCTCCTCCCTCACCCCCACATAAAAAAAAAAAAAATTCCCAAGCTATCCCTCTTACCCTAATATTAGTAAGGGGGGCACTTAAATTAATACCTGTTTTAAAAAAAAAAATATACAGACCATCAGAAGTCTTCTTTCTGCAATATGAGTAAAAATCTTCTCTCAAGACTTGGCTGTCAGAGTGCCCTGAATGGGTAAAAGTGTCTGCATGCAGAGGGAGGAGATACTGAATGGTTGGATGCATTTTAGGCAGCCATGAACTAGGAAGGATCTCTAACAGACATCTAAGGAGTGGCCAGTGAAGTTATCAATAAGCTGTAATATAAACAGTGCATTTTCTCTGAAAAGACAGTGTTTACAGCAAAAAGCCTGAAGGTAATTATTCTACACACCAGACAAAAATTCAATAAGCCATAGTTGTTCTGGTGACTATAGTGTCCCTATGAGAATTTTAATTTTATTTAGCCTTTTTAGGGCCGAAGAACATACAAATTAAAAGAACACTTCCGAAGGTACATATATATTTCAATTTGATGTGGCTAGGGGGCCCATAGTCATCAGATGGGGAAAGGGGTATGTATATACCATCATTAGGTTGGATGACAATAGCATGTGCACTCCCCAGCCTTAGTCACTGCCCCTCTACCCCCTGTCACTGCCCTTCCACCTGTCACTGCCCCTCTACCCCCTGTCACTGCCCTTCCACCTGTCACTGCCCCTCTATCTCCTACTCCTATCACTGCCCCCCTACCCCCTGTCACTGCCCCTCTACCCCCCTACCCACTGTCACTGCCCCCAAACCTCCCTTACCCTTCACTGCCTCTCTACTCCCTGTCACTGCCTCTCTACTCCCTGTCACTGCCCCTCTACCCCTATCACTGCCCTTCCACTCCCTACCCCGTCACTGCCTCTCTACCCTCGATAACCCCTGTCACTGCCCTTCCACCCCCTACCCCCGTCACTGCCCCTCCACCCCCTTATCCCTGGCACTTCCCCTCTACCCCCTTCCCCTCTACCCCTACCCCATCACTGCCCTCCACTCCTAACCCGTCACTGCCCCTCTGCCTGGCTGGCATGCGCTGCCTCTTTTGCCATCCTGGCAGCTTCCCTCTACCCGCCATCTCCACCTCACCCCCAACCCCTATTACCACTGCCCCTCCACCCCCCAACCTGTCACTGCCCACCTGCCGGTCGCTGCCCGGCCACTCCCTACCCGTCCACTCACTTTTTCTGCCTCACTAATCTCATCCACTGCCCTTCCACCCCCACCCCAAGTCACTGCCCCCTCCACTCCCTACCCCATGTCACAGCCCTCCACCCGCCTACCCCCATGTCACTGCCCCTCACTCCCAACCCCTGTCACTGCCCCTCTTCCCCTTATCCATGGCTGCCCTCTACCCCTCCTCCCCCCTCCACCCCCAGCCCCTGCACCTTTCACCCATCACTGCTGCCCCTCTACCCTGTAACCCCTTTCACTGCCCCTCCACCCCCTGCAATGTCGCACCCACCCCTACCCATGTCACTGCCCCTCCACCCGCCTACCCCATGTCACTGCCCCTCCACTCCCTAACCCGTCACTGCCCCTCTACCCTCGCTAACCCCTGTCACTGCCCCTCTTCCCCCTTATCCCTGGCACTGCCCTTCTAGCCCTTGTCACTTCCCCTCCACCCCCCCAACCCCTGTTACTGTCCCTCCACCCCCCCAACCCCCGTCACTGCCCCTCCACCCCCCCCCATTTACTGCCCCACCCTATCATCCCCACCCACACTATCTTGTCCCCATGGAAACACCCTGTCCACATCCCCCCACCCACGCCCCTGTCATCCCCGCGCACACACCCTGAGGCCCACTGGGGAGTTGGGGAAAGTGGAGGGGCAGTGACAGGGGGAAGAGGGGGGGGTTCATAAATACCTTCCCTGGTGGTACAATGGGCGCCCTCTCTCTTCAGTCTGCAGCTCCGCCGGGAGTGAGCTGCAGACCCCAAGGTGAGTCTTGCATTCTCCAGTCAGTCAGAGCGTAGCCATGGTAACCCGCGGCAACGCTCTGACAGGCTGGAGATCGCAAGACTTCTCAGTCTGTAGCTCATTCCCGGCAGAGCTGCAGACTGATGGCTGGATCTCCTTCAGGGAAGACTGACAGGAGGGGCCTCGCACCGGCGGCATTGTGGGCAAGCCGCCAGGCCCCTCATGCTAGTCTGCCCTAAGGTGATATAGCCTAAATCGCCAGCGGTGCAGCACGGAGGCGTGATTAGGGTGTGTCCGACTATGGCTGCAGACAACAAATGTAAATAAGAAATAAAGAAACATATAACATGCCATTATCGAGGTATAAATATTTTTATTTCAGCAAGTAAACTGTGTAAAATTAAAACACTATTATAATTTTACAATTTAAATGATAGATTTAAATGCGAACTTAAGAAAAAACGAATAACTGCAATATGCAAAGCAACAAAACTGACTTTTTCTAAAAGACAACCGCTCTCCTCCCAAATTTAAAAACAGAGGCAGAGACTAAAATACATACTTAGAATACATCTTGCTTCTGCCTTCTTCAAGTTAGCTGAAGATGTGTTTTAGCTCCACTGTGATACACATTTATAGCTTTTATCTTTATGCCATTAAAACTGACAACATAGAATTAAAAGCCAAGTCACATTTGGTAAGAGCTGCATTTATTATACTCAGTTATTGATATAAAAAAAAAAAAATGTAAAACCACAATGAAAACATTGTTTTGCTGACATGAATGGAAACACAGAAATCTGAAAGAAATACTAAAAACATTATGGAAAATGCTGAAATACTACAAATTTTTAAACAGCAAGACTGGGTGAGGTGCATACATTGGTGACATATAAATAAAAGTGTCAGAATAAGAAAAAATCCATAACAATTTTTTATTATAAACACAAATGCCCCAATTTTGTGTTTATAATAAAATTACATATCTATTATTTATTTATTACTGGCATTTATAAAGCACCAACATAGTCCATAGCACTGTACAATTTTGAAAAAGACAATACAGTGTAAACATACCAATATAAAAGGTAGAGGACCCTGCCCGTGAGTTTACAATCTAAAGGTTAAAATGGGGAGATGAGACAAGAGGTAGCAGAGGAATTTGAAGGTGATGGCAGAGAGAATTAATAATATAATTGCAGTAATTAATAACAATTGATAGGAAGGTGATTGACTGAGATTCCAAACAGCTAGAAGAGCATGCTCTATAGTTAGCAGGAACAAGTGGGGGCAGGTGGGTGGGTTGGTTGAGCAGAGTAAAATTGAAGAGGCTTGTTGCAGACAAGGTTTGGGAATTGGAAATAGAAATAGATAACACTTATATTGCATTAAAGGATCACTATAGTGTCAGGAAAACAAAGCGGTTTTCCTGACACTATAGTGCCCTGAGGGTGCCCCCACCCTCAGGGTCCCCCTCCCGTGGCGCTGAAGGGGTTAAAACCACTTCAGCAACTTACCTTAATCCAGCGCCAGGCTCCCTCGGCGCTGGTGACCTCTCCTCCCCGTCCGACGTCAGCTCCCCCCTCAGACGTTACTGGAGCCGAATGCGCAGCACAAAATGTCCATAGGAAAGCATTTCTCAATGCTTTCCTATGGACGCTCTGCGCAATGGAGGCGAAATTCGCCTCCAGCGTCGCAGATGCGCCTCTAGTGGCTGTCCGGAAGACAGCCACTAGAGGCTGGCTTAACCCAAAATGTAACTGCTATGTTTGCATCTGAAGGGTAAAACCTGAGGGACCTGGCACCCAGACCACTTCATTGAGCTGAAGTGGTCTGGGTGACTGTAGTGTCCCTTTAAGAAATGTAGACATCTAGACATTATGATGTGTAATGTCTAAAGGCGATTAGAGATCTGTTGTTAATTCAGCTGAAACAATATGTCCTGAACACTTTATAAGAGAGACCTGTTCTATAAAAAATGAGAGTATCATTTCATTGTAACAAGATAGAGGATCATTGTACCTTTGCATGTCAGAGGCTAAAGGGCTTCAGACAGATAACATTAGGTTTCAACGTACATAAAAAATAAATAAAAAAATGTTGATTTCTGTCTTTCACCCTTTTTTTAGGTGAAATATCTCTTTCAAGAATATGTAAATAGATATGCCAGTAACGGAGATTAATGGTATATTGGGAAGGGACTGCCTTCTGTGCGTCTGCTCTACTGCATTTTTTTTTGTCTAATTATTATAGGAAAATTTCTTACTTTAACATAGTTCTCTAAAATGTATATTAGTTGTGATAACAGTTTTCCAATCAAGAAATAAGTCATTATAGTGAAAGAGATTTGTAATGATAACAATGACCTTACCTACCCAAGTTAACCATTAACCAAAAAGAAAACAATATATCTTGTGTTCAGCTACCCTCGCTCATCTAAAAGATGACCCCCCTCAGTCATTGTAACTTCACTAATATTGCTGGTTTAGCTATCACTGTGATCAATTAGAATATCCCCTGCCGCGTGTAATACACCTGCAAACAACATTTTGTTGTTAGGCTATCCATGAAACCTGATTGTGTGAGCCATGATGACTGGGTTCAGAGCTCGTACATTGCACAATGAGATTAAGACACAGACAAGATGACTGCACATGCAAATGGACCAAATAGGATTAAAAGAAAATTAGAGGCACACTTAAGTATGCGGAGTAAATGCTTACTAAATGCAGAATATCACTTAGCGTGAGTTGTGTGGATAATTTTGTTGTTGAAAGGTTCAGTTACACTCTAGAAAAATTCTCCTAAACTCTTTACAATGAATTAGTGTGGTATTTTGTGCAACTCTGTGTCTGATTTTAAGTTTTTTTTCTGCTGTTGTATATACATAACTATATATGTGAGCATATATCTAAAATTGTGATCTTTCGTCCAAACTACAATATCTGAATGATGAATTCTTGCTTAAAGGACCACTATAGTGCCAGGAAAACATACTCGTTTTCCTGGCACTATAGTGCCCTGAGGGTGCCCCCACCCTCAGGGACCCCCTCCCACCCGGCTCTGGAAGGGAGAAAGGGGTAAAAACTTACCTTTTTCCAGCGCTGGGCGGGGAGCTCTCCTCCTCTCCCTCCTCTTGCGCCGCCCTTCAATGCGCGCGCTGCAAGAGCTCGCGCGCATTCAAGATGCATAGGAAAGCATTCATAATGCTTTCCCTATAGACGCTGGCGTGCTCTTACTGTGAAAATTACAGTGAGAAGCGCGCAAGCGCCTCTAGTGGCTGTCAATGAGACAGCCACTAGAGGGAATAGGGGGAAGGCTTAACCCATTAATAAACATAGCAGCTTCTCTGAAACTGCTATGTTTATTAAAAAATGGGTTAACCCTAGCTGGACCAGGCACCCAGACCACTTCATTAAGCTGAAGTGGTCTGGGTGCCTAGAGTGGTCCTTTAATTACAATCAAATGAACTCTCAATCAAGCAAAGACAAGAATGTGTTAGAAAATCCAGTGTAGTAACATGACTCCAGATTAATACTCAGGAGGTACAAAATAAGAACTGCATTCAAATACAATTCTTTATCCCATGATTAGCTGTAAGAGGAACACACACATACAACACTGATTGATTGTTCTCATGTTTTTTTTTTTTTTAAAGAAAGAGAACAATTGCACCCCTTGAATTTCAGTCTGACAGGCAGGTTGATCACCAACGTTAACCCTCAAATAGTTTGACTTTTTGTAAGGTTGCAAAAACAATTACGGTAAAAATCTATTTTCTGTCTATTTTAGTATAATAAGGTCACTAGTTGCTTGTAAAGCAAATAAAACATTTGCTACTATTGGAGAATATATTATTCCATATTACTAAATAAAAATGTAAAACAAATACATTAGGCATAAACCCTAATTCCTTTTAGAAAAAAACAAACATCTTAAACAGAATAAAATAATTTATAAAACATTGAACAGATTATTTTAAAAACAGACAATGGATAATTTATCTATCCATAATATATTTTCTTAAGACATACAATTATAACAAACATCCAAGGTCCAAAAAGTGTAATTTTGGAACTTGCCAGTCTATACCATTGAAATGTTTTAATTCTGCAGCAGAATTAAATAATTTATTTTTCTTTTTGTAATGTCAGACTTGATTGAAAAATCTGAGGGATCATTTTCCATCATAAATATGATATATATGTCTCGACAATCTATGTTGTTCCGCACATTAAATCAACTCTTTGAGTGCCATTGCATTCAAAGGATTAACAGAGTTGGGAATTAAAATAAACAAAATTCAGCTGTTCGGTAAACAATAATCCAGGAAAATCAGACCAGCTTGTGTCCTGAATTAAGTATAAAATAAATAAAATTAATAAGGAGTTTGGCCAAGTGGTGGTTGTACGATATTATAAGGCAGTTTCTGTCAAAAAGAAACTCTTGAATGTCCTTAGTATGTTCTCCGCGTAGTGTAATCGAGCACCATGCTTGCTGCACCCAGAAGAGCAGGATCTGACAAGTTTGACACCACAACGTCCACATCCTGGACAGAAGCCAAGCCGCGCTGTCTTATAACGTCTTTCACCGTACTGACATACTGGTTTGCAAGGACACCAGAAAGGATCACTAAGGATGGGTTTATAGTGTGCAGGATGTTGACAATGCCCATGCCAAGAGCCGTTCCAGCTGTAGTGAATGCAAATTTAGAGGGAAATAAATTATCTATATAAAGATTGTATCCTAACTTTTTTCTCAGTGCCAGTTCACAAAGGTTGTGTTTGTGTAATCTACTGATAGTGATAAAAGGTATCCTTATCTGGTGTTTACACCAAAGGTTTTGTATAAATAATTAACAATGTTATCAGAGCTGTGACTTTAGATACCAGACCAGAAGAGCAAGCCTTGCAGCTCAATATTTTAAATAAAGAGAAACATCCTGAGACATAGAGCTCTCCTCCTTAAAAGTAATAATACACTTTACACACCTTTACTCAACTGAACTCACTTGATGGATTTTATCATTAATGTGGTTTAGTTACAGAGTGCCATTGTTAGTGCATGCATTCAGATGCACAACAACCAAGAATCTAGAAAGTTCTTTATGAGCTAAAAAAATAAATATGATCAGGCACGTTCTTTCACTTTTGCTGTCTAAAGTATTACCTGATTTGGTAATTTACAGGTGAAGTAAAGTACAATAGCTCTTTGAAACTTACCGGTTTTGAGAATACTGCTGGCTTTGGTATTGCCAAATTTTGCTGCTTGTATAAGGTGGACTGCGGTAACAGGTTCGTCATTTTTCAAGGACATGCCCTCCACCAACAGCAGGTCCTCTGTGCACCAACAAACAGAATAATAATTTTTATGACATCTACTACATTTAGGGGAAAGTATCAAACAAATCATAATGAACAGGGCAACAACCCATACACAAAGCGCATATAGGATATATAGTCTATATGTTTTTTTTTTCTGAATTGGAAATAAAATATAAAAGGTTGACTGGGAATTTTCACAAGACATCAGACACATGTGTTCCCCCCTTCCACATTAGTGTCAACAGAGTAAAATAGAAACGTATTCTACAGAGCTGTGTTAAATATCAGTACTCCTCTGTGTGATAAGCTTTAAATGTTACAGGAGCTTTTATGCATTGCAAAACACTGAATTGGGTATGTTACAAACCCATTAATGATGAAGAAAAAAGAAATGCAAAAAAACAACAACACAAAGTCTTTAAACTCAGAAACTGCATACTGCATAAAAAGCCAAAAGATTTCCATGGGAAATCTTTTCCAGTATCAGCTGACATTAGGAATGACTTATCACAAGTTACATCTTTCCACAAACATAAAATCGACTGTTTCTGGAGGCAGGACTTTAGGAGTCAAGAGTGTAATAGGTATTAATTTGAATCTGTATATAGTTTAACATACAAATTGTGATGGCCACATGGATCTAGAACACTAGAACACTTTTTATTCTGGCTGCAAGAGATTACTACAAGTCACATGCCTCTTCTGGCATATTGCCTGGCCTATTCTGTAATACTATGCTTCCCAGACTGTTCAGAACGTACATCATATACAATGTAGGCATTTCTGTCGGTTTACCTGATTCCCCAGATGTTAGCTAACCACATTTCTGGTAAATAAGTAAATTTTTGGATAGATTTTTAACAAATATATTTTTAGTAATTCGACTATCAAAGTGTATAGATTAAATTATTTGTAGATTACTATGTAATGCAGTGAATGACTGGGTCCCTGTAATTAGATATCAAGGTATTGCATGAGCCCATTTCTCCCACAATTGAGTATTTAATGTAAATGAGTATCACAGAGCAATGTATAAAGTTATGTATACATTTATAACAGAACTCCAAAGCACTGTGACGTGTTTCAGAGTGTCACCGAATTAGACACTCTGAATCGCAATAAGTCTAAATTCACAAGTACACACCATCATGCAGGTTTTTTGCTTCTCTCTGCAGGGCTATTCCAGAGGCATATGCCTCAATGCATCCGTGGCTGCCACACATGCACTCTGGTCCATCAAAAGACACCATAATGTGCCCCAGTTCACCAGCACAATATGAGCTGCCGTGAACAAGTTCATGATGATGGATAACTCCTCCTCCGATTCCTGGTGTAAAAAAAATATATAGAAAGACAAAACAAAACTAAAAGGTTAGGGGATTTGGCATTGGACATTACTAATAATATCAGCTGTATACATATAGTACAGTATCTAATACTACAGAAATATTAGAGGATCTTGAGTTACTGACACTGTATGGCTTTAGTTTAGCTCAAAAAGTGTTTTACAGACTAGACATGCCTACCTGTGCCAGTAATAACTGTGACGAAATCTCCCACTCCTTTGCCTTGACCAAACTTCCGCTCTGCCAACGCAGCACAGTTTCCATCATTATCCACCCACACTGGCAGATGTAATGTGTCTGACAGGGGCGTTCTAAGATCAACAGAGCTCCACTCTTGAATTAGTTTTGTGGAATGCAGCACTACTCCCTCATGAGGGTTTACACGTCCACCTGTAGATATTCCTGTCCAAAACAAAGAACACTTAAGCAAGCATTGAAAAAGACTATTTAGAAATCATAAAGTGTACACAAATAGATCCCTGTGCATACAAACGGCAGCAACGTTAAAGAAGGAAAAGGTAAATAAAGGACGTCAATGTAGGGATACGTGGTTCTGGATAAAAAAAACAGACACCCTGACTCAACAGTGCTAACAGCTGCTTTAATTCAGGGTGTGGATGAGGAAGCCGCTCTAAAAACAGCTGAAATGTGAATCAGCAGAAGTTAAACATTTCTCAAGGATCTTTCTTCATTTCAGTTACTTTTCGCAATAATTTCTATACAGCAACTAATTGCTCCCAGTAAATGTCATACTAAACCTATAACAGGTTGGGTAAGATATTAATACTGACTAAGACACTTTCTTTATATCCTGGTTTTAACAGGAAAGAAGCAGGGAAATCTTTTAGCAGAAACAAGGGTTATTCTGCTTGCTAAATAGCAATTCAACCACTGAAGTCTCCATAAATGTTCTTACACTGTGTAACGTCAGCCTACAGTATATTACCAGGACTGATACACAGATATTTTCTCTAATTTCTTTGAACGGGGCACACATGTTATGACCTACTACCGTTGTAATTATTTTATTGACATGGGAAAGATGAAAGGCTAAGTTGACACTGCCAGGAAGAAAACCTGCAACCATGAGGTTTAACAGGCACAGGTGCATCTAACATATGACTATCTACCAGAACTGCAAGTGTTAATGTAAACAAGGTGATATCACAATTTTGCTAAGGTAAAGATTTATTAGTGTTATCATAAATGTTAGAGTCTAGTAAGTGTGCATCCATCACAGTAAAATAAACATTTCTCTTAAAATGATGAGGTTTATTCATTGAAGTGAAAATATTTTAACAGTGACAGTACGTGTTTTGCATGGTGTTCTGATCTTGTTGCCATTCTTTTGCTATAGTGTGGTTATTTAATTTGCCTTATGTTATGCAGACGATAAACATATTAAATATATTTGATGCCTGGTATCAGCATGCAAACTATGTCTCAATACTTTTTGCACCAAATGCTTCTCTATGCAAAGCAATGGATTCAGTGTTTCTCTACAGAGGAGTTTGTGAAGACAGACTGTGAGACAGACAAGCTGTAGTCTAGCTTGTCTGAGATAGACAATAGTTGAAATGTGCAAAGTAGTAAACCTTTGCACTAACTGTAACCTGGTATTACAGTGCAGTGGAAACAAACATAAAATAACAAAGCAAAACAGGTTTGTTAAAACATGGCAGATTTTGCTTTTTTTCGTGCTTTTATACCTCACATGGCCATTAAATAATCATGTAGCATTACCTAATTTTAGAATTCATTTACGTCAGCTCTTACCTACACCAAGAATCCTGCAATTCAGTTTTACAGCTTCCGATGCAGCTTCCACACACATCTTTAGGATTAACTCAATCCTATCTTCGTAGGTTTTTGGATTGGGTTGTTGATATTTCTTAACTATTTCACCCTACAACAAACAAACCATTTGTTTAATGCTTAACTGAACAGGAGAACATGTAGTTCATGGTCATGGCTTGCATTGCCAAAAATCTCACAATTTGAAGCTTAAAAAGCTATTTTAAGAGAAGATTACTACCATATTACTAAGAACTAAAGTTATTGTATTCAATCTATGGAAAAATACAGCATCAAATAAAGACATTTTAGTGGCAAAGGATTAGCAATAAAGCCTGCCATCTTTCCTCCCCCAAGAAATAAATTAAGTATAATTATATATACACACACACCATGGGTAGTGTACATGCACACTCTCTGCAATTTCTGTTAACCTTCCTTCAAGATGTGACAGATGCATTCCAATGGTAAACAAAGCTTTTTAAAATATTCAAACTTTGTGTTATGCTATCTTAGGGTGTGGGTATAAGCATTCTGCCAGAAGACTGAGTGATTTCTGGCTAAAATGCTTATATATATATTTCAGTTTTAACTCCCTTATACAGTAAATAGCTGCTGCCACCTTTCAAATGTAAACAATCTCCAAATGGTACCTCCTTGAACTCCCTTATCCTGAAACAACTGCCTCCTACATCTCCTAGTCAACTCAAAACTTCAAGACATGTTCTCACCCCACCCACGTTATCAGTCTCTGTTCTGTTCTCATTCCCAATATTTTACCATGGAATCATGCTATACTAATGACATTTTACCTTCATGCTGACAATGCCAATCCTAAGATTGGTGCCTCCAAGGTCTACAGCTAATGCACTCAGAGTTTCCAAGATGTGATCAATGTCCTGAGAGATGTTATCTTTTACAGGGGGAAAGCAGAACTTCTTTTGCAGTGGTTCCACCAAATTAATTGATTTCAAGAACTTCACAATCCTTGGAACAGCATTGCCATCTCCATAGATCTTTGAGCTGTGAAATGCCAGCACGTTAGTTTGAAAGTAATTTATTTCAATTTCTCCATATAAAATAAAGAGAAACACAATATTTACACACAACAGAAGACAAGTAAAATATTTACCAAGGATAGCGTTTTCCAAACTGGAGCTGAAGTGCATGAATTATTTTATTCTCAGTATCTGCATCCCGCACATGAAGAACATTTTCACCTAAAATTAAGAAACATCAGACAACAAATTAAAGTCATCGTTTATTACTGCAAGAACCAAAATATTAAGATATAGACTATTTGGTTGCGTTTTTCATGGTTTATAGCTTCACTGTGTACAGTTACACATGTAAAAGAAGGTCAAATTCTTGTAAATATTATAGAAATTTACCACGGAAGATAATATTTCGTTTTCATGTGAGTCCTACGCAAATGACGTTATTATTGCCTAATTCGTACATGTTTTTTACTGACCTCAGAACAATGTAAAACTGCATTAAACCTGGTGGAGATCATATTTGCAACTCCGAAGTTTGATTAGGTACAAGAAGCACTTCAGCATGTGCATTACAAAACTGAGATATGACAAGGTCCAATTTGTTAACTAGTGCACAGCTCTTTGCATGTTATACAAAATAAATGGCTAATAGCGTTAACTGGTTACAGCCATCTTTAAAAAGAAAAGCTTTTTTGACTTCTTGTTCTGACCTGTCTCTCGTCCAGTCTGACGTGTTCCCAAATTAATCACCGGAGTTCCAAAAGCCCCAGCTTCCCGGACACCACAGCTGCTGTTGCCAATCATGCATCCTGCATGGGCAACTAACTGTATGAATTGTTCAAATGGAATATGCTTCACAGGTATAAAATTTGGATGATGCTCAATGCCCTTCTTTCTCATCACTCTCACCATTTCTTTACTACCTGTATAATGCAGAATAAGGCATGTTAACATTATCCTTCAATCAAAAGTCAAAATATTTAAATTTAAAACATCTATCCAACTCACCTGCATCAATATTTGGAAAAAGGATCAAAGTTTTCTTGTTAAAAGACAGAAGAGCGTCAAGGGTGAACTCAAACATTTTGACTGAATGTTTAATATCAGTGGTAACTGGGTGTTGCAAAGACACAATGTATTCTCCAGACTTCACATCATCACCTATAAAAATATAATGGAAAGGACTAAAATGAAAACTTCCTGGTGTATATCATGGGAAATGTAATCTACAAGCATATGAAGAGCCAAATGTTACTAAACCTGGTTGTTAAAAAGTGCCTTTTTAAAAGCAAATATGTAGAAGTAAACAACACCAACGATCCAGTCTATATTGTACTTATTCCTAGTCAGTGTTCTTATTTATTTATTTTATTTTTTTAAGAAAAGAGGGGCATTTGAGATGCAAATATATCAGTGTTCCAGACGAGAAAAAACAAGATCTAGATAGTTATATACAGACACAATATTTTTCTATATTATAAAACATTGACTAGGCATAATTCTAAAATAAAGTTATATATATATTTAATATATACATATATATAAAACTTTATTTTAGAATTATTCATAATATATATATTATGATTTATTTGACATTTATCTTCACTTGCAGAATCATACACAGATATAAGAACTGTAAAGGGTGTAAGGGTGTGAGGCTCAAAGCTCTGGCGGGAGTGAAGTCACTCAAACAGGAAGGAGAGACAGACGCTGGGTTGCAGAATGTAAAAAACATGGACGAAATCCATGAAATGACAGATATGCGTAATGTTTTCCCTTTTTGCATTTTAACAGTTCTCACATTTTTCTATGGGAGTTACTGTACATTTAAATATCTGATCTAACGTGGTTTCAAGCATTAGAATTTATTTCTAGAAGCAATTATTAGAGCACAATCCCAGATTATGTGATAGTGTATCGATCATGACATACCCAACCATGTCTTGATAACACCATTGTAGTCCTTGTTTTTCACATTGAGAAGCTTGTCATAAGAAGGGCATCCTGCAAGTAGGATGCGGTCATGGTCCTCACACATGGATATGAGATGCTGTTCTGCACTCCTGGTACAGCATACATGGTAATGAGCCAGTTTAGTGATGGAATGTCTGATAGAATCATCGATGGTTCCACTGACTTCACCACCTTCTATGTGAAGAATCCTTATATTCATCAAAGCAGCAGTGGTGGCCAAGGCCAAAGCATCAAATCGATCTCCATGAACAATAATTATGTCTGGTTTTAATCTGTTTAAAACATCTGGAAGCTTCACCAGAGCTAAGCCAACCGACTCTACCATGGCAGCTTCATCTTCACCCCTTACGATAGTGTGAAGCCTTGCTTGGATATCAAAATCATCTTGCTCAATCATACGATATGTATTTCTAGAGAAAGAGAGAGCGCAAAATATATATGTACATATTGTTACTGCTACAAATATTTGCCTTTTGTGTGGCGTAATAAAATGCATTTGTTTTTGCTTCGGTTGATTTAATATAAATATACAAAAAACATTTTCCATAAAGTCTTCAAGGCAATGAAGTATAACATTTTTGAGGGTAAAATAAACAAATAAATGGAAATAAAAAATGAAGGAACGGCAAAAAGTTTTTTTTTTTGTTGCTTTTTTTACTAAAGTGAGTTAAAAGTAAATTTCAAATTTAAGGCCAGATTAGGGTATCTGAAAATATAGCGGTCTTTCAGAATATTTCCAGTTCAGCTATCTGATTTTAAATGTGAAATTCACTTTAATTTCAATTTGAATTCTCTCTTCAGAGAATAACCCTGTCAAATGCAAAGACAAATGCAATGTCAAAAATGCTCCCAGATGCCCGATCTATTCAAAGGTCTTACTATTTAGGTGTCATGCTCTGCAGTCATATGCAAAATATTACATAGGAACATGACTCAGAATGTGCACCTACAGAATTAGTCAAGTGTTTTCAATGCAAATTTTAGGCCGAAACAGCTGAGTTGGTAAAATTTTCCAAATTAGTTTTCATTTTGGATACTAAAACATTTTAAATTAACTTTGAATTATTTTAAATTTCTCACAATTCGCTTTTTAGTAGGTAGCTGTATTAATGAACCTAACACTTAAAGGGACACTGAGCAGCAAAATCACTACAATTTCATGATGTAGTTTTGGTGCATAGATGTTGTCCCTGCATATGTAAAATACAGTCTATCAAACTGAAATTACTTTCCTATGGAGGGATAGCAGATGTTGCTGTCCAACTTCATTTAAATTAAATTTTGCCTTTCATTGGTCTACAGTTGCAGATTAAAATAGCACATTATTTAGAATTAACAGCAGCAACAAGTATGTAAAGGATGGAGCATGATGGACTAGAATTTTTTTTATAAGCTGAATTACAATATAAGTGCATGTAATACATTACTCTGAATCTAAAAACATACCCGTAATCATCAATGAGATGAGACCCAATAACCACCACACTGAGTTCAAAATTTTCAGGTTCTGCCTTGATGCCAAACATAATAGGTGCCAACTTGGAGTAATCGGCCCTATTGCAAGTGGCAACGCACACTCTGAGTTTCCTTTGGTTTTCATTTTTCTCCATGTTAACTTTTTGCCTTGATAAAGTTTCAAAATAAAGTGCCTGGAAAAAAAAAAACGCAAACATTCACATATTGTTTGATACTATATTGTAGCACAAGCATTAATCCAGCTTATTGGTTAAGAATCCTATTTGCCTCAGTTATGCCACAATGGCCCAAATAAAAAATGTGGAGCATCTTTCACGAGGCAAGGGTCAATAATCTGTTCACATGCGACATTAGCCATTTTTGTTTAAATTAACAGATTCAGTCATTTAAAAGACACTATTTCCGATCAACATAAAGAGACACTCTAGGGTGGTGGTAGGCAACTTTTCGCACTCCAGATGTTGTGGACTACATCTCCCATAATACTCCTAAAGCCATAATTTTGGCACAGCATCAGGGGAGATGAAGTCCAAAACATTTGGAGTGCCAAAGGTTGCCTACCCTACTCTAGGCAATGTAATAATTTCACCTCACTGAAGGGACTAGAGTGCTTGGAGTTTCCTGGCACCTTCCCTCTCTTTTGCGTTCAACCATTATCTAATGGATTAGCACTGTATGAGGGTCCCTGGCAGCTGGGTCCATCTGTGCTGCTTGGGCTAATAAGGTAGAATTAGCCAAGTGATGATGGGCAGCAGTAATTGGCTGCTCTCAGCCAACCACAGATGCTCGTTGGTGGTTTCTGAACTGGTATAATTAAAGTAAATAGTAATTTACTGTGGCAGCAGGCTTACAGGCTGTCAAAGGCCTTCATGTAGCAAGGAAATCAAACATGGGTATGAAACATTCCTGTTGATTCTAGTACTTTATATATGATGAAGAATTATAAAGCTAAACTCCCTTTTGTGTTCATTTACCACAAATAAAATATACAGGATATATGAAAGTATTTCTTTAGGAGATAATCATTTAGTTTTTCTCCAGTTTCCCATTCCTGGGATCAAGATTCTATTATTAACCAGGGCCACTCTAAGCACCACGACCACTTTAGTGATTTGAAGTGGTCATGGTGCCTGGAGTCTGTATGTGCAGTTTTTCGCTATGACACGCTTCACATACAAAGATTAATCTCTTAGCTGCCGGAAGTGTTACTCCACCTCCAAAGTTCCAGGCTGGCTATGGTCATTGTTGTGCAAAATCGGCATCTTCTGCAAGAACTCACAGCATGCTTGCACCAGACAGCCAATTCAGCACGTTCCCCTCCCCACCCCGTGCTGCCCCTGTCGCCCATTTAGTCTGTCCTCCCTGACCCCTGTTCTGGAGAGAGTGAGTGACATCAGCCATGCAGGACTGGGCTGAGAGAAGAACTTGGACGCTGTGATGAAACATAGATAAGTTAGAATGTTTCATTTATTTTTATTATTTTTTTAGTTTTGGAGGGGCAGACCACCTCAGAAAATGTTACTCTATTTAAAACCAGTATTTTCTAAAAACACTGGTTTTTGGTTGAAGTTATCCTTCCATGATACTCATTCTGTCAACCTAAAGGCTGAGTTGACCATGTCATTATGCAGCTTGCTCTTTAACAGTAAATTAAAAACATAATGTCACAAAGTCAGTGGGAACACATACACCTTCTGGAATGGAATACTGCAAAGTCAGTAATAGTAAATGTCATGTCAGGTATGGAATATTGCAGAGTCAGTGACAGCAAATTCGTAGCTACAGAATGCTGAAAAATCTGAGACAGCAAAAGCAAACTGACGTACATAATACTACAGAGTCAATTTACAGAAAATACAAACTCGCATCCCTGGAAATTGCATCGTCAACAGCAGCAAATACAAGCTCAAGTACAAAAACTGCAGAGTCAAAAATGGTAATTACGTGCGACAGAATAGTGCAGAGTAAATGACAGCAAACACAACCACAGGTACATAAACTGCAAAGTCAAAGGTGACAAATATACAAAAAGGCATAGAATAGTGCACAGTCAATGAAAGCAAATGCAAAGATGTCAGTGACAACAAATATGTGCAAAACCCAGAATACTGCAGAATCACTGGCTAATGAATCAGTTTAGTTTATATTATTACTCATGTCAACTAAATAACAGAAATACATAAAACTAGAAGGCACACAGAGCAATTATTTCACTCTTCAAAAACATGTAATGAGTTTCCTCACAAGTAAGCTGACTTCCCTTCAAGAGCAACTTACTAAATTTCTTTTGTTGATCGTTATCAAACATGAAGGTTTGAATACTCACTGAGAAAGTTAAACAAAAGGAGGCTATTTTGAAAAGTCTGTCATATCCACAATTTACAGTAATCACACAAAACGAGTTATTTACAATGAAGCAATGTTGTTTAACTTAAGGTGTGGTGTAAGCAGGGACGTTTTAGCCGCGAGGCAAACAAGGCATCTGCCTTGGGCGGCATCTTCCATGGGGCGGCAAAAAAAGCCGCCCCCCCCAAATGCCCAGGGCAAATGCCTTGTTAGCCTCGCGGCTAACTGACATGCTGGGCGGCCAGCTACGGAGCTCTTCCTCTGAGCAGTCTGCTCAGCTCCCTTAGCTCCCTCGCGCGCCGCAGAGTGAGGCTGGGAGCCTAGGGCAGCACAAAACCAGGATACACCACTGGGTGTAAGGCTAACTGGACGTGATGATCAACATGCAAATAACTTACTTACAATACATTAAACAGCAAATGTAACCGTTTTTTTTTTAAAATCATATTTCACTACAGAATCTTCACTTAAATAGGTGAGAATCCAGCCCCAGGTAGGCACATGACTGTATGCATTCTGTTCTGAAGTAAATTCAGAACTGCATTAAAACCCATTACTCTAAACCAGGGTGCAACTAAACCTGGACCCAGCACCAGGTCCCACATACCATATGCAGAAAACAAAGAAAGGTTTAGGCACTTCAAGGTTGAGAAAGACCATAAAGGTCGAAACGTTGCTGCTTGTCAATTGGTTCTAATAAATTTGCCTTTGTTGGACCTTGGAGTATGCATTCTGTGTCCTGGCAAAAGCAGGGCTGGCATCAAAAGGTTTAAAGAAACTATGCGTCAGCACTTGCAATTCACATACTTACCTACATACGTAATCCACACCCAGGATTAAAACACAAAGAAAAATTATATTTAGAAGATCACGTAGGCAAAGTATTTAGATATAAGTGTGTACATAATGTCTCCTATTGATCTAATCTAAGCTTAATTTATCCTTATATATACAAAATGTTTTGTTCTTTTAATCACAGATGTAAAATTATGAAGGCTGTGGAATATATTTATAAAATAAATACTAATAAAAAAAGTGCACTGTCAACCTCTTCAATTTTAATGCCTAGTTTTTATTAAGAAAAATGATTAGAGCTGCCTACTTGTCTCTCTTTGTGTGCAGCTGCACATGACGCTCCCTCTGTCATTTTCTGTGTGCGTAACGCTATTTGTCTGTCTGTACCTCTATTCTTGTGTTTGGCTTCTTGGTCGCGCTTGTTGCATTTTTCTCTAGACAAAAAGTGCTTCAAAGTCTTTCAAGTATAATAGAGACGTAAAATGACCGAGAGACAGAACAAGTTGTATCGCTGTATTTCCAGATTTTATCATGGTAGTTTACTGGCAAACGTTCAATATACATTCATTCATAACCCTGCTGCATACAACCTACTTAGTTTCTATTCATCAAAACACGTTAATTCTTTATGTGTCACATGACAGTCAGTCTCTTTTCTCGAAGCACATGATCAAAAAGGAAAGCACAGTGTCTTTTGCTGCACACCTTGGCAAAGAGACGTTTGGTGTCCGGTGAGACACAGAAATGGTCCAATGGCCAAACACTGGGAATTGACTCTGGCTTTTGGAAAATGGCTTCTTCTAAACAGGGACCTAGAGTGTTTGCAGCAATTCAGAATACAGTGATTAGGCTTCTTGGTTATTTATCATCTGTGTTGTTATAGTCATTAGCATGCTTGGATGCACTACTATGATTTCCCTCAATACACAGTGCCTGGACTACTGCTTTGGGGGCAAGAAAAATAGAAAAAAAAACTGGCTTTAACACCCAACAGAATTGTTAATCCACTTGTGAATGTGGAACACTATACAAAATACATATATTACTATCACTATAGCGGTTTAAACACAGTTCAGGTCTCCGCCTCCCTGTAAGCAATGTAAAAGGTGATTTTACTTTTGTAGCTGGCTACGCTCCTGTTTCACCTACTTGGCTGAGATCATCAAAAGAGCTGATCTCAGCCAATCCAATGCTTTAGAAGGCTATTGCGCATGCATGGCAAAAAGCTGTGCTGGCCACTCAGCATCTCCTCATAGAGAGGCATTAATGTAATGCATATCTATGTGAAGATAATTGGCTTATCAATTACCACTCACGCACTATTGCCCCCAAATGTTTCCTTATGGAAAAGCTTTGGATTGACGGAGATCATATGTAATGATGATATCAGCCTGGGAAGGAGCAGTGGCCGCAGTGTTGGGGGAACTAAAAGGCAAGTAAAACTATTTATTTAACTTGCTAAGTAAATCTAAATATATATTAAAACACTATAACATTAGCAATACATGTTTCTATTCCTCACTTTACGGGGTTATTCACTGAAGTGAGAATTAAAAGTGCTTAATTTTAAATTTGAGGTCAAAATAGCCAAATTGGAAAAATTCTCCAACTCAGCTAGGCTTCCGTTTTGGCTACTTTTACCTTAAATTTGAAATTCACTTTGAATTCTCATTTTAGTGAATAACCCTGTGTAAATGTTCCTTTAACTGGCAGAGAATTAAAAAGATGTAACATAACCTCCTTCCACCTCAAATATTCTGTGTACTAATCCTTAAGGCAGTTACACTACCACTTTAATTTGACTCGGCAGGAAGTAATCAGGGGTTGCTTCACTGATCTAACAAAACTAAATCAAAGGATATTGTCCTTTTCAATACTTCAAACACAGGAAGGACAAAGGAGCACATTCTACTCCCTGCCATAAAATACAAATAGAGGTACAATGAAAAACAGTATCATTTAAGGTTAATATAGTACACTGAGTGACATATTTATATTTATATTCTATGGGGAAAAAATGAAATTTCAATGATATAACTAATGTAGTAATTGATTATGTGTACTTGCTTGATGAAAGGTAAGAAACGATGACTGTTAAAGCCTCTATCATTTACAATAACCCCACTTCAATCTTGTAGATACTTTTACCAAGGTTCATTTCCTAGCACTAAACAAATGCAGTTTATCAAGAAAGGGTCAGGGAGAACCCAAGCCTGCATGCCAGTATTGTTTACTACATCGTATCAAAACATGGTATTTATTTTATACCGGTAAAAAAAAAAAAAAGAAAGAAAGAATTATGGCTTGTCTGTAGCAATCTGTGTTTTTGTAGATTTATACAGGAATCATCAATTGCTACTGTTGTGCCTGTAACATAAAATTAAAGGGATACTATAGGCATCAAAACAACTTCAACGTAATGAAATATTTTTTTGTGTGTAGATAGATAGATGTTGCCCCTGCAGTGCTCAAGTACGTCAAACTCACAGGCTAACAAGGGCCAAATAAACAAGGTGTTACGTTTCTGTGGGCTGCAAAAAAACAAAAACTTCAGTTTTCATAGAAACATAGGTTTATTTAGAAAAGTACAGTGTAAAAAAAGTTGCTTAAAGGACCACTATAGTGCCAGGAAAACATACTCGTTTTCCTGGCACTATAGTGCCCTGAGGGTGCCCCCACCCTCAGGGTCCCCCTCCCGCCCGGCTCTGGAAAGGGGAAAATGGGTTAAACTTACCTTTTTCCAGTGCTGAGCGGGGAGCTCTCCTCCTCCGATCCTCCTCTTCTCCTCACCGTCGGCTGAATGCGCACGCAGGGCAAGAGCTGCGCGCGCATTCAGCCGGTCACATAGGAAAGCATTCATAATGCTTTCCTATGGACGCTGGCGTGCTCTCACTGTGAAAATCACAGTGAGAAGCACGCAAGCGCCTCTAGCGGCTGTCAATGAGACAGCCGCTAGAAGAAATAGGGGAAGGCTTAACCCATTCATAAACATAGCAGTTTCTCTGAAACTGCTATGTTTATTAAAAAATGGGTTAACCCTAGCTGGACCAGGCACCCAGACCACTTCATTAAGCTGAAGTGGTCTGGGTGCCTAGAGTGGTCCTTTAACTGACACTTGATGTCCTCACGCTCCTATGGCTTCAAAGTGAACAAAAGAGCTAATTTATTTTAAGGAGACAGAATGTTTCAGTCCAGCTACCTTGACATATTAAGAAAAGTTTGGTAATGGGACTGAAATGGTGAATGTATGCTGTTGCACAGTTGTAAAAAACATATGACGTTATCTTGTTGATTTTGAAGTCCTACGAGTATGTTCTTCACTTTGGCCACAGGAAAGCATTAGGAGGCAATTGTGCATCTGTGGCAAAAAAATGCATGGCCATCAGCATCTCCATGGGGAGCATTCAGCGCATCCATGCAGAGCCAATCAAATACACTGCCTCCTTCTTCCTCCACTCTTGTACACCACCCCCTCCACCCAATCTAATACACTGCCCCTTAATCTAATACACTGCCCCCCTTCACTCTCATTGAATACACTTTCCCCACTCCCACCACTCTAATTTACTACACTGCCCCTCCCTCCTCACAATTTAATATACTACCCTCCCCCTATTAACTACACATTGTCCCTTATCCCACCACTCTCATACACTGCCTCACCCTCCCACCACTCTAATACACTGCCCACTTCCTCCCCCAATTTAATAAACGGATCCCCTTCCTCCCCAATTTAATACACTAGCCCCCTCCATGCTACAAATTAATACACTGACTCACCCCCCATAATACACTACCCCCCAATTAATACACTGGCCCCCTTCCCTCCCCCAAATTAATACACCGTCCCCCCTCCCCCTAAATAATACATTGTCCCCCTTCCCCAGTTTAATACACTACACAGGAAGGTCCCCCAAACCCCTCTTCTACAACCTTAAGATGAACCACCCATCCTCCAGTTCTGCTCTTCTCTACTCAAGCAGGCCAGATGCTCCTCTGGAACTGTTAGCAGGAGGGAAGACAGACAGCCACTCTGCATTCTTGCAGGCATGGGAGCACGCGATCGGCAGTGGGAGGGAAGACAAGACTCAGACAGGAAAGATCTTTCCTGTCTTGCGGTTGATCACAGTCACAGCACAAAGCTGTCCCAGGGCAGGTGGGCCGTAAAGATGGTTATTGTGCTTGGCCTACATGAAAAAAAGGCTTTCATTTTTCACTCAGATGTTAACTTGCTTTTTACATTTGTATCTCCTGAATGTAAATTAAACTTTAAACACACACAAGAGGCATGATCTAAAAGGCAATTAACAGAGCAAGAGACAAGAAATTCTAAATTAAACAGAATGTGCTGTAAAGATAGTTTAAATATTAGATCTCTCTTTCCAGGAAGTGTTTAGGAAGGCTGTCTAAGTAAATTGCATGGAGATGGGACTAGGGTTGTATAAACAAAGTGATTTAACATCTAAATAGCAGAGAATTGATAAGAGCACCTAAAGGGGCATGATCTATGCACCAAAACTGTTTCATTGAGCTATGCTATTGTTTTGGTGCCTATAGTCTCCCTTTAAGCCCATTTTATTTATGTTTAATCCTTTTAAAATCAAACATAGTATTAAATAATTTTTACAATGAAAAACACATTTTAAATCATGAATTTATTCAGACCATCTTTGTTTTCCTTAAAGCAGGGGTATCAAACTCATTTGAACTACAGGGCAAAATTTACCACTGAAATAGGTATGAAGAGCCAAATGCATAAAATTCATATACACAGACGTGTGAATACATGGAAAAAGGCATACACAAAGAACAATTACACAAAATGTAATATATGTAATTTATTACTTTGTAACAATAAAAAAATATGTGTGTGTAGAATTAGCATTTGAATGCAATTGTGTGCTTGTATTTACTGTTGCTATTTGAATGCTGGGGTGTCTTTGTGTGCAAGACTGCACCTATGGCCAAAATTTATTTAGTGTCCTTTTAAAATAAAAGACAACGGTAACAAAGTAACCACTGTTGATTTTGATCAGTGCCACATGGGTAATACATCAATAAACAAGTGTCTTAAGAATTATTATTATATAGGCATGGATATAAAAAAATAATGGTGCTGTTCTCCATTTAGTATGGTAGAAAAGGTAGTCATTGGTTAATTTAATTTCTTTTTAATACAAATAATGAATTTTCTTTGCTCTAGTGAGCCACGATATATACAGTTAACAGTGCTTTGCTTTTGGCCTACTATAAATGTTTTATATTCCTTTGGTATAAAGAACACTGTAGCATTAGAAATACACAATACAAATACACAACTGCATCCCCAATGCTACACTGCCAAATTCATGTGTGCTGGGGGTAACAATAGCAAATTACTCTGGATGCACAGTGTTTCAAACTGAAATGCTACACACCCAGGCTCCTACCACCGTACCATCAAAAACCAGAAGTGGCTATGGTGACTTGAGTAATCCTTTAAAGGGATAGGGGCACTGCACTCAGACTTCTTCAAAGAGATGAAGTGGTCTGGATGCTTATAGTGTACCTTTAAGTAAATCGGCCCTGTAGACGTCAAAGCCTTACCAAAGAGCACCAGAGGCACAGCCTAGGCCAGTGATGGCGAACCTATGGCACGCATGCCACAGGTGGCACGCCGAGCCCCCTCTGTGGGCACATGGCCATAGGTCACCGGAAGGAGGGAGGGTGCACAAGTGGCCGCCTTAGGGCGCACTGGCCCGGCGGGCACAAAACCGGAGTGACCGGCAGGAGGTGAGCGCATAGCGCACAGCGCTCCCTCCTGCCAGGCACTTTGCGTAGCGTGGCCGAGTGCACCGCGGTACAGGAACTTATGTGTGTGTGTGTACACTCAGCAGGCTGTGTGTGTGTGTGTGTGTGTCTGTATTTAGCAGTCTGTGTGTGTATTCAGCAGACTGTGTACTCAGCAGTCTGTGTGTGTATTCAGCAGTCTGCTAAATACACACAGACAGACTGCTAAATACACACAGATGGGAGGGGAAACTGAGGGAGAGATGGGGGGAGAAAACAGTGTGGGATGGGAGAAAAAAAATGATGGAGGGATGGGGGGGAAAGAAAACAGTGTGGGGGGGGAAAGGGGGACGACATACACACAGCACCCCTGCCCTACACATATCACCCCACACAAAGACACACACACACATCACCCCACACAAAAACACATCACCCACCCACACACACCACCCCATACACACACACCACCCCATATCACCCCACACACACATCACCCCACACACACACACACACATCACCCACACACACACACACACACATCACCACACACACACACACACACATCACACCCACACACACACACACACACATCACCCACACACACACACACATCACCCCACACACATCACACACACACACACACATCACACACACACACACACACAAACACATACACTGTACCCTCAATGCAGTGTGTGTGCAGTCTGTGTGTGTGTACACCTCAGCAGTCTGTGTGTGTGTGTGTCAGCAGTCTGTGTGTGTGTGTGTCAGCAGTCTGTGTGTGTGTACACAGTGTGTGTGTGTGTACACTCAGTCTGTGTGTGTGTGTACCTCAGCAGTCTGTGTGTGTGTGTACAAACTGCGCAGTCTGTGTGTGTGTGTGTGTGTACACTCAGCAGTCTGTGTGTGTGTGTACACTCAGCAGTCTGTGTGTGTGTACACTCAGCAGTCTGTGTGTGTGTGTACACGCAGCAGTCTGTGTGTGTATGTACACGCAGCAGTCTGTGTGTGTGTGTGTACACGCAGCAGTCTGTGTGTGTGTGTACACGCAGCAGTCTGTGTGTGTGTGTACACGCAGCAGTCTGTGTGTGTATGTACACGCAGCAGTCTGTGTGTGTGTGTGTACACGCAGCAGTCTGTGTGTGTGTGTGTACACTCAGCAGTCTGTGTGTGTGTGTACACTCAGCAGGCTGTGTGTGTGTACACTCAGCAGGCTGTGTGTGTGTGTGTGTGTGTGTGTGTACACTCAGCAGTCTGTGTGTGTACTCAGCAGTGTGTGTGTGTGTGTGTACTCGGCAGTCTGTGTGTGTGTGTGTGTCTGTATTTAGCAGTCTGTGTGTGTATTCAGCAGACTGTGTACTCAGCAGTCTGTGTGTGTATTCAGCAGTCTGCTAAATACACACAGACAGACTGCTAAATACACACAGACAGGAAAAAAAATTGGCATGTATTACGGTTTGGGCACTCGGGCTCAAAAAGGTTCGCCATCACTGGCCTAGGCTGTTGTTCAAACTAGACTTTTGAATGCATCATTTAAAAAAAAAAAAAAAAAATGCTTTTCAATGCTTTCATATAAATAGCATTTGGTTAAGCTAAATAGTACCACAAGCACTTTGTGCCCACAACTATTATACTAAGCAACTGAACTAAGCAATGGACATCGACCCATTAATTATTGGAAAAAGAAGCCGCAGGAGGATATAAATTCTGCAGGTTTTACCTGTGGAATTCATTTTGCTAGCAGGATAACTCCTATATTATGCAAAGTAGGTTTTCTAAGCTTACCCTTAAGCTATAATATACATGGAAGAGGACCAGGTGTTTGCACTGTTAATGGAAATTAGTGTTAAAAAGAATACACACACAGAGTTATTCACTAAAATGAAAATTCTAATTAATTCAAAGCAAATGCTGGTTCATTCACTAAACCAGAAATTTTGAAGAAGTGACAAGAGAATTGCAAACATTAGGCTAAAGTAGCTGAATTAGAGACATTCTCCAACGTTGCTATATTGCCATAAAATATCCCTTGTTCATTTCCCAAAACTCAGATTAGTGAATAAACCCCTTAAGATCCAGATAAAAGTGTCATGCATTTCTAATTATAACACCATAACCATTTCAGTGATGTGATGTGAAGTGTTCATGGTTCTTGGAGTGCAGCATTTCACTAACCCCTTGCTGTGGGAGGTGTAACTCCGCCTCCGGCAGTGTCACAGGACTGTCATTAGTATTCCTGGAAAAGAGTTCTGCGTTGACTAACGTTAACTCTGTGCATATTCCTATGCACAGAATTGCATTTATTGGGTAAGAACAGTAAGCTGATGCTCTCAACCAATAAATGGCTGGCAGGGACCCAGGTAATAGAACAAACCGTGCAAAATGGCTTGCTCCTGTTACTGGCAAATGAGGCCAGGGTGCTCCTGGAATCACAACTACAGCAGGAGCTAGAGATCATGATGCTTGGAGTAGCCCTTTAAAATATACACCATAGACTTCAAAGTGTGAAGGACAGGCCTTTCTCCGGTAAGAGGCTATTTTTATATTTAATTATCATTGGACTGAATATACGGATATCTCTTGAAAACATAATTATTATAATAAGATAGAGTATCAGATTGTATTCCCCCTACTATGGGACAGAATTTCAAACCCTATTCGTTAAAATACAGTCCTGCAACAAAGTTATTAGAATGTTTAGGCAAATGGTCATGTAAGTTCAACTGAAGTGGATTGCTGCCTGGAAAGTAAATAAGTAAAACAAACATAGGATTTTGCAAAGAAAATCCCTTTGAACAGTGTGAATACAAATGCATAAATCAGGTCATTACGCAAGGCCAACTAAAAAGATAGTGGGAGCAAATCAGGGACGGAAATACATTCATATGGATGCACATATCCCAAGACAGAGAGCAGCACTATACAGGGAGCACTGACTGTCCCGGGATATTATACATACATACACACACACACACTTATCAGCCAAAACATTAAAACCACCTTCCTAATATTGTGTGAGTAACCCTCGTGCTGCTAAAACAACTCTGATGCGTTAAGGCATTTTTCATGATTTTTTTGGCACAAAATCTTGATTTTTAAAAAAAGACTATGTAACCACATCAAATACACTTAAAGAGTTACATAAGCACTGCAGTGCTTGTGGTGCAAGAAATGCCCTGACAGCACGTCATGTAAATAGTCAAACGGTTTGCTATTGGTTTGGGATCTGGGATAATACTTGGGATCTGCTGGTGCTGGTCACTTCCTTTACTGAGAGTTAATGGATGGGGATTTTAGACCCCAAAAAGCAATGTTTTACAATTGCTAAACCTGACTTATGTATTTTTCAAAACTGTGACTGGGAAATCTAATTGTGGCAATTTTATTGATGCTATTTGTATTTTGCATTGCACTCAGGGTGTCTTGTGGAAACAGTATCATAAGATATCAGGAAACAGAATCAGAAATGCTGTGGATAAGATAGGTATTTTTTGTTTTGTCAAATACCGATGTTAAACACAAAAAGTGACACTATAGTCACCCAGACCACTTTATCACAATTAAAAGAACACTTTATTGTTAGGAGAACAAAGATGTATTCCTAACACTAAAGTGTCCCTCTGCCCCTGCACTGCACATACATGACTTTGGCAATACAGTAATGTCACAAAGGGGTATGTAAATCTATGCCAGGAGCTGGATTCCAGGTAAACATTTTTATAGTTGCAGGGGTGCTAAATAAATTTTAAAAAGTATGTCATAAAACGGGTTAGAATAACCCTTTTGGTCCACCTATAGTCCCTGACCAAGTAAAACTCATTAACGTGAAGAGGAAGCATATAGTAAAGCATTTGATACAATGCTTTCATATGGGGGAGCTTGAATACACACGTCGCGTTCACCATGCAGGCGCTTTAGGCCCCCAATGCTCCTTTATGTGGAACATTGGATTGGAGCATCACAGGGTAGGATGTGCGTTCTCCATGACATTGCGGGAGCCCGAAAGGTGAGTAGCGCAGAGGAAGTCTCAGAGCTAAAAAACAATAAGTAAAAACGTATTTTTTTACATTTTATCGCAAAGACCGGGGGTGGGGGTGTAAATCTAGTGTATGGGACACTATATCGTTATGAATACAGGTTTTCATTTCTAGTGCAATAGTGTTTTGTTTTGTTTTTTGTGTTTTTTTAACCTTGCTGCAAATATCAAAACAAATAATTATATTCTTTATATTACGTATGGTTTCTGTTTCTGTTCCATCATGTGAAACGGACTTTAGTAGCTAGAAAGTGTAATAGAAATGTAATTAACTTCTTACATAGCTAATAATAAGTTATTATTATTCAAATTCACAAATGCCCACACAGTATGCAAATAGTCAAATGACAAACTCACCCACAAACACGCATGATATAATAATAATAATAATAATAATAATAATAATAATAGCAATGGCTTAACACTGCCTTGATAAATTGTTATTTCTATAAACCCAACAGCAGTATTTATTGATACATGTAATAATGAATGAATCAGGAAATATCTCCAGCTCGCTGTATTTACAGTGTTCGATCTCAATAAAATGAGAGTCACTGTGTCTGGAGGAGGGGGAAGGGGGCTCTCATGTATGTACAGGAAATGATATTACGGTAATTGCCGCCCAGGTTCCCCAGGCCCTCGGGGTGGCTTTCTTACCTTGGCTCGGTTGATGAGAGGCTGATATGGTCAGGCCCGTTCTGCGGGCAGTGTCCTGGTACTAGTCAGCGAGCTGGCAGCGTCTAACACACAGAGCAGCCAGCAGGGAGAGACAGGCGGCAGCGGTGACGTACTGAAGGCATCTTAATAGCTCGGATGGGCGGTGCATGTCCGCACTCACACTGCATGCACAGCGCCGTGCTGCCAGTACCAGCACACTGTCAGCCTTGCTCACTGAAACACCAAACACAGGCCTCTCACTCAGGGAATTAGGAAAGGTGACTCAGGGTTACATAGGTCAGGCCACTAAATGAGAGCTAATAAATTAATCTAGATTATAGTTATTCTCAATAATTGTATGCACATTTTTTTTTTTTAAATATATAAAAAATTAATTTACAAAATATGTATATGATATATTTTTTTTATACTAATATAACTACTGTTATGAGACAGTCCAGATTCTTTGCCAGGCAAATCACTATAATTACAGTGTTTATATCCCTGATATCACTGTATGTCCCTCTATGTTGGATATAAATAAAAACAATGAGGTACAGAAGTAGTAGGAGCAAGGGTAACGTCTTATTAGCAATGTGTGTATAAACAGATTCAGCGAAGATTTTTTCGGAGGGCTCTATCACCATGTTTTATTTCACAGTGTTTTAAATAGTTTAACAGAAGATAGGCCTCTCTTGGCACCAACAGGCTGGCAAGCTGCCCCAACAATCTATCACCAACCTTTTAAGTTTGGTTTCAGGGTAGATCTGTTTTTTTTTTAAATGCTCAGAAATGTTTAACATAAAAAGGAAAGCAGCAACCAAACACTCATTTTCACAATATTAAAGCTCAGCTGCTCCATTACATTTCTGTTGCAATTAAAATATACATATTTCTTAATGTAGTTTAGGAAAAATCATCAGAAGGTATGCAACAACCAAATACTTGGATTCCTTAGTCTAGTGTTGAACATTGCACCTCAAAATAAATCTAAAATCATGTAGAAACATGAAGCCAAAATACAGAATACATAGAAATAACCCACAGACCTGATATGTATTGCAAGTGCCTATCGAACGGTCGGTCGGTCAATCTGTGGGTCTGTCAGTCTATCGCACACATAAACAAGTTATCAACATATCAAACAGTTTGGTAAACACACACAGATACACTAAATGTGTAAAATATGAATTTTATGGTGCTATAGACTGAGAGTGCATTCCAGTTGGCACAGCGAAAGGAATGGGATGCGCGACAAGGTATATATAAGAGATTTTCGGTTGTTCTGGTAAAATTATGGGTAGGATGAGCACCCCACACAATGTGTTTTGTTTTTTTAATATTCCATGGTGGAGGATTCATTATTTTCCACCAGGGATTATTAAAAAACAAACACATTACCCTTGATACAGTGCCATAGTTGCCAACATTTGAAAAAAATTTCCAAGGACATTTTGCAGCACAGCTATCAATTACTGTCTGGGTATAATATCAATGGACAGTCAGTACTCTCTGTATAATACAGGGTTGTGTGTATAATAAATTGGGACACTCAGTGCTCCCAGTATAGCACTGCTCTCTGTATAATACAGGTCTGTTTGTGTATAATATCCCAAGACAGAGAGCAGCACTATACAGGGAGCACTGACTGGCCCGGGATATTATACAGGCACAGGCCTGTATTATACAGAGAGCAGCACTATACAGGAAGCACTGACTATCCCGGGATATTATATACACACAGATCTGTATTATAAAGATAGCTGAGCATATACCCCATGTCCCAATCTCTAGACTACTAGTACCTGTCAACAGCCGCTCCCAGACGCGTGTAACAGGGCTAAAGTGTGCGGCAGCTCACACAGATGATTCAGCGGTAAAGTGCACTCGCTGGCAGAGCCAAACTGGGAATCCCTGGGAATCCAAAGCAGCCCTGGAAAAAAATGTATGCCATTCCTACAAGTCTATATATATATATATATATAGTACAGTAAGCACACAAGCTCACTGACATGCGCAAATAGGCTTACTGACAGACAAAACTCTCTGACTCACACACAAGCTTACTACAGACAAACTCACTTGTATAAACAGAAGGCTCACTACAAAGAAGTTCAGGGACACACACAAGCTCAATAAAGACAAGCTCACTGACACACACATGCTCACTAAATAGAAGCTCACTGACACACACAAGCAGTACCATTTTAACAGAGTTAAGGGCCCCGGGCAAAGCAATGCACTGGGGCCCTTCCTACACCACTCACAGGAATTTTAATTATTGATAGACTGCTGAGTCCATACACACACAGACTGCTGAGTCCACACACAGACACACACTGCTGAGTCCATACACACACACACACACACACACACACACAGACTGCTGAGTCCATACACACACACAGACTGCTGGGTAAATACACACACAGACTGCTGAGTCCATACAAACACACAGACTGCTGAGTCCATACACACACAGACTGCTGAGTCCACACACAGACACACACTGCTGAGTCCATACACACACACACACAGACTGCTGAGTCCATACACACACTGCTCAGTAAATACACACACAGACTGCTGAGTCCATACACACACACAGACTCTGCTGAGTCCGTACACACACAGACTGCTGAGTCCATACACACACAGACTGCTGAGTCCATACACACACACACAGACTGCTGAGTACACACACATACACACAGACTGCTGAGTCCATACACCAGCTGTGTACACACACACACAGACTGTGAGTCCAGACGTACAGTCCATACACACACACACACAGACTGCTGAGTCCACACACACACACACACACACACACACACACAAAGACTGCTGAGTCCATACACACACACACAAACACACACAGACTGCTGTGTCCACACACACACACACACAGACTGCTGAGTCCATACACACACACACACACACAGACTGCTGAGTCCATGCACATGCACACACACAGACCAAGCTGAGTCCACATACACACACACACACAGACTGTTGAGTCCATGTGCACACACACACACACACACACACACAGACGCTGAGTCCATACACACACAGACACACAGACGGCTGAGTCCATACACACACACACACAGACTGCTGAGTCCACACACACACACACACACACACACACACAAAGACTGCTGAGTCCATACACACACACACAAACACACACAGACTGTTGAGTCCATACACACACACACACAGACTGTTGAGTCCATGCACATGCACACACACAGACTGCTGAGTCCATACATACACACACACACACAGACTGCTGAGTCCATGTGCACACACACACACACACACAGACTGCTGAGTCCATGCACACACACACACACACACACACAGACTGCTGAGTCCATATACACACACACACACAGACTGCTGAGTCCATACACACACACACACACACACACACACACACAGAGACTGCTGAGTCTATACACACACACACACCCTACCTGTCACAGGAGGCTGTTGCTGGGGGTCAGACAGCCATCTTCTGCAGCAGCATGGTCTGCTGCTTTATGGTGGGGCGGGGCTTATTTGCGGGAGGCGGGGCCTGTGCCGGGGAGCCTGTCAGTGCTCCCTCCAGCCCCAGCAGCGTTCTAGCTGCTCTGTCCTGCATTCCCTCGGGCTGTCACACACTGTAACAGCCCGGGGGAATATAATTGAAACACATGGCCAGTAAGTTGCCGGCATTTGGGGGGGCCCAAGGGGGAGCACAGCATGATGTAGGGGGGGGCCATGGCCCCCTCTGCCCCCTCCCTAGCGACGCCACGGTATTAGGTAGTGTAGCTGTCTGACAGCAAGGCAGAAATAGTTGAGAATGAAAGATGGTGAATAATCAATTATGGAGATTGTAAAAGTGCAGAGAGGAGCTAGCAGCTGAATAATTGAGTAATCAGGGGACCTAATATAATAAAACAGGACCAACGAGTGAGTGGGTGAGGGGAGCGTGGGAGGTAAGAGAGTGTGTTGTTGCAAGGCTTGTCTGCAAGAGACCAAAACTGTAAAGAGAAGAGATGATAAGGTGAATGATGATGCCCATTCATTCTCCTCAGACATAAGTCAAGAGGCATGGAAGGAGGAGTGAGGTTTATGTTTATTCCACTTCCCCTCAGATTCAATAGGACATACAATGGGCAATATAATATGGTGCCTTTCTCATTGATGTGGACTGCCACTGAACTAGGGACCACTATTAATAATGAAGTGGATACACTGACTCCACAGAAATGGTACTGCACGTCACCCGTCGTATAAATTCTCTGTGTGTACACTTATATGTCATTCATTTTCTATGACTTCCCTTTATACTCAGATTCCCCTTTTCTGTTGGGGTTCTCAGCAAATCTATCTTCAGATATTGTCTAAGTCAGGCTTCCCCAAAATTCCGGCCCTCCAGATGATGCTGAACTACAACTCCCATGATTCTATGAATGAAATAGATAGGCTGAGAATCATGGGAGTTGTAGTTAAGCAACATCGGGAGGGCCAGAGTTTGGGGAAGCCTGGTAAGTTATAAAAATACTGTCATAGAAGTAATAATTTATTCATTCATGAATGAAAGTAATGAAGAACATAAACTGATCAATAAACAGAAACTAATTCTCTATACAACATGCACTAATCCATCAGTTGTTTCCAAAGACATAATCATTTGGGTTTATCCCTATATATGGATACTATCATTGTCATCACAAGTGTAGGTCAATCAGATGTCAGCCCACTCCGACATTTAGTTCCCTTGCTTTTTATTTAGCCAGAAACAGTGGCCTGTAGTCAATGTCACCTTAGAGATAAGCTGCTTAGCTGGGTTCTTTTCATAATATACATATCTGGTAGGGAACTAACCCTGTGGGTATTCTTGGCTACTGGTACTTGGAAAGCAAGACCCATTCTGGATTTATCTCTTTGGTTAGTCAGTGCTTGGTAAAATAAAGAGATCTGTTAGTGACATCAGAAGAGACTGTATTTATTGTCACTTGGTTTACTTCACTTCATAGGCGTGCGCACAGGATGTGCCGGGTGTGCCTGGGCACACCCTAATCCCAGCGGCACGCCTGTGAGTCCTGCCGCCCGCAAATTCCCTCCTCCTCCCCCCGTGTTCACCCTGTCATGGGGGTGGGTGGGCCAAGAGGTGATGGACCCCCCCTGTCGGGCGCCTGTCTCCATATCAGACCCCAGGGACAGGTCCACGCCAGCTCTCCAGGTAGCTACCTCACCGGCCCACAGCAGCATGGAGGCAGGCAGGAGAGGACCCAAGGAGCTCTAGACAGAAGCTCCGCCAGGTTCCTCTCGCGAGATCTGAGCACTGGACCACCAGGGATGGCACATGGCAGCAAGCATCCCTCCTCCCTTCACAATCCCTCAAAACATACAGCATACACACACATACAGCACCTACACACACACAGCACCCTAACACATACAGCGCGCACACACAGCACCCTCACACACACAGCACAAACAGCACCCTCACACACACAGCACACAAACAGCACCCACACACATACAGCACTCACACACACACAGCACACATACAGCACCCTCACACACAGAGCATCCTCACACACACACACACAGCACGCTCACACACAGTACACTAACAGCACCCTCACAAACACCCACACACAGCACCCTTACAAACACACAACACCCTCACACACAGCACACTAACAGCACCCTCACAAACACACACATCACCCTCACACAAACAGCACCCTCACACACAGCACATTAACAGCACCCTCACAAATACATAACACAAACAGCACCCTCACACACATAGCACCCTCGCACACACACATCACACAAACAGCACCCTCACACACACAGCACCCTCACACAGCACACTAACAGGACCCTAACACACATACACAAACACCCTCACACACAGCACACTACCAGCACCCTCACACACAGCACACAAACAGCACCCTCACACACAAACTGCACCCTCACACACAGCACACTAACAGCACCCTCACCCACATAGCACACTACCAGCACCCTCACACACACATCACACTAACAGCACCCTCACACACACATCACACTAACAGCACCCTCACACACACAGACACACACACACACACAGCACCCTCACACACAAACAGCAGTGTATGTATGTGTGTGTGTGTGTGTGTATATATATATATATATAAAAATATAAATTAATGGTTGCACTCACGGTTTTTCCAAATAAAAGTCCAAAGTTTATTGTCAATTCATAAAAGCTGCGATCGCAGCTTTTATGAATTGACAATAAACTTTGGACTTTTATTTGGAAAAACCGTGAGTGCAACCATTAATTTATATTTTTATATTTTTTGGCTATATATGGTTGGCACCCGGTCGTGAAGGGAAAATTCAGCGTGAGTGCAGGAATCAATTTTTATTTTTTATTTTTTTATATATATATATATATATATATATACACACATGTGGCGTGTGTTTGTGCTTTAGGATGCACACCCTAATGCAATAGGCTGAGCACGCCTTTGCGTTACTTGAATCCTTAATTTCAACCATTGAAGTTGAACAATGAAGCTAATGTTCAATGTTATGATTTTCACTAAATGAACCATTTAAAATAATCCTTGCTTTGTAATTAGCAGCTAAAGAGTATTTTAGTACTTCTCAATTTACAGCAACTTCAGCACCACAATACATTTGGTAGTAATACAGGTAAAGGAATCCCCATTTACTATTTAGACATGAAGCAGACAATTTCTGGATGTCCTAAATATGTTATATTTTAAAAAATATTTTCACATATATCAGCAATGTATTGTTGGGACAGAAGATGGGTGGGTCAGGTCAGGTCTAGGTCAGTTTGTATAGGTTTTACATTTAAAATCCACTTCGAATCCCTGGCAGTTCTGACTTTAACCCTGTATATTTTCCATTCACCACAAATTATATTTAGTGAACATTTTATATCTTTATTTCAGTTGGTTAATACAGAAAGTGTAGAACGTGCTCAAACACAGGGCAGCAGGCTTGATTTGAGGCTGATTCAATTAAATAACTACCACTAAATTGGGTAATAACACCATGCATATTCCCGGAAAGAAAATCTTAATTTATCTTTACTGGAAAATACTCTGTAACTATCAATACTTGAGGCTCAACAGTTGAAAAATGGACTTAGAGGTTTATTACTAACATCAGAATGGATTGGATTCCAATGCATCTGTTTTACTTTACCTCAAACTGAGCAAAGGACTTTCTACTAACTTTGACCTGGTTTCTTGTTACCTGGCAGCAAAACATCTCATTATTATTCTTTTGAGCCTACTGGACTGGTTTGCACTTGAACTCCTCAGGGGAAGAAGCACAACATAAAACCTACAGCCAGGTTCACTTTTAGTAGATGCTGAACATAGGTGGTTTATTAAAATAGATCTTCTCATATCATATTTGCCAACTTTGGCATGTATTATGCCACCAGGACATGAGGGGATAGTGCAGCTTTTTGGCATCTCTCACAGGTGTGGATCACATCACCCACATTTAACCACCCATGCACCCTGCCAATAGACTGCTAAACACCAGGCCACAGCAGGAGGCAGAGGACCATAAAAAATAAAACACACCCCTAAACCACCTGGGGTGATTAAAACAATTCTTCTATTATAATCATGATAGAAGGCTTGTTTTAAAGTACTCCAAAGGATCTTAATGGGCTTGGGGATGTTTTATATTCTTCAATGTCTCCCTCACGCTCCCTCTCTCTGCAACAGACATGGTGGCCAAACAGTGTTGATAACTACCAGCAGTTCCGGTGGTTTGCACTATTTAATATGTGAACTGCCTGGAGAGTTCACATATTAAATATGCCCTCCTCCTCCCCCCGTGTTCAACATTTGACACAGCAAGATAAGAGTCAAACCATTTAGAAACAGTTTGGCTAAAGGATGACAACTGGGGACTTCTTGCATTGTGACCACTACAGCATGCCGCACCGTTTTAATGCCTGGAGTGTCTTTTTAATGACATCAACATTCCTGTTACTGGAAGGCAAAAAAGTGTTGCTGATCTGGGCTCCTTGTCAATTCAATCACTGTCACAATGCTAGAGTAAACCCCCTTTGCTACTATTTAACCAACAGTTTCCTCAGAATATTGTTGTATCACATACAGCAAGTCCTTGACACAATAACAGATTGTTACATTAGTGCGACAATGGGAGACAATAACCATGTTACACATGTAAATTTGTTTAATTTTATAGTAAACATCTATTAGTGTGATGCCCTCTAGTTTTAGAGCAAATCTTTGTAAAATATGTATTCTGTCCTAATTGTACACTAGGACCATGCAGAGAGAGCTTCAACAGTACTCTGTGCATGCAATGTCCTGGGATTGGCCAGTCAGACTGTCATATATTCATTTCATGATGATGTGCTTTCTTTGGGCGATCCCTTGCCCCTTCCTGGAAGGATCACCTATTTTCATCATCTCCATAGCATGTCCCTTTAGGAACACCCTCTTTGACATAGGTATAGTTAAACAACTGAATTATACAAATCTTTTCTCTCCCATTAGCTTGGGCTTGGCATACCCAAGTATTTGCAATTGTGAATGTACAGCTAATTAAAGTGACACTCCAGGCACCATCACAAACTATATGCATTTAATAGCTTCATAAGGACGTAACTGCATTTTGTTGTGCATTTTGTAGTGTGCTCTGTCCACACTACATCACTCCTTCCTCATTCTAAAATATTTCCTTATTTATGGCTACCTCTGTATGTGATTCCATTGTTGTATATATGGATATATATGCGGTGTGAGTAACATGTTTGTTTGTTATATATAGTTGTATACAGTAGGTCTTGACAAATCCCAGGCACCAGGTCGCCTGGATTTTTGTCAGCCTGGTTTTTATCAGCCTCACTAAGGTGGCAAGTGAGGTGTAATCTGCTGTGATCCGAGGAGCCATCATTATGATGTCACTCCACCCAGCAGGAAGTAGAGCAGGAAAAGTAGGAAGACCAGATAAGCACCACTAGACCCCAGATAAAGGATCCTCTCTAGCTCTCCCAAAGGTAGCAAAGGCTGGGTGGACTTAAACAAAAATACCGACCCCTATCCAATTGCATGCTAGTTTCACCTCAGGGGGCCCCACCTCCATGGGGGGATAATCAATTTTGATGATTTCAGACAATCCAATGCTATCCCATCTGAAATATTTGGGAGGCTATTGCACATGTGCGCCAAAATGCTGCGCTGCGTTAATCAGCATCTATTTATAGATATGCATTGAACCAATGCATCACAATGGGGAATGTTCAGTGTCCTTATGCAGAGTGTGAATACCCTGAATGTGCATGGAACACTAGCCTAGGAGGCACCTCCAGTGGCCATTTGAGTGACGGCCACTAGCGGTGTTACTAGGCAGTGTTTACATTGAAAAGCCTGCAGGACAGGTTATAGATGCCAGAACAGAAATGTTGACACCCAAGTGTTTACAGAGAAATTAAAGAAAGCTTGGCGAATTTACCTAAATGAGATCTCCAGAACTGTTGTTATCAACGGCTATGCATACTACTGGGAACAATAAACAACTTCTTGATATGCAGATGACCTGACGCAGATCACTCCATCAATCTTTCTGTCTGTCTGCTAAAGGCAAAAAAAGTCCATACCTGCTGCAAGGGGACCCTGACTATTAGTGACATCTTTAGAAGGATGGACTGAATTCCTCTGTCTGTATTTTAATTAAAAACATATTTAGTTCTGCATTTTTTGAAACCAAAATAGCAATGAATGCATTAATCTATGTTACAATTTTTGCATTTTACATACTCATTTACACAGACTCATACTCATATTTTAACTTTTTATTTTTCTAAATGTTTACTACAGTTATTATTATTATGTTTTTATTTATATAGCGCCAACAAATTCCGCAGCGCTTTACAGTGGGTGGACGAACAAACATGTATTTGTAACCAGACAAGTTGAACACACAGGAACAGAGAGGTTGAGGGCCCTGCTCAATGAGCTTACATGCTCGAGGGAGTGGGGTAAAGTGACACAAATAGGTAAGGATAATATTAGACTAATGATAGTTGCAAGAGAGGAATCAGTCGGGAGCTACTTACAGTTTAATTGATATGTTTTTCTGAAGAAGTGGGTTTTTAATGATTTTTTGAACGAGTGGATACTAGGGGAGAATCTAACGGAGGAAGGAAGTGAGTTCCACAGGAATGGTGCAGCCCTTGAGAAGCCTTGAAGGCGAGCATCAGAGGTGGGAGTACGGACAGAAGATAGACGTAAGTCCTCAGCAGAGCGTAAGGGCCTAGACGGGATATATTTGTGTATTAGGGAGGATAGATAGGTGGGAACAGCATTATGTAGAGATGTGAAAGCAAGAACCAGAAATTTAAATTGAGCCCTATATCTCACAGGAAGCCAATGTAGGGACTGACAGAAGGGTGAGGCGTGGGAGGTACGGGCAGACAGGAAGATGAGCCTCGCTGCCGCATTCATTATGGACTGTAACGGCGCAAGTAAGACCACTGAGTAGTAGTAAAGGACAGTGGAATGGATCAGCACCTTAGTCACACCTGGCGTTAAGTAGGGGCGGATGCGCGCAATGCTTTTGAGATTTCAGTTAATCTGAAACAATGTGGAATGGACCAGGACAGTGGAATGGACCAGCACCTTAGTCACATCTGCGGTTAAGTAGGGGCGGATGCGCGCAATGCTTTTGAGATTTCAGTTAATCTGAAACAATGTAAGTTGTAACAGGGTGATTATTAGTAGTATAAGCAATAAAAAAATACTTTAATAGATTAGTGGGAATTATTTCATAATCAAAGCAGTTGTGATGCACCAAAATAGACTAAGATTGGCCATCAGTAGGGATAATCGTGGCTTAATATAATTTATTTGTAAATGTTTTTCATTAAAATGGGTTTATAGTTGTAGCATGAATAGATAATAATGCCATTGATGTTATGCTCGTATATAATAATTTACTTCATATTGTAGCACTTTTTCTTCATGAATATTTAAAGATGAAGAAGAGTTTCTAGATCATGATCATATTTGGGAATATAGAAAACATACTTTAGGGCTGTAAAATTATGTTATTGGATATTTTAGGGCAGGGACCTCAAAGGAGACCGGAATTTTAGATGCCTGTATTAGACTGTAGATAGTGAAGGTATATATATATATATATAAATATAAAATGGATATTTAAAGGAACACTATAGTGTTAGGAATACAACACTGTGTGCCTATATTGTCCTTTTAATTCCGAGACCGGTGATACGTTTGCCTGCTGTTAAACAAATGATTCCAATGCTCATTGTGCTGCTTTTTAAAAGAATATTGTTTGGTGAAAGTGCCATAAAAACACCAATATAGCCTGTAACCTGCTAGATTTTGTGTAGGACCTAGCACCCAGACCACTTAATTAAGCTGAAGATGTCTGGGTGCCTATAGTGGTCCTTTAAAAGAACCAAAAAGCATGGACTGACTGAATGCGCGCGCGACTCTTGCCGCGCATGCGCATTCAGCGGATGACATCAGAAGAGGGAGGAGAGTCCCCAGCACCGAGGGAGCCCGGCGCTAGAGAAAGGTAAGTGTTTAACCGCTTCCCCCTCATTCAGCCCGGCAGGAAGGGGACCCAGACGGTGACTTAAAGACCCTATAGAGCCAGGAAAACAAGTTTGTTTTCTTGGCACTATAGTGGTCCTTTAACATCATACATAATACATTCAAATATATTATGTGTATGCAAATATTGCACATATGGCTGAAGTTAGCCAACATTTTACTTCATATTTGTATAAACATTTGTTTCCATTCCCAGAGTAGTAACATTATAGTAACATCATTCATTATGAGATTATATGTTCCATGATGTAATTGCAGAAATAACACATTTATGACATTACACAGGATAACCAGTATAGTGTGGTAGACTGAGGAATATGTTGTCAGTTATGATTAATTACATATTAAAGAGCAAAAGTCCAAGCTGTGTTAACTTATTTTGATGGCATTGGTTTCTCTGGTCATGGCTGTATATTTTCTAGTTACATTCATAGTCATATATACATGTTCACATTCACAGCTGCCAGTTAGTGTGGGAATTCCTATCACTTTTACAGCAGCATGTTCAATCTCCCTGCATCAGGCTGGTGGCTATAATTAAAGGGACACTACAGACCCCTAAAGCATTTCAGCTTACTGAAGTGCTTTATGTGTTAAGAGCGTATTATTAATTTTACAAAAAACGCAGATTTCAACAGAAATTTACACTTTTAATTAAAAATGAACCTTGTTACACCCCACTGGCGTTTAATCAGGCAACCTGTCCAATTACATCCTGGCTTGTTTAGCTCAGTGGAGCTAAACTCAAGAGGCAATTAATTGCCCCAAACACCCACCTTCCACTGGAAAGTCTGTGATTGGACAACCACAGAAAGTCCAGTCTGGGTTTGAAGGGGAGGGCTTGCAAAGGCAACAGACAAGAGATCTGCGGGTTTAGAAAGCTGTTTTTAAACATAGTCCCAATGAAAAAATGCATAGTTAAGCACATTCATGTTTTCATGTGGGTTATATCTACTAAACAGTGAAACATTTTTTATTTAGACAGCTGAGTGTAAAACATATTCACAATTATGTCATTGCTACCAGCTGCACTTGAGTATACATATCCACCAAGGTATAAAGTAATACTTAGTACCAATGCTTTCATTTTACTAGCTGGCCATTAGAAAACAGACACTTGACCGCCAACCTGTGCCACACAGAAACAGACCCCTCAATGGTGACAATTGTTGACTTTTCCTGAAATATCTCTGTGATACCTTACAGATAATCTCCAAAAACAATAGCTTTGCCAGAAACATATCACCCAGGTATATAATGTAAATTACTTTCCTGTCAGAGAAGTAAGTCAGGTGATTTTGAAATGTAACCCATTTTCTAGCAAAGAGACAGTTTTTCTAAACTGCTTCATTTCTTCATTGCTAGAGACAAAAATCCTGTAACAGTGTTCATTTACCAGAACCCGTCAACTATTAGAGAAGCACTCCCTATCACAGCACACCACTTATTGGGGGCATTGAACCCATCTCCTGCCACTGAAGCAGACTACTAGTGGTGACAGAATTCCATACATGAGGCATTGAACTCACTACTTGTCACAGACATCCGTTTACTAATAAATCCAATGCATTCAGTGCCATAGAAGCAGTAGGTTGCTTTTTATTGTAAAAAATACAGAGCCCCTTAAAAAAAATGACATTTTACCCCTTATCTGCCAGGAACATGCTCCTATATTTGAAATATGTTACGGTACGTTCCCCCCAGAGGAATACATCTAATGTTAACATGTAACTCCTTCTTTGCCTGAGGGAGTCCCTGTGCCTGTGGGATATGGCTAAAATGTTAAATTGTGTTGTAATAGTCTACAAACTCCTAATGAAATGTATCACACTACATACACAAAAGAAACTACCTATTTCATATACAACAGCCCGCTATTTTATTTGTATTTGCTGTGCACTTTCCTCCCGTTTTAACATCGTAACATATAGCAAATCCAATCCCTGTTACATTGTGTATGGCTCTAAAAGGCAGTGAAGCTCAGTAACGGAAGGGACAGAGCAGAGCACAATGTCTGTGCCTCCCCAGTTCTTCTGACACAACAGGAAAAAGACCGTTTCATATATAAAATAGCCTTCCTGTTCCACTAACTGCACGTAATCATGATAGCAGATCGCAGAGACGTGGCATGCAGTATATTCACTACTCTCAGCACCATTTATAGTACACATCCATGCAAACCCCCTCACAACATGCACCCTGCATCCCCAATCACATCAGGCCTTCCTAGCAAGAGACACAAAAGATCTGATGACAGCACAGAGGACATCGCTCCTTACTTACATGGGGACCTTTAACAGTGTTATCTCCAGGACGTGGATGCAGATTACTGCTCATTCTGATCAGCTGCCTGGGTGATAGTCTCTGTGTGATCGGCTTCTTGGTTCTTCTAAGATTCCACTTCGAATCCTGCCAGGAGGGCTAGATGATGGAAATGTAGAGTTTTTTTTAATTGTTTGATTGACAACTGCACTCCATTCTTAACCCAAAAGCTCCACCCTCCCATGCAAATTGAACTGAGAGATGTGGGCTTGAAGGGAAAAAAATCAGATAGCCCGACATGTTCTCTCCTCCTCTATACACTAGCTGGCAGCATTGTCACTGGTGATTCTGTTACCTTAATTTTCACTGGTACAGAAAGTAAAAACCGGATTTACTTGCAGGCAAATAATTGTACTTGGAAAAAAAAAAAGATTATTTTGTATAAAAACAGAACTTCAGCTATTTGCACCTTGTTTAGCGAAAGAAACACTTGAATAAGAAAACAACAATAAATAAAATAAAATAAACAAAAATAAGTCATGTGCACTTTAATCCTCTTATCACTCCCCTTGGCAGTCATAGTTGAAGAATATAAGGCACTGAAACAACAGGTCCAAATCAAAAAGATTATTATTGAACAATCAAGCAGGATTACAAAACAAAGTGACAGAGTTTTAGCACTTTCACAGTAATTCAGCTGGCGCGCACTACAATCCAATAAAACAGGGTCTTTATACTTTTTGAAGATGTCCAAGTAATGTGGTTTGACCAATCCAAGTCTCTGCACGTCCTCCAACTCTGAGTTTCTTTATCTTGTCCTCGCAGTACTTGGGTGGCTGATGTAGCATTTGAGAGTAAATTTGTGCACGCAAACAGAATAGATGAACAAAGCAGAAAAACTTTTGTTTGATATAGCTTTTAAGCATTAATTTGATATTAAGCACAGGGCAAGATATAGGCAGTTAATATTTTCTTTAACAATTCTCACTCTTTTGATAATTTGTTATCACACATATTTATTACCTTGCAATTTTCGTTTGACTAACAGCCTGCCTAACTGGAAGTGACCCCCTAGACAGCAGGTATATCACGGATTAGACAGATAAGCTTCATAGACAGTGGGATTCCGGCATCCACTGCGGGCTGCCTACTTGGTGACCACTTCCTCTAAGCATTCACACATCTTTATTGGTAACACACAAGCACAACATGCAATCTCTATCTCTATCTACCAGTGGGCCTGGTGCTGACAACTATGATGGGCCTAATTACAGAATCTTATTGACTAAAAACACTAAAACAGTCATATCTCTCAAGCTTCATGTATCTGATGGAGATGTTGCTGGAGGGAAACACATAGGATGCAGCTATAAGAAATCTCGGATTCTCTTAAAATATGCTAGTCTCTCTCTAATTCATACTTTCATCTTTCAAGTAAATCAATACTCCCTAACAGCAGTGTCCAGTGAAGCAGGAATTCAATTGGTGGGGTAAAAGGGTGGGCCACTGACGTGAATCACGTGACCAGAACTGCCAAAAGGGGCCAAACAATTGGAAGGCCATCCTGGCATCAGTGGCCCTATGTATCACAGTGTCAGTGTACCCATGTTGCCCAGTCCTATCTCCCAGTGTCTTAGTGTCCTCATTTCTCCCCGTTTCCCCATGTCTCAGTGTTTCCCGTGCCACTAGGATACTAAGGGACACTGAGAGACATGTGGACACAGTGAGACATGTGGACACAGTGAGACACCAGGGGACACAGAGACACCAGGGGACACAGAGACACCAGGGGACACTTAGGAACACTGGGAGACATAGGGGCACTTGTAGATAAAGACATGGGAACACTGGGAGACATGGAAACACTGGTAGACATGGAAACACTGGGAGAGATGGGGACACAGACACTAGGGACACAGACACTGGGAGACATGGGGACACAGACACTGGGAGACTAGGGGACACTGGGAGACATGGGGACACTGAGACACCAGGGACACTGGTTGGGAGGCATGGGGACACAGACACTTGGGGACACTGGGAAACATGGGGGCACTTGTGGACATAGACATGGGTACACTGGGAGACATGGGGACACTGAAAAATTTGGGGACACTGGGAGACATGGGGACACAGACACTAGGGACACTGGCTGGGAGACATGGGGACACTGAGACACTAGGGACACTGGCTGGGAGACATGTGGACACTGGGAGACAGATATTTGGGGACACTGGGAGACATGGGGACACTGAGACACTAGCGACACCGAGACATGGGGACACAGACACTGAGAGACTAGGGGACACTGGGAGCCATGGGGACACTGAACAATTTGGGGACACTGGGAGATTAGGGGACACTGAGACACTAGGGACACTGGCTGGGAGACACGGGGACACTGGGAGACATGGAGACACTATGTCCCTAATGTCTCCATGTCCCAATTTGTCTCCCAATGTCCCTATGTCTCACAGCGTTCCCATGTGTCTCAGCATCCCCATGTCTCACAGTGTCACCTAGTGTCTCAGTGTCCCCAAGTGTCTTAGTGTCCCCAAGTGTCTGTGTCCCCTAGTGTCTCAGTGTCCCTATGTTTCCCTGCTGCCTTTCTCCCCATCCTTCACTTCCCTGAGCTGTAGGCCGTCTCTGCAGACTGGGAGCTGCTGTCTGAACTTTCTGTGCTGTGTAGCTGCTCCCCTGCAGATCAGTGAGTAGAGAGAGGCAGGGAGGGATATGCTGTAACCAGGGCCGGACTGGCCCTCCGGGATACCGTGAAATTTCCCGATGGGCCGTCGGCACCTGGGGCCGGGCAGACACCTGGGTCTGCTGGCGGCCGCTGGGGGAGGTCTTCTGGCGGCCGCTGGGGGAGCTGCGCTGTCTCTGCTCCTCAGCGCACAACTTAATGAGACTGGGGCCGGAATATGACGTCATATTCCAGCCGCTGTCTCATGCAGCAGCGCGCGAGGGCGGGAGAGCAGAGACAGCGCAGCTCCCCCAGCGTCCGCCAGTACAAGTCCCCCAGCAGCCGCCAGAAGACCTCCCCCAGCGGCCGCCAGCAGACCTCCCCCTGGCATGTATTAGTAATGTGTGTCAGTGTGAGTTTGTCTGTCTGTTATGGTGTGTGTGTCTGTCTGTCTGTATGGTGTGTGTGTCTGTCTGTCTGTCTGTATGGTGTATGTGTGTGTGTCTGTCTGTATGGTGTGTGTGTCTGTCTGTATGGTGTGTGTGTCTGTCTGTCTGTGTCATGGTGTCTGTCTGTATGGTGTGTCTGTCTGTCTGTCATGGTGTGTGTGTGTCTGTCTGTCCGTCATGGTGTGTGTGTCTGTGTCATGGTGTGTGTGTCTGTCTGTCATGGGGTGTGTGCCTGTCCGTCATGGGGTGTGTGTCTGTCCGTCATGGGGTGTGTGTCTGTCTGTCATGGGGTGTGTGTCTGTCCATCATGGGGTGTGTGCCTGTCTGTGTCATGGTGTGTGTGTCTGTATGTGTCATGGTGTGTGTGTGTGAGTCTGTCTGTGTCATGGTCTGTCTGTGTCATGGTCTGTCATGGTGTGTGTGTCTGTCATGGGGTGTGTATCTGTCATGGTATATGTGTGTTTACAAATAGTGTTTTTGCTCACCTTTTTTTTCCCCACGCAGCGTGCTGGTCTCCCCTCGACTCGCCCTGCCTCTATAGCTGAGATCATCAAGCTTGATGATCTCAGCCAATCCAATGCTTTGCCATAGGATTGGCTGCAAAATGCTACTCTCCAATCAGCATCTCCTCATAGAGATGCATTGAATCAATGTATCTCTATGGGGAACGTTCAGCACCTACAGAGTGTGGAGGCCCTGAACGTAGGTGCACTGACACAGGAAGCACCTCTAGAGACCGTCTGAGTGACTGTCACTAGCGGTGTCACTTTGAAGCAATGTAAACACTGCATTTTCTCTGAAAAGTCAGTGTTTACGTTGAAAAGCCTGCAGGGACATGCTATAGACACCAGTACCACTACATTAAGCTGTGTGTGCGTCTGCTAGTGAGTGAGCTTGCTTGCTTGCATGTGCCTGCTAGTGAGTGAGCTTGTGTTTTTATGTCAATGAGCTGATGTATATCAGTGAGATTGTTTGTCTATGAGCCTATGCAGGGCCGTCTTTAACGCGGGGCAAACGGGGCAGCTGCCCCGGGCCCAGTTTCTCTTGGGGGGCCCGAGGCACCTGCCCCGTGGGCCCCGCTGACCCCGGCGGGCGGGTTGCCGGTCGGGCAGGAAGGCGGGCGCGCGAGGGAGCACTCACTGCTTCCTCCTCAGCTCCCTCGCGCACCGCACTGATGCCGGAGCCGGAAGATGACGTCATCTTCCGGCGCCGGCATCCCTACGCGGCGCGCGAGGGAGCTGAAGAGGAAGCAGTGAGTGCTCCCTCGCGCGCCCGCGTTCCTGCCCGACCGGCCACCCGCCCAGGAGCCCAGCAGCACCACTGGACCCCAGGGAATCCCCCCATCACTCCAAAAGGTAAGGAGGCTGGGGGGATTACATTTTTTTTTTAAAAAATGTGTGTTTGTGTTAGTGTGTGTTAGTGTATGTGTTTGTGTGTTAGTGTGTGTGTGTTTGTGTGTATGTGTTAGTGTATGTGTTTGTGTGTGTGTGTATGTGTGTGTTAGTGTTTGTGTGTTAGTGTATGTATGTGTGTGTTTGTGTGTGTTAGTGTATGTGTGTTAGTGTGTGTTAGTGTATGTGTTTGTGTGTTAGTATATGTGTGTGTTAGTGTATGTATGTGTGTGTTTATGTGTGTTAGTGTGTGTGTTTGTGTGTTAGTGTGTGTGTTTGTGTATGTGTGTTAGTGTGTGTGTATGTGTGTTAGTGTATGTGTGTGTTAGTGTATGTGTGAGTTAGTGTATGTGTGTGTTAGTGTATGTGTGTGTGTGTGTCAGTATGTCTGTCTGTCTGTGTGTCAGTATATATGTGTGTGTATATCTGTGTGTGTCAGTATGTGTATGTGTCAGTATGTCTGTCAGTGCGTCAGTATGTCTGTTAGTGCATGTGTATGCATTGGTCTGTATATCTGTCTGTGTGCCAGTATGTCTGTGTGTGTGTGTGTCAGTATATCAGTCTGTGTGTGTCAGTGTATGTGCCTGTGTGTGCGTGTCAGTATTTCTCAGTGTATGTGGGTGTCAGTATATCTGTCAGTGTGTGGGTGTCAGTATTTCTGTCAGTGTATGTGTGTCAGTATGTTGATCAGTGTATGTGCCTGTGTGTGTGTGTCAGTATGTCGGTATATGTGTCTGTGTGTCAGTATGTCTGTATATGTGCCTGTGCCAGTATGTCTGTCAGTACGTCTACAAGTGTATGTGTCTGTGTGTGTGTCAATATATGTACCTGTGTCAGTATGTCTGTCAGTGTATGTGCCTGTTTATCTGTATGTAGTCAGTGTATGTATCTGTGTATCTGCTTGTGCGTCAGAGTGTGTACCTGTGCATCTGAGCCGCAACTTTAAATACAAATACACCCCTCCATTCAAACTTCAACACTACATATAAAACACACTCCTGCATTGAAACGCCAACACTACATACAAGCACACTCCTACATTCAAAAACAAACACTACACATAAATGCACACTTGCATTCAAACTCCAGTACCACATACAAAACACATTCACACAAACATACTCCATACAAACACATGCTTACATTCAAACATACTAACATGGCTCAGTGCTAAATACAACCCTGCAAGCATGGGAAATTGGTAGAGTCCCAGCTGTCAAAGCATTGTTGGAGTTGCACGACAGATGGGGTTCTACCTTTAGTCCAACCTTGCAATTGGGGTCCCAATAAAATTCATTCTACTTTAGTACCGCCACTGCGTTGGGATGGATGCCGTGATTGCATACCAGGGAGTGAGGGGCGAGAGCGGCAGGGCACAGGGGGCCCAAGCAAACACTTGCCCAGGGTCCGTTCGTTATTAAAGACGGCCCTGAGCCTATGTATCAATGAGCTTGTATGTGTCATTGAGATGTCAGTGAAATTGCCTGTGTCTGCATGTGAGTATGCTTACTGTATAATTAAATGTTTTACCCTGAAAGGACCAATATTTTATATTAGAAAAAGCAATATATATATATATTACTCAATCATCTGTCATGGCAAGACATAGCCTTACATATTACACGCGACAATATATGGCGCAGTGACTTATGGGGCTGGCACAATTTTTTTTTCCAGGGCTGCTTTGTATCGCCAGTCCGGCCCTGGCTGTAACTTTCTATCCCTGCCTCTCTCCACACACAGTGACCCCTACTGGCCGGTTGCAGGTATTGCAGAGTAATCTCCGTTTATACTGAGAAAAGTATTGCCGGTATTACTGCGATACCGGCACGGCCAGGCAGCCTCAAATACCGGCTGTGACTTAAAATACCAGTCAAGTGGCAAACCCCAACTTTTTTTTTTTACATGGACCTATTCCATGGGCCTGGGCCTGGAGCTGCAGCTCCATCAGCCCCTATGTTAATCTGGCCCTGGTACAGTTACCCCATGCTCCCATGGGAAGCCATGAGTAGGCCTTATTGCCACAAATGTAATAGAGTTCTTGTCTCAAGACCTTGGGAATTATCTTACCATGATTTCCCAGCCACTTTTGAAACCATACCATATAGTGGTGCACATGACTTTTACAGCTCCACTCATCTTCGTCTGTTTGTTCAGGGCAAGCACACCCGGGGCCCACAAATAATAATAATCATTTCTTGAGTGGTGGGAATGTGGGAATATAGCCACGACTATTTGGACGTCCTTTACTTGAGGGTGACGGAGTATCACCCTTGCTAAGATCGTTTCCCGTATCCCGGTTATGATGGAGGGAACTCTAAACCTTCTCTCTCGATTCTTAGTGACACTGTGGCTGTCAGGGAAGTTCCCACACTACAAATCCCCACTTTTGATCTCTCCAAATTTTCCAACAGAACCATATGATAAACAGCAGGTAGACTATCCCAACAAGTATCTGGCCTCTTATGTCATAAAAGTCAAACCACGCTAAGGGGCTCGGCTTAACAGTCTTATTATTCATGGGAGACATGTCTGCTACAGCTCTGGGACATGCTCTTTAGCATGGGAGAGTACAAGCTCAAACCAGCGTGACCAGGGCCATTTAGAGACGAAGCAGAGGTGATCAACCTCTTACTTAGCCTATCACTGCCCCCACTGGCTCTCTCTATAGAGATGCGTATTGAGGCAGTACCATCATACGCCGTAAAGGACCTCTTGCATGCTTATACGGTGGGTTTTATGCACCAGTATCTTCACTCACTCACACATTCATAACAAAAGATGTAAAACATAAAATAGTTGCTTCAGGTTCTTGGAAGGTTTGTACTTACGACAGAGGACAGAGGGTTTAGGAATCAGAAGAAGGGAGAGCAATTGAGATACAAAGGTTCTCACCAGACTTTGATTCCGTCTACTGGTCGCTTTCACCTCCCGGGTTTCGGCACCAAAATGTTGAAGAAAATAAGGCACGTGAAACAACTGGTCCAAATCAAAAAGATTATTATTGAAGAATCAAGCAGGATTACAAAACAAAGTGACAGAGTTTTAGCACTTTCAAAGTAATTCAGCTGGCGCGCACTACAATAAGATAACACAGTGTCTTTATACTTTTTGAAGATGTCCCAGTAATGTGGTTTGACCAATCCAAGTCTCTGCACATTTTCCAACTCTGAGTTTCTTTATCTAGTACTCGCAGTACTTGAGTGGCTGATGTAGCATTTGAGAGTAAATTTGTGCACGCAAACAGAATAGATGATTCAAGCAGAAAAACTTTTGTTTGATATAGCTTTCAAGCATTAATTTGATATTAAGCACAGGGCAAGATATAGGCAGCTAATATTTTCTTTAACACAGTTATTACATAAAACTTTTAATGAAAGACTAGTCAAAACTATCCAATGTATGGATGTATAAATATAACAGTGATGTACTCCAAAGTTAGACGAAAAACAAAACAAAAAGTAGGTGAAGCAATAAAATAACTTGTCCAGTGACAAGAGGAACCAAATGTCCAAAAAAATAAGAAGGTGGCAACCAAGACCAGATTCTAAGGTACATATAGTGTGTGGCTATTAAGTTACCTGCCACCTGATGTCACCGGATACCAAAAAGCAACAACAATACCATATACCGTATATACTCGAGTATAGGCCGACCCGAATATAAGCCGAGGCCCCTAATTTTACCACAAAAAAATGGGAAAACTTATTGACTCGAGTATAAGCCTAGGGTGGGAAATGCAGCAGCTACTGGTAAATGTCTAAATAAAATTAAATCCCAATAAAATTACATTAATTTAATATTTATTTACAGTGTGTGTATAGAATGAATGCAGAGTGTGTGTTTGTGTGTGTATATATAATGAATGCAGTGTGTGTGTTTGTTTGT